TGAAGTTTAGCACTTTGAGTCTGAAGGATCAAGAGAGGTCTCAGTTGATGTTCGGCATCTTGTCCGGACTGTTGCATGAGCGCGGAAAGCGTTTATTGCGATCGATCTCCGATCGCAACGGCTATGAGGCATATCGATCGTTGCTCGTTGATCTTCTGCCTGGCAGTAGGTCAAGGCTTTTGGCATTGTTGCAAATGATTAACCAATGGCCCTCATTTGATGCGCGGCAGGGCTATGCACAGCAAATGATGAAACTAGAGAGCGCATTCACGGAGTATGACTCCCAGAGTGCGAACCCCTTGTCCGAGGACATTAAGATCGCATGCCTTTTGCGGTGTGTGACTGGCCAACTCAAGCAACATTTGAATGTCGCTGTTACAGACACAACAAAGTATGCAGACCTCCGATCTCTTGTTCTTCGGTGGGACAATGCTCAGACGCGTTGGGACACTGCAGTTGCTGCTACGTATTCCTTGGGTGATGGTCGTGGTAGTGCAGGACATGGAGTGCAGCCTATGGATGTCGATGCTCTTGGTGCTGTAACCTGGAAGGGTAAAGGCAAGGATAAGGGCAAGGACAAAGGAAAAGGCAACAAGGGAAAGACCAAGGAAGGAAAAGGCAAGCAGCAGAAGGGCAAGGATCACGGAAAGGGAGGATGGAGCAGTCAGTAAGGGCAAGGGCAACAAGAACAATGCGAAAGACCAGAGTGACGTTTGCATTTATTGTGGGAAGAGAGGCCACTGGAAGAGAGATTGTTTCAAGTTCAAGAGAGATGCGGCGAACGCTATCAAACAGGTTGCTTCTGCGAGTGATGATCAATCTACAGCAATCCCAAGTGATGCGGCGTCTACGGCTGCATCGACAGTGACCCCGAGCCAAAGTGCCTCCAACGCTCCCGTGCCCAGGCGAATCCAGATGGTTTCCAGAATCGATGATTGGTTCGATCTCACCGAGATCGATGATGATGATGGCGAGACTGCAACCTTTTCTGAGAATATCATAGGGTTTGGAGGTTCGCTTCGGGCCGTGCAGTCTGCGAGCAGTTTCGACATGTCTTTGAGTGCTGAGTGGTACGATCTTTCAAGTGATGATCAGCACGACGGTGAAAGCAATGTGTGGAGCATTGTGCTGGAGTACAGTGCTTTCGATTTGAGTGCAGAGCATCTTTGCTTGCTTTGCGCAAGGAAGGGCATCGATGATGCCACTCAGGCGGGGATTGGATTCCTCGAAGGCTCAGCGCATGAGATTTCAGATGCAGATTTGGTCTCAATGTCAGTGCGTGAGAGTTCAAATGCAGATGCGATTTCCATGTCAGTGCATGAGAGTTCAAATGCAGATGCGATTTCCATGTCAGTGCATGAGAGTTCAGATGCAAATGCGATTTCCATGTCAGTGCGTGAGAGTTCTGATGATTCAGTGCATGCGTTTGGTGCAAACAGCAACAATGGTTCTCCTGGCTACATTCCTTCACAAGTGATTGCATCAGCGCATGAGAGTGCTTCGGTAGGTCCAGAAGTGATGTCGGTACGAGCGGTGACCAAGGTACAACCGATCATTCTGGATAGTGGCGCTGACTGCAGCGCGTTGCCGATGAGCTATGCGCACGTCGGAGTTCCGGATGAGAAGGCCACCGCAGGCCTCTTTGTTGATGCGCAGGGTAACCCGTTGCGCACTGCAGGAATCAGGGTTGCTGAGATTCAGATTGGGCGCTTGAAATTCCGAGAGCGCTTTGTGATAAGTGATGTGACCCAGCCTCTTGTCAGTCTGGGAAAGCTCTATAGAGCTGGATGGTTTGTGGCTCCTCAGGGCGATGGTTTGTTTCTCACAGATGGAAAGCAGAGTGAGCGTGTGGGGTTCCGCAAGCAGTCGTTGTGCGTTCATGGGACGATCAGAGTCGTCACGGAGTGCGGATCGATCAAAGCTGTTATGAATGTGGCATTGAAAGATCCGCTGCTAAGGTTAGACAATCGATGGACCAGAATCTCTGCTGGTATGTATGCCGTGATGACCTACTCCAAGACGTTCACTGATACAACTCTTATTCCTCTTTCTGAACTTCTCTGGAAGAGGACCACCCTCGTGAGACGAGGCGGGCAGTGGTCAATGGTTGAGTGCAATGCAGACATTTCGGCCATGAGTGATCGGAGTGCATCGCTTGAAGATCCGGATAGTGTTGAGTATGTCATTACGATTGCCCACAGCAGAGGAAACCCTTCTCCCTCGGAAATGTGCTTCGAGGTTCTTTCGTTGGATGATTCAGTTCAGGGTGCTGAGGCAGCCGCTTCGGGACCGCAGGAGGAGTTGGGAGGTGCACCGGCTTCTGAGAATCCGGAGCATTCTGAGCCTTCCGTTGAAGATCGTGATGAGTTGATGCCTCCAGAGTCAATTGAGGTCGATGGTGTGATCATCGACAGCGGTTCATCTTTAGAAGTGATGCGAAATGCTTGCAAGGCATTGGGTTTGCCGGAGAACGGGAACAAAGCCCAGATTTTCAAGCGACTGGGAAAGCATTGCATTGAGCACGAGTTGTTGCAGAGCAAGCACGTGAGCCACACCTTGAAGTCCGAGTTCGAGAGAGTGCCGCGTGGTCAGAGTGCTGCAGAAGAGCCGAGTGAAGCAGAGAGAGCACAACATGAGCTCACTCATGAGCCTTATCGAGCATGGTGCGCAACATGTGTGGCGCATCGCGCGCGTCAAGATCAGCATGCGAGTGTTGCTGATCATGAGGGTTCGTCAGCTACTACAATTTCAATCGACTTCGGGTTTCTCTCGCGAAATGAAAGTGATCAACACAAGCTGACGGTTCTCTTCGCCCACGATCGGCACTCCAAGGCTGTTTGTGCAATTCCGACCCCGAGGAAGGGAGGTCAAGCTGCTTTGTCATTCATGAACACCGAGCTGAGCCGATTCATTCTTTGGCTTGGCTACCCAGCGATCAGACTGAGGTCAGACAATGAGAATAGTGTGGTTGCGGTGGTCGATGCCGTTCGCAAAGTCCTGAGAAACTTAGGAGTGGAGGTGCACAAAGATTCGGTGCCGATTGATGCTCATCAGGCCAACGGTCCAGTGGAGCAAGCGCTTCAGTCTGTGAGGCAACTCGCATGTACTTTGATGTCGCAGCTAGAAGTTGGCCTCGGCGCCGAGTCAGGCAAGGTTCTGTTCAACACGAACCATCCAATGTGGCAGTGGGCTGTGTGCCACGCTGCGTGGATCAAGTCAAGATTCGCTGTGACTCAGGGTTCTACGCCCTATGAGCGGTTGACGGGAAGTTTGTACCGTGGCAAGGTATGCAAGTTCGGTGAAGCAGTCATGGCGTACCTGAAGCAATCCCCGAAGGCAGCTCCCAAGTGGCAGAAAGCAGTATGGCTAGGTAAAACAGTTGCCAACGATGTGAACATTCTCGGCGTTCCCGACGGTGTGTTCGTGTCTCGCTCGGTGAGGCGGTTCAGTGACTGCTGGGACCAAAACCTTTCAGCAGAGATCGATACGAATGTTTGGCAACATGGCTTAGCAAGCTTAGGAGGAACCTTGGTGTTGAACAACAAGAAGCTTACCCCTGCAATCCAGCCGGCAATCCCGTTACCGGTTGAGGCGGGGAAGCCAGATGTGATTGAGGAGGTGCCAAGGTCCCCTTCGCAAGTTGCTGCAAGTGATCCTGTGTCGAGTTCGCCATCCGGATCGATGTCCGTTGACTTTCCTGAAGGTGTGCCTGATCTTCAAGTACCAGCACCTGCTGGCAATGGAACCGAGGCAACTCAGACAATGCAACATGGTGATCAGGGTGATGTGTCCATGCCTTCAGTTCCTGAAACAGTGCAGCTCAGTGAAAATCCCAAACCTTCGAAGCAGCCCAGACTTCAAACGAGCAGTATCTCCATGATCTCCGCGACGGGGGTCAGCACATCCTTTGATGAGGTGAACTTGGTTGTGCCGTGTGAAGAGCTTCCTTGCACTGTTGAGATTCGCAAAGTGACCTACGCGCATGAAGATGAAAGTGTCGAGCTAGCTTTTGATCAGGACGCTATCGATGATATGGAGAGCTATGACTACAGCGATTATCATGATGACCAGGTCGGTGACACAGGCGACTTGGATCCAAGGTTGTGCCGTCCGCGGGTGTCAGATGAAGAACCAGAGTGCACAGAAGAAGAGATGAGAGATTTAGATGCGATTGCGGATCAAATCGAGATCACTCGGTTGAAGAGTATGACGGTGTTGCAAGATCCAGCCGGAATGGATTTGACAGAAGCGGTTCACCTGACAACCAAGATGGTCAGGACATGGAGACAAAAGGAAGTAGGGAATCCAGCGGTGCCAGTGTGGTATCGACGGAGTCGGTATGTAGCACGTGAGTTTGCTTGGCTGTCGGAGAGGACCGACTTGTTCAGTCCTGCGAGCTCCAGCCTATGCAATCGTCTACTGCCCATTCTCTACATGCACTACAAGGCTAAGGACGATGATGCGAAGATCCCTGACGATGACAAGTTGACGCTGTTCGCCGTTGACATCGGCGACGCATTTCTCACCGTGCCACAAGTGCGACCGACCTATGTGACCTACGTTCACCCCGATGGGTCCAAAGAGCTCTTCTCCTTAGGGTTCGTTCTCCCGGGACAAAGATCAGGGTCGAGTGATTGGTATGATGATTTCATGAAGTTCCTCAAGGGCAACCTGGGTGTCGTCGAGTGCGCAGCGCATCCTTCGCTTGTTAAGTGCACGGATCCCGAGAGCAGGTTTGCCATGCAGCTTCATGTTGATGACATGTTAGGGTTTGCAAAGCGGAAGTTTGTGCACGGGGTGTTCATCCCGACTTTGAAGAAGAAGTACAAGGTGACAGCGCACGTCATTGAGAACATTGGGGATTCCATCGATTTCCTCAAGAGAAACATACTTTGATCAACAACGATCAACTCCTGCTAACCCCGAGCCCAAAACACTTCGACAAGCTGTTTGACCTTTTGTGTGTGAGTGAGAATGCCTCGTGTAAGAAGTCCCCCTACATGCCACAGTTGGACGAGATCGATAACAGTCCTGAGTTGAAGAGCGGCGAGGCAACAACGTTCAGGAGTGGAATTGGATTGTTGCTTTACCTGTCAGTTGATCTTCCGGAATGCCAGTGCGCCATTCGTGCTCTCGCTTCGAGGATGGCACGGCCAACAGTTCACTCCATGCTAGCGCTAAGGCACTTGGCAAAGTACCTCATCGGTGTGAGGTACAACGGTTTGATGATTGTGAAGACTGATCCCGGTGAAGGGTTGATGGGTCCAAGGACCGATGCGGCAGATCAATCGATTATCCTCGAGAGCTTCAGCGATTCGAACTGGGCCGCTTGTAAGGGGTCTAGAAAGAGCGTTAGCGCAAGTGTCATTTGTGTCGCCGGCAACATGTTGTTCAGCTCTTCGAGAACGCAGAGAGTGGTGGCACTTTCGTCAGGGGAAGCGGAACTTCTTTCGTCAGCGAGCAGCATATGTGATGCACTTTTGATCCGTGAGCTCCTCGAGTTCATGGACTTCGGCAGGGTGAAGATCTTTCACCACATCGATGCCAGCGCAGCTAAGGCGATGCTGGAACGTTCCGGAGTGGGAAAAGTTCGGCATCTTTCTTGCCGAATCTTATGGTGTCAACAATTGATTAAATCCGGCGAGGTTGCTTTGCTGAAGATCAGTACTACATTCAATCCGAGCGACCTTGGAACGAAAGGGCTAAGCCGGGCAAGAACACTCATGCTGATGTGCATTCTGCGTGTTTGGGACGAGATGTGTGAGTGCTTCGTTGGTTCCCAAGAGCTTCGAGAGGAGAGAGAGAAGCAGAGTTTCAAGCAGAGCATGAAAGTGATTCGCAACATTCGTGTGCCGATCATGATCTCAAAGAGTGCTTTGCGTGCAATGGTTTCGGCCAGTTTGATTTCGGGTGCAAGCGCCTTGGGCTTTGGCGGCGGGTTTGAGATGTTCGCGATGCTGTATGCCCTGATGTTTGAAGAGTTCCCGATGATGACGCTCATGATGCTCTATCTCTTCACGCTGGCGGTGATCGGGACGATCTTGTGCATGCGTCCTCAGTCGACTGTGATTGTGAAGGGCTTTGATAAATCTTTGTGCAGCGGTGAACGCGCCATTGACATTTCAAGCCGAGCGAGTTCGAAAGATTCAGCTTCCAGCTCAGTCACCGGTGAGGAGGTGGTGATCAAGCAGAGGCGCAATCGCAAGGTCAAAGAGCCAGTGAACCCAGTATGGATTGCGGGGGAGTATGGGAAGAAGTATCACATGATTGGGTGTGGCAAGTTGAATGGCTCCTTGGAGGTGAGCGAGATTTCCGAGGAGGATGCAACCGCGAAGAATTTGAAGCCATGCTCATTTTGCAATCCCCGCAAGGTGTATCATCCTGAAGAGTTTGTTTCGAAGTCAAATACGAAGTGAATGTGAGCCCATTGCGTGCATCAAGCTTTACGGTGCACAGGGGTATGAATGTGAGCCCATTGCGTGCATCAAGCTTTACGGTGCACAGGGGTATGAATGTGAGCCCATTGCGTGCATCAGGCTTTACGGTGCACAGGGGTATGGATGTGAGCCCATTGCGTGCTTCAAGCTTTACGTTGCACAGGGGCATGACCGGCATTTTGTCGTTAAAATTAGCCTTGTACATTGTGGTACATAGACGGCTGACTGTACTTAGCATGTGGAGCATGCGACACTTGAGTACGTAGTTTTCTTCTCACCGGAGCGTCGTTACACACTCGAGTTTCTGCACTACGATACCGAGCCCAATACTTTTCAGTACAGGTGGCTTTGGAAGTCACAAAGTTTCGAGGAAGAATTGCCAAGTACGTGGCATTCTTAGGCGGGGTGCAAAACTTTGCATCCGTATGTATCAATATATTTTGGCCGGTACTTTTGTAAGTACTTTTGCTTTACGCTTTGAGCTCCGTTGTACAGTGCTGACGCACGACTTTGCAGGCGCTTTTGTCCGAGCGAAAATTGTCAATATCTCCACTCCCTGCACCACTGGGTGTCGGTTGCGTTACCGCGGGTGGCGCAAGTACAGTCAAGAGAAGTGGGAAGAGAAGAAGAACTTGCACCAGCGTGCTTGGGAACTTCTTGGAGGTTTGTTGAAACCGGTTGCTCGGAGTGAACGCTTGTTGTTGACTCAAGAGTGGCCTCTGCAGAACGACCCTCTGGAAGGACCCGCGGTATCTTCAGGTTGCTTCAGATTTGGGGCTTTCTGAGGGTATTGTGGTAGATCGCTGTGCTTACGACTGTGTGTTTAAACGGTGGTACTTTGCCACGAACAGTAAACGCTGGGTCCAAGTGTTTCCTAAAAGGAATTGTGACTAAGTGCATGAACATGTACAGGTTGAATTGAAGGATTCAGGGTTCTATCCTGAAAAGCTAGGTCTAGAGCTTGTAAAGTGTGCTCAAAAGACACTAGGTGCCGCATCAGTCCAAGAGGGGGTAGGTAACCAGCACGGGGCAAAGGCTGCATGCTTTGGTGCTACCAGGACATACAGCACAGTCTGGTGCTACCAGGAAGGGGAGCAGACAAAGGACTGCAGGCACCTGCAAGCTGTACAGAGATGAGTGGCATAGAGGTTAGTACCAAGTGGAAAGCCCTTGGTGGACTCGTCAGTAAGAGCGAGAACGCGAGTCGACTTGTACAGTGCTACTACTCGTCTGTAAGTACAGTTTCTTACGTTTCACCCAAACCTGCCGGCCAATGGCTAGGCTGCGACTCGCTTCGCCCAAGACGCCAGAAAATCCCATTTGACCTTGGATGTCCTGATGTTTTCGGCATGCCTGAAGCTGATAGGAGTGCTTTTGAGTTAGGTCAGTGACTGCACGTTCGTTTCGTCTCGTTTCGTTAGTGCTTGAAGTGTTTTGCTTGGAGACAGACAGCTGCAAGGTGTTTCACTGTCAGTCAGAGCCCGACGCGACTCCGCTTTGGCTCAAGAAAAAGACCGAGTGCTGGGCGCTCTGTTTTTCACAGCTACAGGAGCGGCGTCAACTGACGGGTTTTTGTCAAATCAGGGGCCGGTTTATTCCACGGCCTGTGGCAATGCCACTGCCAACTAGTCCCACAATCCACATAATGAACGCGACCCAGTGAAAGGAAGGCCTCGCCACACTGCGCTGCCCTTTGAGTTCTATCTGCCAGTGAACCAGTGACTGTGATTGTATACGTGTGGGCTCAGTCAGCGACATACGTCGCTGGCCAGTGGAGCCAGGTGCCGTGCTAGGACGGGTGTTAGCCACTGGCGTCATGGAGGTGGAGTTGTTCCCTACGCGCTTTGTGCTCGGGGGAATGGTACAGACGCCGACCAGCCGCTGCCTCTCCCTGTTGCATGGTGAAGGGATCGCTTGCCTAAGGTACCTGCACCTTCAAATGTACGAGGGTTACCTGCTTGGTTCAGAACTTCGATGGAGGTCGGGAATGCCCCGAAACGCCGGCACCCTGGAACTTCACCTTGCATGGGGCCCCGCATCACGATGGAGGTGCTCCTTTTTCGCTAGTAGGATACTTGGTTGCCATTGCGAAGAGGTTCATCTACATGGCCTTCCACCCGGATTTGCCTGTGGTTGTTTGTTCGCATAGCCAGGCTGCAGGCCTACGGATGGTGGACCTCCTTGCCGGGCGCTTGAGTGCTCGCTCGAGCATGGCCAGACACGCACCGCTTGATGAAGGTAACGGGGAAGTTAGCTCTATTTTTTGGATTTCAGGAGCTGCCGATGAGTGCGGACCTGCACCCCTTTGCACAGCTGCCCAGCGAGCCTCGAACCTACACTCCAACGGTGCCTGTCAATTTGGGTAAGCTTGCGCAGTATGCAGTGTGGCTCTGTACTGACCCGGCGGTTGTCCGCTGCCACTGCCTGTGGTTGTTTACGGACACTGATGCCCTTGAGGAATACGACCACACGCGTCATACAGTACCCTGCCACACATTATCAACCGCTGTCTGTGGACAGGCCGTCACAACGAACGTCACGCCTGTGTCTTTTTCCCACTCCGGCAGGAGACTGGGCTGGATAGGGCGGTGGTTTGGTGGGGCAAGGTTTATGCACTGTGGATTATGAGGGCCTTACTCCCCGGTAAGCACATCATCCTGTCGGATCACGATGCGGCCCCAACTGCACTGTTCGAAGTGGCCGACCTGCAGGATCTGTGCTTGGACGCCCGAGATGTGCAGGCGTCCGCCGACACACTCATCCCGGCGCCGGATGACTCCTTGTGGAGATTTGCCCCGACTGTGCCAGCCCAGGGCTCCGTATGTCCCCACCGGTCCAGGGAGAGTGTTGGTGTCATCTTTGTCACGGAGCCCTCTACCGACGCCTCGCCGTTTTTACCAAGTAGCAGTAGCAGTAGCAGTAGTGGCAGTAGCAGTGGCAGTGGCAGTGGCAGCGGCAGCAGCAGTGGCAGTGGCAGTGGCAGTGGCAGTGGCAGTGGCACTGGCACTGGCACTGGCAGTAGCAGAAGCAGTAGTCGGTTGTACAAGTATGCTAATCGGCTTTTGTGACCGACAAGTGTCTTGTAGCCAAGCACACTGTGCAGCAATTGTGTCGATTCAAGTTTGCTTGTAGTGTGGCCACGAAGCCCAGTTCAGGCTCAAATCTTACTTACCGAACCTGTTGCCTGCATCCTGCCACGTGCGATGTCGATTGCCAGCACGGTTTTCGCACTGTGTGCAGATGCAGAATGTCCGTCAGATCAATCGCCCATGTTCTTTCAGTTGGCAGTCGCAGTTGAGCGGGCCACACAACATGAACCAATTCACGAAATGAACTTGGATCACTCTCTGTGGAACGCAACGAGCAGAGCTTTCCTCCTTCAAAGGCCTGCAGATGGAACGAAGCTGAGACGTTTCGAGCGGCTGGAACCGTCCCACCTGATCACGCGGTTGAGCGGTTGGAGCAAATATGTCACGGTCTCTGTGTATGCAGTGTTCTGTTTGGCTTGTTTTGGTCTTTCTGTACTGGGTGTGCCCACCAAAGCGCCACAGCATCCTGAAGTTCAGAAAGGCTGTCCTGCTAGCTGGGTGATCTACATGGGAGTTGTCTATGCTTTCATATATTTCAGCACTGACCAGTACGTGCCGAGTTTGCCAAAGATGGAGGCAGATTTGGGAGGCTCGCAATCATTGATGAGCGGCACAGTGCAATTGAATCTGGTTGTGAAATCCGTTTTCGGGCTCCTAAGTGCAGGTTTGTCTGATCGTATCGGCAGACGACCGATCGTTCTGACGTGCACCGTGTTACTATGCCTGGCCAGCCTTTGTTGTGCCTGTGCTGTGAAGGTTGAGTGGTTTGTGGCAGCACGCATCCTTCAGGGCATGGGAGAATCTGTCGAGCCTGTGGTGTTTGCGATGGCCCGAGTTTTTTTTGCCGACCCGGAGACACGTTTCAGGGTCATCACGGCAGAACAAATGATGGCCTTCGTTGGAATTGCTGCCGCCCCTATGTATGGAGGCTTGTGCGCAGAATTCCTGAATTGGCGCCTTTGTTTCATCGGCTTGTCAGTTGTATGGGGACTGCTCGCCACATATGCTGGCTTTTCGATGGTGGAGTGCAGTCCGGACGTCGAGCAGAAGGGCTATTTGAAGGACGTGGCGCGGATACTAGATCGACACTTCCTTTCTTTGTTGCTGACAGAGGGTTGCATCATGGGAGCATATTTCATCTTCAACGCCAACAGCAGCTATCTGACAGAAACGACCTTTGGCCAGTCTGTCATGACTTCGTCTGCTGTCATGATGGTGTTCGGAGCCCTCTGTGGGGTCGGTGCGTTGATCTTCGAGCGGCTCCAGTTGGGAAGTGTCCTTCGAATGGGGCAGATCGCCATGTCCCTCCTAGCTGTTTCTGGAATGGTAGCCTTCATTCTGGGGTTGCTGTTTTCCGATTACTTATGGTCGTATTTGACTGGCTCGTTCATGCAGGCATGCGTGCTGATGATGGCCTTGGTTTCCACAAATGTTTTGTTCTTTGAACCGTTAGAAGATGTTGCCGGCATGGCTGCTTCTTTCGAGATTGTGGCGCAGAGTGTCCTCCCTTGCGTGCTGTCTGCGTTCGCCACGCAGTCGATGATCCGAGTGGGCCCCCTAGGACTGACTCTCTGGCAGGCTGGCGCATGCGTGGCCGGAGGGCTGGTGTTCTGGCTAGGCTACGGCTGCTGCCCCCCGGCCTGGACGCAGGGAAACGCCAGTGCAGCCAGCGCAGCCGGGCCGGAGTCCTTGAAGTCATGCGAAAACGGTGCGACTGCCTGGACGCAGGACACACCGAATGCGCCGGAGTGCATGAAGTCATGAGACAAATGTGCGACTGCCAGGGACCAGGAACAGAATCTGCTAGCAAAGTTGAGCTCAGGTCTTTAGGTCGAAGGCTTCAGAGTTGTGAAGGCTGGCCTGACGGGGGTGTTCTTTCCGGAATTTGCTACCATCCCTTTGCCGCTTCTTTCCGGCTTATGAAGTGCCAAGCGGGCGAGCGGCACGCTTTCTGCAGGAAGTGTCATGGCATGGCGCAGCACGAGTAGTACATGTCCAGATAATCCCATCGCCAATCTTAGCGTTCTCCGCGCTTCTGCTGAACATACGCCCGAGTCGGGTTTGAAGTTTAGAGTTTAATGTAGGAAGCCGATTAAGAGACCCTGGCCCCATAACCCCCAATTTTTTAGGATCCATATTGAGAACCCTAGTACTTAAGGCCCAAGGTTTCTTAATCAGGGCCCTACACTATTATAGCACCCTTATAGATCCCTTAATCGTAAGCCTTATAGACCCCTTTAAAGGAACCCTTCGGGGTTTAAGTTCGGGGCCTCGAGCTTGGGCTTCAACGCCCTTACAAGGCGAAGCTCAGAAATCCCCGGAAGGAAAACCCCGGAAGACCCGAAAAATCTGTGGAGCGCATGGGCTGCTGGAGCTGGGAGGCGGGCGGCGGAGAGTCGGGAATTTCGAGGGTTCGGGGCCGTCCCGGTGAGGTAGCATGTAAGGTGTTGGAGTAGCACCGTGCAGGTAGTGAGAGAAGTTGAATCTCGACTATGGCACAGGGCAGGCACTATGGCCGTTGTCGTGTGGTAGCATGAAAACCGAGCACTGGAACACTGTATTCGTCCAAGATAGCGAGTGCGAAGATGCTGCTTTGTCATCATCGTAGTTGCCTGAAGAAGCACAAACATAAGACACACATAGGCCCACATAGGAACGTGGTGGACCCCGAAGGCAGCAAACAGCGTCTGCTGTCTGCATGCTTTTTTGCACATCTTCGTGTGCATGTGACATGCGTGTGTCTTTGCCTCGGTGCATCCGTGTAGCCGTCCATGTTTGGCTTGTTGGACATTGTACAGACCCTAAGCCCTAAACAAAACCCTAAACCCTAACCCTAAACATGGAGTGTGCATATGTCCTCGCGGCCGAGGCCTTTCCTGCTTATTCCGTTGTATTCTCGGCCTTCCTCAGCCGGCCCCAGGGGGGCCTGGAATTGGGGCAAAGAGCCGACAGCCCTCGAATCCTCGTAGCAAAACCTGTCCACAACGCGTTGTTGAAGCCTGGGAGGGGTAGTTGATTGCCTCTACATAAATCTTGGACGAGGTGGGAAAACATGGCCACCGCCAACGTGACGACTCCTCATCCTACTACTGTCTGCTACTCTCGTTCTTGCCCACTCGTGCTCCAAGTAATGTTCATTTAATGGTCATTTGCCCTTGCTGCCACTGCATGACTTGCTGCTGCTTCTCTGGCTGTGAGAATAGTGATCCTGGTAGGAGGTGTATCCGAACAGAAGGGCCCCCTGAATGAAACCAGCGATACATGACACGACAATGATACCTCTGCCTGGCGGCCTCAGTCGCCAGGTTGGCGTTGCTTGCTGCTCGGGGCGGCGGTTGGTCGCAGCTTCGACCGAAGCGGCGGGGCGGCGGAAGTGGGTCCATCGTGGTTTGGGCATGATTGGAGGTTGTGATGTTTCAAGGAAATGGACGAACTTGACAGTCAAACGATGGAGGGAAACGGGAAACAGCATATGAACACATATTATGTACAGACTAAGGAATGTGGATATATATATATATATATATATGTATGTATATATTTATATATCTACACATACACATAGAGATATACATACTCATATTCGCAGACACATCTATATATGCATAGATACAAATGCAACCGTACTGATCGTGGCAAGACGTGTGCAAGAACAGCATCCAGGGTACGGGCGATGAAGCGGTACTAGCGCACTAGCACCTACGACCACTCGAGGTCTACTAAGAACAGGTACCGGCGGGTAAAAACAGCAGCAACATTGGAAAGCGTCGTGATAGTCAGCAGAGAAACGCAAGAAGCACCGGAGGGTCCCTGGGAGCTGCAGGCCAGGCTCGGGGATTTCGAAAAGAGCCCCCGGGACTTGATGCAACCTTCGCAAAGCTCTTGGATGCGGTTGGACATACCGACCACAAAGCCCTCCCAGGTGCGCGCACACGGCTTCGGTGGACGCTGATCCTTGCAGGTTACTCAGGTCGCAGCGAGGTGAGTCATGACACCGTCGCAACCTGCTGTTTGCTAGCATAGTCATCATCATGGTAGATGAAACTATCACTCACTTGTTCTTTCGGTCCACCCGCTAGAGTTAGAACGTTTTCAATTGCGAATCTGTCAAGGCGTCTCTCGTCACTGCATCACAGCTTGCCGGCCGTCCAACCAGACTAAGCGATGTTCATGATTTGACGCCGCGAAATCGCAGTACACATGTCTGCCCGAGCTATAAAGGGACAGGAGTAACTACTGCTGCTACTGCTACGAGAATGACAAGAACCGCTACTGCCCCTGCGACGACTGCCACTACCACTGCCACTGCCACTGCCGCTGTCACTGCCGCTGTCACTGCCACTTCGACTGCCTCCGGCACTGAACCACTGCCACTGGCAGTGGCACTGCTACTGTTCCTACAACTACTGCAGCTACTTCTCCTACTGCCCCTCCTACTACTCCAACTTCTTACTACTCCCCGCTACTCCTACTACTCCCTGCTACTCCTACTACTCCTACTGCTCCTACTGCTCCTAGCAGTCCTATTGGTCTCCTACAACTACTAGTACACAGTGCCCAGTAGCGGGTCCATGGCATCCATGATGCAGTCGTAAGCTTCAGGCCCGAGAGCACGGGACACTGGTTTAGTGGGTCGTCTGCGGAGTTCGTCGTCGTAGTAGTAGCAGTAGCGAAGTCGTCGTAGAAGGAGGAGGAGTAGTTGTTGTACTAATACAGTCGTGATTACGAGAATTAGTGGTTCTTTTCTTCCATGGAGTTCACCCATAGCGGTGTCCATCCGTTTGCGATTGCGTCCTTGGCAGTGGAGGCGATCTTCGCACTCAAAGTCTTATGCCTGGCTTGTTCTTATGGGCAGCTCATCAAGCAGAAAGTTCGAAATGCTGCAGCAGCATTGGGCAGATTCGCATCTCAGCCGTACATATCCAGACGGAGCGCCGAGGAGAAGATCAGATTTGAGGAAGTGCTCCAGTTGCGAGTTCAGATGATTCCCTTCTACATGGTGTGTTGTGTTGTGATGTCACATCTCGGTCTCATGACCGGTCTCTTCCATGTAGCTTGGGATGGGTGGATGCAGCCTGGAGGTTACTGGACATCCTTAGCGCTTTGCGTGGTAAACATGACCTATTTGTTCAACCCACGAGTTGTATCTAAACCCACCATGAACTTGTGGTATGTTTTGCACATGACATTCGGTGCTTTGTATCTGGCGCCTTGGTCAATAGCGCCCGCGCAGACATTCAATGCGTCCTTGGCGGTGCTTGCGCTCATACGGCTGCCTGCGATACTGCTTGCTTCTACACCTCTTTTGGTTGTTGGATGCAATTTGGGAGTTAGCGCTTTGCTCGTTGTACGAACAATGTCTGAAACTTGGGCTCCGCCGGCCTGCAATATTTTGCAACCAGCACTTACACTGCTGTGCGGCGAAGTGCTCGGCCTTGCTTTGACTACTAGTTCGGCCTTCCTTTTGAATGGGCTTCTGCACCACAAGGTTAAGCGTGACACCAGGCACAAGAACACCACAACCCAGTTGGTGGCAGCATCTTCGTTGCTCAGCATCACATGTGATGCAGTCGTTGAACTTGATGCCGACCTCCGGATTACAAAAGACTCTCCTCAGTTGACCACCATGTTGCTCCGAGACAGGGCTGGTGCCACAGTGAAAGGCATGATGTTTACGGATCTGATGCCGACAGAGGATGAAGCGGAACGAGCCTATGAGATACTCTCTGGTAGGAGCTGCACAGAGACGGCTGCTGGCCGGGAAGAAGGTATCTATGCGAATGCCTTTCACACCCGCCTTGTTGACAGCTGCTCCAGCAAGTTCCGAACAGAAGTCTTCCAGGTGGGAGTTTCCGAAAACAGGGGACCCCAGTATAGTATCTCCCTAAATGTAGTAGGATCCTTAGTAAAAGGACGTAAAGATAATGTACCCCCCTTTTTTTCGGAAGTCTTCCCAGGTGGCTTACAGCCAAGTGGATGGCCAAGTTCATCATCTCATAGGTCTGCGTGACTTCACAGATCAAACAGCCTTGGCTGGCGAGAAGGCCGTGGATGCCAAGGAGGGCTGTGTTTCGAGTACGATCGACGAATTCCCGTGGGAACCCGCTCAGGACCGAAGCCATGGCAGGGAGCGATCTGAGTCTGAGGAGATGTCTGTAGATGACACGGTCTTCTTGTACGTCGACATGCAACGTTGGCGTGTGACGGCTGCGTCGCTGACGGTGGCGTACATGTCTGGCAAGGACTTGGGGGAGCTCTTCTCCGAAAACGGGCTCAAGTTATTACAGCACATTTGGGAGGAGGCGACGGGAGAGCAAGAAGATTTGATGTACCCGCTCCATCAGCTGAAAGTTCATTGCGGTGATGGTCAGTACGCCAAGATCTCTGGCCGAGTGGAGGTCGCCAAAGCACAAACGGGGGAGATTTGCCTGTTGCTGTATTTCAAGCCCACACGTCACATCCTCCGGAGCTATTGCCCGCCGAGTCCAGACTCTTGGACATGTTTTGGGACTCCCTACGGCGTAACGGTTGAGAATATCAATCCTGCAGTACACATAATAAGGAATATACCTGCCAGAAGACCCCCCATCTCTCCCAGTCGGCGAGGCAGACGCAGCTTCAGCTTCAATGAGTGTGGTGAGTGTATCGGAGGATGCACCCGTCGTGCACCATTCCTTGTAAGTTACTGTATCTGGGTGCAACCCCGGTAGATGGCTAGGAACACCTGGCAGCAGTGTTTTTACACTTTTCGCCAGGTTGCTCAATTGCACAGAAAAGTGGGTCGGCACCGGTCGGCAAATTGGCCGTGAAGGCTGTGAAACAGCTTCTGCGCCGGCGCCCGACATTGAAGCTGCCTGCCAGGAGATTCGAGTACGACTCTAAGACCTTAAGACTTATCAGCGAGCCAAAGAGACTGATCAAAAGAGGCGTCCAACTCCACCAGCAAAGCTTGCAATATTCACAATGCTGCTTCGGAGTGATGGGCCAGGTGGGAGTAACACTGCACCTTCATATCCCAAGAGCTGTGTTTTCTTTGAGTTAACCTTTGTAGAGCAGCGGATGCTGAGGCGGATCTTGAGCTTACCGAGCAGGAACCTGACAAGATGCCGAAGGTTCATCTCGGCGCTTTCCGGAGGCCACCTGGGGGTGTTTTTGGTTTGTCAGGGCTAGAATAGAAGTCTGCTTACGTGAAGGTTTCGCGTGCGTGGGAAGCGTGCAAGCTGATCACATGGGAAGAGTAGTGGAAGCTTTCCTTTGGGTGCCCCACTTAACGAAGATGTTCCGCCACGGCATAAAGGACCAGGCAGCAGAAAGGAAGCATGGAATAGTATTGCGACTCCTTGCGCTGACCCCACTGCCCTTGCTGCAGTTTAGGAACCTTAACTAACTCCCTTGTCTTTGCCTCACGCCCCAGGTTTCCTTGCCAACTTCGTCTTTGGGCTTCTCTTGACGTGGTGCCGCAGCCTCTGGTAAGTTGTCTGCAGGAGCGCGGGGGTTGGCAGTCCTTTTGTCGAGAAGCCCTTGGGCTGCTTCGTGTCGCTGCAGATCCGCACGCTAGTGTCACTAGTGTGTAGATATTCCCGAAGCCGAAACATGACCCGTCCGTTTTGTATTCCTGTCGTTTTTTGTCATGCGTGTACCATGTCTAAAGCGTGTCGATGTGTCACAGAAGGACGTCAATATCCATAAGAGCGCCACACCAAAGCAAACTCTAGAATCTCTAGAAGAAATTGTCTTCTCACCTTGGTAATTTCTGTCATTTTTGTCATGCGTGTACCTTGTGTGAAGTTTTTCGAAAGGTTGCACCGGTTTGCGGTGGAAATGACAGGGTTGAGGTGACGGAATGCCGGGGGGTGACCGGGCCAACGTGGGTGACGGAAATGACGGGCAGAGTCTCCCGTGTGGTACTTCAGTTCCAGCTCCCAAGATTGGGCCGTCGCAGTTCTTCTGGCCGTTGGAGTTAATCCCCAGAAGTAGATAGGCCCTTCAGGATCGAAGGTCCATGTCCAAAAAGGCTTGCTGAAGGACCCTGGCAAAAAGTGGGGAATAATTTAGAAGCTGCCCCCACCCTGTAATAGTCACTATAAGGATTATATTAGGGCCCTACTATATTTCTATTATACCACTATTACAGGGTAGGGGCCCCTTCTAAGGAATAATCATATTCTAGATGTTTCAGTGTTTTTTGGTGAAGCTCGCTGGAAGCTTCTAACAGCGAATTCAGACTCTACTTGGAGGTTCATGGTTACTTATAAGTAGGGTTCTGATACAAGTAGGATAACTGTAGTTATAACTTATAAGCCATGTTAAGGGACTTATAACACTACTTACAACTACCCATAAACCTCCAAGTCTTCGATTCCATCTTTGAACTCGAGATCCTCGTTCAAATTCGGTGATGACATCTCGATTCCTTTCGTTGACACTCGAGTCTGTCGGGAGGGGAATTGGAAGCTTTTCCAGATGTTGCCGGAGCTGAGGAGGGGATGGACAGATGGACAAACAGGATGTTTAACATCGCAGTTCCCCGTAGATACTTACCGTGAACTTTCCTTTTTGGACCACCTGGAAGACTTCTTCCTTATTTCTGGCACTGTAAGATGAAGGAGGTCCTTTGTTATCTGTTCAAGTTTTCTGCTTTACTGTCATGTGTGGCTGCTTGCTACATCTTGTTAGACATGTGAAAGGCTGATTGCGGATCACAAGGGCCTGTAGGCTTCTCGTGCTGCAGCCTGTCTCCCATGATCTTGCAAAGAATTTGTGCAGTACAGGAACTACGTGCACCGCTAACATAAAACTAAACTGAGTATGCATCAGGGCATTCGGAAAGTTTGCCAGCTTGATAAACGATTGTGGCACCAGCAGACGCGCTTGCCCGCAATGGCCCGCCTTGGCTTCCTTGGGCTCAGACGAGCACTCGGCGTGAGGAGCTGTGCCAGCGAAGCGCGGATCGTCGCCGAGCAAGTTGGTCCTAGCAGCGAGAAGCAGCGGCTGAAGGTGGTCGTGGCGGTTGGTGGCAATGCGCTCATTCGAAGAGGTGAGCGGTTGACGATTGAGAACCAATTGAAAGCTGCTCGCAATGATGCAGCGCCCATGTTGAAGAAGCTCATGGCAGATCATTCGGTTGTCCTCACACATGGGAAACTCTGCTGGTGAATGCAGCACGTTTAGCAGTTGGTTTTGATATGGAAGATTACGACTTCTAGTTGCCAACCTCGATTTGAGCTTTTGCATGACCAACCCAACAGTGTTCAACTTGGTCCATTTGAGAGTTTCCGAAAATAGGGGACCCTAACATAGTATCCTAAATAGTAGGATCCTTATCATAAGGACCCCAAAATAAGGTACCCCGCATTTTCGGAAACTCCCATTTTTTGGTTTGAGATTGTTCGAAGCATCACCCCCTTCCTTCCGTCTCCTCCCCAAAACCCTTCCCTCTCCCAGCGGCTCTCTTCAGCTGACAGCGGCGTGTCCTGTATCCTCCCTGCTACTTTGGGCTTCAGTTATAATAAGGCACCTAATATTTAGGGTACCCAAAAAGGGACCCTAATTTTGACAACCACCCTCTTATACTTACACTGACATGCCCATAGAACACTCAGAGACTTGGGAACTCCCTCAGTGACTTGAGGACTCCCAATTCAGGCAAATCATTTTATCAATGAACTGGAAGTCATCATTGAAGATTCGCTTGGCCAGCTCCCAGTAGCTGCAGACTCCCTGGTAATCTGATCATAGTCAGTTTGCCTTGGTGGCATCAGCCGGTGCTCCTCTGGCCCTAGACTCGCCGTGCCGTCTTTGATGCAACATGTCTCCTCGATTGCTGGTTGAAGCGAGAGTTGGTCAGCCATATTCCCAGAAAGCCCAATACCCCTTAAATCATAAGGGGATTCATATCATGATTTAAGCTATGTTCGTTGATTAAGGGATATTGGGCTCTCTGGGTTAATGACAAACCCCAGGTTCCGATTAGGGCCCTACCTACCTACCTACCTACCTACCCCAAACCCTAAACCCCTAAACCCTAAACCCTAGCTACCTACCTACCTACCAGTTTGACTTTTTGGGTGGTCTGTCTGGACATGGGCCTGGGGTCTTGTCCGATTGGGTGGGCCTGGGGGTGGGCCCTTTTGGGAGGGCTCGGTCCTCCTTTTGGGTGGTTGTCAAAATTAGGGTCCCTTTTTGGGTCCTTATTATAATACGGCACCTAATATTAAGGGTACCCAAAAAGGGACCCTAATTTTGACAACCACCCTCTTATACTTAGAAGACAAACTTGCACGTCCGACATCTTTCGATTATTGAACACTCCAGGAGCTCAGTCAATTAGATTATTGGCAATTGTCTGTACATGTTGGGTTTCTGCCCTGGTCTTGGTCACTTCCCTATGCTGGAGTTTATCCAAAAGCCAAATGCGAGATTATAGGGATCAGTTTCCATAGTTCTGAAATTGGTCATTTGCAACGGGGGGCGACTAATTTTGAAGACATCCTTTGTGAAGCAGCCTGACTAATTGCATCTGAAGCTAACTCATTTAAGTCAGGGGGGAGGCCGCGCAACAGCTTGGGCGCAGATTTCCATGATTCTGCAATGGAAAGGTCAGAAGTTGGGAGTGTGATATGGGAGTTCCCGAAAAAGAGGGGATCCTAATATAGGACCATAAATAGTAGGATCCTTATTACAAGGACCCCAAAACAAGGTACCCCTAATTCTCGGAAACTCCCATATTAGCCAAAGGCTCTCATCAGGAACAAGGGCTGAGACCCCGGCACTGCGTCATCAAAGACTTCCTTGAAAGATGAAACTCAACTCTCAACGTAGTTGGCCTTCAATGCCACTTTTGGCTGTGACAGAGCTCTGTTGTGGCAGTTTGCTTCAATGCCACTCTGCCGTTCTGTTGCGCCCACCTCTCTGTTACACTATTGCCGAAATGCTTACACTTTTCTCTTCAGTCTCCTTCACACGGCACTAATTACATATTTGGTCGCTCGGATAGCTGTTGCAGACAGGGCACGCGCTGCAGCACGAGTGTTGCGAATGTTGCTCACTTTCTACTTGCGGCACTGGCCAGGGCCTGGTTTCACTACACACCTGACGGGGCTGAAGCCATCCAAGCAGCCGGTTCCACGCAGTACTTCCACCATTGATCGCTACCCTCTCTCAGCACCTGTTTAGTTGCAAATACATTCCCCGACAGATCATAATTATCAGATTCCTTTATGCAGTGTTTCAATGGCTTCCTTGGCTCGTTGAGTCTGTCCACCCTCACAGCTAAGGAACGGGCCACAGGTGGGAGTTGCCGAGAATTAGGGGGTATTTCATTTTGGGGTCCTCAAATTAAGGATCCTACTATTCAGGGTACTATACTAGGGCCCCTATTTTCGGACACTCCCAGAAAAGGGGGACCCCAGTATAGAGCCTTATAGTACCCCTCGTTAGATCCTTATTATAGGAAACTCCCACATTGGCGGGACCCTAATGTAGTACCCTAAATAGTAGGATCCTTATTATACGGACCCCCACATGAGGTACTCCCCTTAGTTTTTGGAAACCCTAAGCCCTAAACCCTTCATAGAACCCTTCTAGATCCCTTAAAGCAAACCTTAAAGGATCCCTATAAAGGAGCCCTAAGGTACCCCTAATCTTCGGAAACTCTAAACCCTTTTAGAGCCCTTTAAAGGGACCCTCATAGTACCCTTATAGTAACCATTCAGAGAAACCCTAAGGTATCCCCCTAATTTTGGGAAACTCCTTAAACCCTAAACCCCCCAGGTGGGAGAGCTCGCCCTCGAGAGATCCGCGGCGACCTTCGACGTCCTCGGTGCGGAATCCCAGGGCCAGATCGGCTACATCTTCTCACAGGCCGTCTGTGGTTCTTAGGTTATACTTGGAGGTTCATGGTTAGTTATAAGTAGGGTTATAAGTTATAAGTAGGATAACTTAACTCATATCAAGGGACTTCTCACAGGCCGTCCGGTGGTAGGGAATGGAGGTTTTGGGGTTTAGGGGTTTAGGGTTTAGGGTTTAGGGGGAATGGATCCCTATAGTAGTCCCTATATATTCTCACACGTCGTCTGTGGTTCTTAGGTTACATAGGGATTACTTGGAGGTTCATGGGTAGTTATGAGAGGGGTTATAAATCCCGTAATATGAGTTCTTATAGTTATCCTACCTATAACCCCTTATAACTACCATGAACCTCCAAGTATAGGGACTACCATAAGGGACCGTTAAGGGTTTGGTGCTTAGTAGGGAATGGGGGAATGGATCCCTATAGTAGTCTCCATATCATCCCCAAGAATGGTCCCCATGGCCCATTCCCCCATACCCTACGAAGAACCAGACCCTAAACCCTAAGCCTTATAGAGTGCCTACCAAGATCCCCCTAGGGTCTCCCATTATAATCCCCAAGAGTGACAGCAGGCCATGGCCGGCGTGGGCGTCTCGTCAGCCTGCCTTGTGACTCAAGTGATTGTGGATCCTGCAGATGCGGCCTTCCAAAATCCAACGAAGTTTGTGGGTCCCGTGTACGGCGCAAAGGAGGCTGATGCACTGCACCAGAGCCTGGGATGGACCATGAAGCCCGATGGCGAATACTTCCGCCGTGTCGTGTCATCACCTGTACCACTGGAGATCATGCAGATCGAGTCAATCAAGCTACTTCTCGCAGCACAAACACCGCAAGGACCGTTGCCCATCGCTTGCGGTGGTGGTGGCGTCCCTGTTGTGCGAATGGGCACAGCATATGCCAACATCCCTTCTCATGCTCTTGAGGGAATGGAAGCGGTCATCGACAAGGATCGATGTGGTGCGCTGCTTGCACAGCAGCTGGACGCAGACGCCTTCCTCATCTTAACAGATGGCGGAGGAATTTGGAGAAATTTCGGAAAGCCCGATGCCAAGGAGATGAAGGAAGCTTCGATCGCATACCTAGAAGGCACCAAGGCAGGTTCAAAGTTTCCTGGTTCGATGGGCCCAAAAGTCGCTGCTGCCATTGAATTCGTGAAGAATTCTCCAAACCCAGATGCATTTGCTGCGATCGGAGACTTGAATGATGCTCATGCCATCTTTGACAACCAAGCGGGCACCATCATCAAAAAGAATGTGCCTGGTGATGTTGTGTGGTATGATAGGTCAGAGGAGGGCACGCCGAAAGGTACAAAGGTGGATCGAGTTCCTCGCAACCCATGACTATGAAGTGGCAAGGGCTACCCCTTTCAGAACATCACTTTTGCACTGCCATTTCACAAGTTTTAACGAGGCTGCGCCTCTCTCAATTTTTAGCTAATTTTGCTCCATTTGGGAGGCCTGGAGGGCTTCGATCCTTTTTGCATTCTGTACAGTGAGAATGATCAGACAGATAGACAAACCCAGATCAGACGTTGCAGAAGCGGCGCGGGCTTACAAACATTGGAAAGAAGGGCTTGGTTTTTGACGTGCCTGCAGAGCACAGCTGCTTTATGAAAAGGTGTAAAAGCATTTGGAGAAGAGCTGCAGGTCTCTGCCGACTGCCTCAGAAGTTGCTGGACTTGGCGTCACTTGGCTTCAGGTGCTTTGCATTTCCTCGGTCTTCGCACCAGACCTGTTTTTGCCGGGAAGACAGCCAAAACCATAAAGTAAAGGCGGGGTTGTCAAAATAATGGTCCCTTTTTGGGTCTCTAATATAGTACGGCACCTAATATTTAGGGTACCCAAAAAGGGACCATAATTTTGACAACTACCCAATAGAGGAGTGGTTGTGCTAAGTTCTTGCAGCGACACATGCTGAAGCGGATCTGGCGAGGTCCGTGATAGCCGAGCAGTGTTGTTGTTCCTGGTGTTCCTTTGCCGGGGGGCGCAGGGGGTAAGTGCTCAAGGTGTAGGGTTTAGGGCCGGTGCGGGTCGAGCCCCACTTATTCCAACAGTGGGTCATTATACTTACCATACTAAGAGTATAAAGATACAGCAACCTACTACAGGGTTTGCTAGGCTTCATCGGTAGGGCTTCATAAATAAAGCTCTTAGGTTCAAGTAGTAGGCCTTCAACTTCGGAAAGAAGGAGGGGTACTTGACGTGACAGCTCGCTTCCGGCGAATCCAGATGCAGGCATCTGCTGGATAGCTGATTCTTTGGCTCAGGGTTGTTTCGGTGTCCTGGCCCTGGGCATAGCCCCAGAGAGCCCAATATTCCTTCATTAAGGAATATAGCTTAAATCATAATAAGAATCCCTTTATGGTTTAAGGTCTATTCCTTCATTAACGGGTATTGGGCTCTTAGAAGAACCAGACCCAGACCCTAAACCCTACACCTTGTAGTTCCCCTATAAGGATCCCTTTAGGGTCTCTTATACTAATTCTCCATATCCCTAAACCCTAAACCCTAAACCCTAAACCGTTATAGTCTGCAAAAAGAGCTCTCCCCCGGTTTCGCCGGATCTTCCGGGAGGCCGCTGCGGAGCGCTCCACCTCACGTTGCACGGCCTCGTGGATAGTTGTCAAGTTTTAGGGTTTAGGGTTTAGGGTTTAGGTACCCAAAAAAAGTAGGTGTCGTACTATACCAGGTACCCAAAAAAGGGACCATAATTTTGACAACCACCCACTTGGATTCTGGCAGAAAGCCTGTCGAGGCAGACGAGTGCTCAGGCTAAGGCGGGTACTTTATTCACGGATCCCTAGTCCTTGCGCCCACTTGCCAAGCTTTTAAACCCTGAAGACAAGAACTCTAAAGTCTAAAGCCCAACCCTGAACCTAGAAACCTCTTGCGTTCCAAGCCCACCCCCGTGCATCGAAGGCCCGGCTTTTCTGACAAGAAGTTCCGCAAGCAGACGCTGTTGGAGCCGAGCTTGCAAGCATCACTGTTTGTTTGCTGTTGCTTCCGATTTTTGATCTTGAGATCTCATCGTTGCTACGAGTCCCCCACTCCCATCCGGAAGTCAGGTCATCCGCAGCTCCACTCGCATGTCCCGAGCCATGCATTTCACCTGCATGATCATGTTGTTTGCAGGCACCTGAAGACTACTAGCTGCCAAACTTGCGGGTTTCCACACTTCCACACAACTCTCGAGTACATGCGTTGACAGCTCGGATCAAGTCGTTGAGTTGCTGAGATTTTGTAGTTCTTGATGCCATGGGGGTCTGGGAGTCCTGCAAACCCTTTGTGACTGGCAGCTTGGCGGGGTCCATAGCGGGCACGATCGTCCAGCCCATTGACATCGTAAAGGTGGGGGTTTCCGAAAATAGGGGACCCTAACAAAGTACCCTAAATAGTAGGATCCTTACTATAAGGAACCCCCATAATAAGGCACCGTACCCCTATTTTTCGGAAACTCCCAGGTGCGCATCCAACTCGCAGCTGCAGAGGGTGGAAACACGAGCGTCGCTCACGTCGCACAGACTTTGCTGAGGCAAGATGGCCCGGCAGGCTTCTAGGCTCTTCTGGCTCGTTTTAAGACGGATCTATAAGGGCTCCTTGAAGGGATCTACAAGGGCTCCTTTTAAAGGGATCTATATGGGCTCCTTTTTAGGGTTTAGGGGTTGAGGTTTATGCTACCGTAATAGGGATCCGTAGTAGGTAAGATGCTTTCTTTGTGGGAATTTAAGCTGGATCCCTAAACCCTCAACCCTAAACCCTTTAAACCAGAGCCCAGGCTTCTTCCAAGGGATCACAGCCATGTACGCAAGGCAGGTGCTCTACACGGGCTCGCGCCTGGGCCTCTATGACCAGTTCACCGCCATGGCTCACAGTCCTGGAGAGGCAACTCTGCCCTTTTGGAAGACGTCGCTCTGTGCTCTGAGTGCAGGTAGGCGTTTCCGAAGATAGGGGACCCTAATAAGCTACCCTAAAGGACCCCAAAATAAGGTACCCCTAATTTTCGGTGATTTTCAGGTGGTATTGCAGCTGTCATCGGGAATCCTGCGGATTTGTCGCTGGTGCGCATGCAGGCCGACAACCTGCTGCCTGAAGCGCAGCGTCGCAACTACAAGCATGTTCTGGATGCCTTCGCCACAATAGCAGCTTGCATGCTTCTGTGGCATAAAGTTCTCTAGCTTCCTTTCACGAGGAGACTTTTTACATGGCTGAGTAGGGCCCTGCTATCAGAGTGGGGGGAATGGATCCCCATAGTAGTCCCCATATCATCCCCAATATGAATCAGTCCCCATATTCCATTCCCCCTTCCCTACAAATAACCAGACAGCATAGTATCCTGATAGATCCCTTATAGAAACCTTTAAAGGAACCTCTTTCAAGGAACCCCATTCCCCACTAAGAACCACTCAGTATAGTATCCTTATAGATCCCTTCTTGACCCCTTTAAAGGAACCCAGACAGTATAGCATCCTTATAGATCCCTTCTAGACCCCTTTAAAGGAACCCCACTCCCTACAAAAGAGCCCGTCAGGTGAGGCAGGAGGGAGCGGGAGGCCTCCTCCAGGGTGCCCCAGCCACGGCCTTGCGTGCCATGGGCCTGAATTTTGGGATGCTGGCCTTCAACTCCAAGGCCGGCTTAGGCTTTAGGCTTTAGGGTTTAGGGTTTAGGGTTTGGGGGTTAAGGGGTTAGGCCATTGTCCGAGGTAGTATTGGGGTACCCCCTTAAAGGGGACCCTTCTTAACCCTACTTCTGGGTCTCTTTAAAAAGACCTTATTGAGAGGGTCTACATGCCCAAGGGTCCCCCTAATCCTATTTCCTACATTGAGTTCTTGTTAAGGGGTTTGAAAAAGTTACCATAATAAAGAGGCCTTGTCATTTGCTATAGATCTCTATGTCGGTACCTCAAAGAACCCATGTTATTTACCATAGATCCCTGTTAGGGTACCTTTAAAAAATCGATCCCTTAAGAGAAGAACCCGAAGGCCAAGCCTAAACCCCAAACCCTAAACCCTAAATCCCAAACCCTAAACCCCAAACCCTAAACCCCAAACCCTAAACCCCAAACCCTAAACCCCAAACCTTAAACCCCAAACCCTAAACCCCAATCCCAAACCTAAACCCCAAACCCCAAACCCTAAACCCCAACCCTTAAACCCTAAACCCTAAACCGTAAACCCCAAACCCTAAACCCTAAACCCTAAATCTTATAACCCCAAGGCCAAAGAGCAGCTGGCAGCCATGGGATTCGAGAAGGGCGGCAACGTGCAAGTCTTCGGAGCAGCGCTGGCCGGCGGCTTTTTCGGCTCGGTCTTCTCCCTTCCTTTTGACTTCGTAACTTAGATCCCCAATACCCAACTGTTAAACTTGTTGGGTTGTTAGGGTATAGTAGGAATCGGAAAGTTTAACCTTTTATTTCTGTGGCTTATTGGGGGAGTAAGGTAAAGACGCAGCTGCAGAAGATGAAGCCCGACCCAACCACTGGGGAGATGCCCTTCAAGGGGCCGGCGGATTGCGCGTTGAAGACGCTGCGTGCCAGTCCCCTTCGCTTCTACTCTGGCTTTCCAGTGTACTTTGCCCGCACAGGGCCTATTTCTACCATCACGCTCATTGTTCAAGATCGCATCAAGAAACTGTGGACTGCCCTTGACTTGTGACAGGAGTTCGAAACGTCAGCATTTCTCTTGCTAGCCCAATTTTCGTTGGCTGCCAAGCGCGGCAGCACCAAGCTTAGTCCACGTGCCTTAAGGGACGCAGTTTTCCTACCTTTTCCGACAATTTACCGGTGACAGAGAGGCGATAGATGATTGGAGATCACCAGAATGTTTGGTGGTGCTGGAAGACTGGAACGCCTCTGCTGCCAAGCATCCGGAAAAGAGGATGTCGTGGTTTCCAGAAAGGCACGGTACAACCAGTAAGTATGCATGTGTGGAGTATCATATTATGTGCTCGAGGGTGTGAGAATTGATGGAGCGCATGTGCTCCATGTAGTTGTTCATAGGACATAGGAGACTGAGATTAGGCAAGCAAGAAAACACGGTATACATCTCTTTCACACTACACCTCTTGCAGCCGTGCCTTAAGAATAGAAAGGAGAAGGGGGATGTCCAAAGAATCCTAAACCGTAAAAACAGCGCTTACGGCCCCGAGCCCTTGGTTTTGCTTCCTGCATGCATTTCGGCATCCGTGCACTCCCATCATGGGACCCTTAGGGGGGTTGGGGGAGGGGGGTAGGGGAGCAATCTTGCTTGAATGGGCCTTATTAGGTCCCAATTGTGGGCATTAAGGCCCCCTACCCCCCCTCCCCCTATCCCCCACAGGGTCCCTATGACTCTCAGCAACGCATTCCCGCCTTTCTTTTCCTTCTCAGGGTTTAGGGTTTGGCATTCCACCTGCGAGATCAAAGAGCTTGAGTTTGTTCGGGCAGTGCAGCTGCTCTAGATCTGGAATCCTGGCAAATTTGTCTTACAACATGAGAAAAGCAACACCAAATTCCAGGATAGCCGTGAGATTTCCAGAGTTGAACTGTTGGAACCAACACAAGAGAAGAAACTTGCAAACACCAGGATGGGTTAGGGCTCTCCACTTCCACCATTTATGAAAGCAGCTGGCTTGGTAAGAGTTGACTCCTCCTGCATGCGGACTCCTCACGGTAAGCTACTACCTTAAACCCTAAGCACTATCGCGCGTAGAAAAGTAGTATAGAGTAGACGAGTGGCATGAAGAGTTGTAGAGCAGAAGAGTAGTAGACGAGTGGACGTGCAAAACTAGTTGCTGCCGAGCATGAAAAAGTAGAGAAGACTAAATTAAAGTATCATGCTGTCTTTGAGGGTGCCGACGCTTCCCTGCAGTGCCCCGGCTCTTAGACATCGGGGCCCCGTGCCTTTACTCCTCCATGGCGTTGCTCGGGGCGGGCTGGGCTGCCTTGGCTTTGCTGGGCTTTGGAAGTCTGCCGCTGGCCAGTGCGCAGATTCAGGTTAGGGACCCCAAAAGCACATAAGCATAAGCATTTTCTGGGGATATCCCTACCTTCTTGGCCTTCCTTTTAAGGGGATTTATATGGGCCCTATCAGGGTCTCAGCCTCAAGCGCGACAAGTTTCTGAAGGTGGTAGCCGAAGTCAACCCTCCAGCTGCTGGGCTTGCATGCTCCCTTTTTTTTTCATGTTCGTCCAGGAGCGTGTAGGCCCTGTTTAAGGGGTTCCTGCAGCGTCAGACTGTTCAGGTTTTGGACGTTTCAGATGGCCTGAAGACATTTTGTGGGCAGAAGCTCGACCATTTCGACAGCGACAGCACGAAAACCTGGTGCCAGCGCTACACGACAAACAGGACTTACTGGAAAGCGGGTGGGCCAGTCTTCGTCTGCATCGACGGGGAAGACTATCCATGGGGAGGAACTCGCAAGCCCTACACCCTCATGTGCAACAACATGATGGAGCTTCCTGGCTCGGTCTATGCTTGCTTCTTTTTTTCGGTCACCCCCGGAGCTTTCATGCCACAGTAAGGGCGTCTTGGGTGTAGGTTGTACTATCTCTCGGGGAGTATTTTCCGGAAGCCGTGGCCCTAAACCCTAAACCTTGATCAAATTGCTCAAGCCTGAGCTGCAAGCATACTCGTCGCAGCTCCGCACTCTCGACTCGACTAAACCCCCAAACTCCGCTACTCTCAACCCGAAACTGCGAACCGGTAGCCGCTAAACACGACGAGGTTGGCCAAAGAGTTCCATGCAATGGGAATGGCTGTGGAGCACCGCTACTACGGCGGAGCGGCTTTTGATGGAGTTCCGGACTTCTCAGCAGCCAACCTCAAGTATCATTCTTCAAGACAGGTGGGCCCGCTGATTGATCGCGGTCATCTTCTGCAGTGTTCTTGTTCTGCTTGTCGTGGTTGTCGTCGCCTCTTCCGTTCCGGTTGCAGTAATGTTGTTGCTGGGACTCTAGAAGGAGCAGTGCTAACGGTCCTTGAACTTTTGATCGTATTGCAGGCATCTATATCGAGCAAGAGGAGCAAGTTTCTGGCTTGCCCGGCCTTCATGTTAGAAGTGGATGTCAATATGAGTTGAGGGTCCCTGTTTGGGTCCTTATTCTAATCCGGCACCTACTATTTAGAAAGGGGACCTTAACTTTGACAACCACCCAAGTTGCATCCTTGGTCTCCCAATCCCAAAACCTCGGCACCCCCCCCCCCCCCCCCCCTCGGGCTCCGGGCCCCGGGCCCCCGGAAACTCGGAACTTTTTACAGGCCCTGGCGGACCTTGCCGCAATCCACGACTACATCGCTCCTTGGCCCAGGGAAGCGCGCCTCATGCTGCTTTTTTAAACGTTCGGGTCTCCTCAATGCTAGCTCTAGGGAGCTGCTGTTTGATGCCCGAAGTTTCAGAGGCGTGTTACTTTCCTGAGCCTTGGCTAACAAGTTGCGATTCTTGAACATTCACGATTGGTGGAGCTGTTGTAGCAGTGCTTCGTCTAATCATGAGAGGGCTCAAGTACACAAGCATCATGGCTGATTGTGATGTCCTTGAACGGCTGTTCTTGATGTGCGACGTCGTCGTGCTGCTGCGACTGCCACCGCTGCTGCCGCTACTGTACTGCTGCTGCTGCTGCTGCGTCTGCTGCTGCTGCTGCTGCTGCTGCTGCTGCTGCTACTGATGCGATTGCTATCGCTACTGCTAACACGGTAACCGTTACGAGAACTGCAGCGCGGACAACAAGGACAATAATGCCGATGTGATGTGACCTGTCAGTATGATCGCGATAACGACAACCAGCCAGACCGCACGTAAGAAAAAATCCATTGGTATGGCAACTGATTTGATGACGACGATGGCGAGGACGATGATGACATTGCCGTGCTCATGGCGATGGTGGTGACGGTGCCAACGGAGATTGTGTTGTTGCTCGAAGTGTGTTGTTTCTGTACAAGCCAAGTCTTCGCCTTCGCATCTCCTCATCCAGTGCATCGACAGCTAAGCCAAGCATCCCTTTCTCGGAAGTTAGTCAGGCTTCTCCGGAATTGAGGGTCAACAGTTGGAGGGTCGCACACTCACAGCCTCTAAACCCTACCAGAAAACCCTCTCAGACCGTGACAAGCCCTAGAAGGAGCCGCTAACCCAGCACAAAAACTTTGAAACTCCCTGATCTTCAAGGTGGGCACGTCCTCCTTTGAAGTGGAAGGAGTTCCCTGGGTGGCCCGTTTCTGTATATGGGTAGTTGTCAAAACTCTGATCGCTTTTTGGGTAGCAGAAAAATATTAGGTGCCGTATCGTACAAAGGACCCAAAAAGGGACCGTAATTTTGACAACCATACCTATGGGATCTTCCGAAAGTTAGGGGTACCTTCTTTTGGGGTCCTTATACAGAGGATCCTAGCATTTAGGGTGCTAGACTAGGGTCCCCTGTCTTCGGAAACCCCCACCTTTACGATGTCAGTGGGCTAAGGGACCATAACCCTAAACCCTAAACCCTAAACCGCCATAATTTTGACAACCACACATATGAGCGGTTGTCAAAACTATGGTTGCTTTTTGGTCAAGGTACCCAAGAAGGGGCCTTAATTTTGACAACCACCCATAGATTGCTTTCCCTTTGCAGACTGGGGATCCGGAGTTGCGGCATCTCTGGGGATCTGAGGATGTAGCTCTTCTTGGACTTCTGCTTTACTGAGAGACTTCGAACCAAAAAAAAACTGCAAAAACAGCCCTAGAAGGGCGAGGGGTTTAGGGGTTTAGGGGCAGCTCCTACGCCCTTTCAGAACTTGAGGCTTCGTGATCCTGCAGAGCAGCGTTGTAAACTTGTATTTCGTAATATTACATTCTGTGCTAGTCTATTCTATGCTGCTCTAGCCTTGTATATCAAATTATGTTGTTATTACGTTGTGCTGTCTTATCCTATAATCCTAAAAAAGTAAGAGTATCATGCCATATTGTGTTCCCTTCTTTCTTTCATTGTACTTGTAGAAGTTATCTGCGACGTCATGCAGACTCCTTGGTGTACCCTTCTAAAGGGTTCCCAGGGTGGGATGAGGGTAGGTGGGGTATTCCCAAAATAAGAGTCCGTAAGAAAGGGATCCTTTATCCTACCTACCTTCATGGGAGTTTCCGAAACTAGGGGTACCTTATTTGGGGGTCCTTATAACAACGATCCGACTATTTAGGGTACCATGCTAGGGTCCCCTGTTTTCGGAAACTCCCATATTGGGGCCCTGTAATTTTCGGAAGCTCCCACTTTTTGATGCCTCCAAGCCTTAACCCTAAACCCTAAACCCCTAAACCCCTAAACCCCTAAACCCCTAAACTTTTTGATGCCTCCAAGCCTGGACTTCTACCTGGCCCTGGCCCAGGTGGTCTTCGGCGGCTCCTACCCCGGATCCCTGTCGGCTTGGGCCCGGCAGCTTTACCCAGAGAGGTGGGCCCAGGGGTTGGAGTTTAGAGCTTAGGGTTTAGAGTTTTTAGAGTTTAGGGCTTAGGGTTTGGAGTTTAGGGTTTAGGGTTTAGGGGTTGAGGGTTTAAGGTTGAGGGCATGGGGTTTCGGGTTGAGAGGTCTCGAAGTGCATCGCGACTTTGAGGGCTGCCCGGAGGTGCTTGTATGCCAGGTTCACAGCCCTTTGGCCAGGGAATGGCGATGAACACCCCCTGTCCGTGTTCATTCCCTCATCGCCCTCATCTGGTGTTAGCAGCAGTGATGTTAGCCGTCGCAGTATCAAGGGCCGATGTCCTGGAATAGTGGTTCCCGCGAGCCTTTAAATGAAGTATTATTGTATTATGCCACACAGGACAAGGCTATACTCCACTCTGCTCTCACCATCTCCATTATGCGACGCCACACATAATATAATTTAGCATATTTTCTATAAAACTAGCAAACATGTAGGACAGAAGACAGTACAATATTTTGCAATACAAGAAGAGCTGAGGGGAGTTCGAAAGGTTCGCCGCTTCCGTGGCTTCCTCGGCCCCCTTGCAGGCCCAGGCGTGGCCACAGGGGTGGGGCCCTACGGGGAGTTTCATACTACGAGGGTTTGGGGGTTTAGGATTTTTTTAGGGTTTAGGGTTTAGGGTCTACCTGGAGGTTTATGGGGCTAGTTATAAGTCGGGCATAAGCTTTAACATGGGTTAGGACTACAGTCATCCTACTTATGAGCTTACGTGCAGCCAACCATGAACCTCCAAGTACTTGGAGGGGCAGGGGGCTTAGTAAGTAGGATGTGAATAGAGTTATAAGTACCCTAAATGGAGTTACCCCAATTATATCCCTACTTATATCCTACTTACTAAGTCCCCTGCCCCTCCAAGTAGGGTTTCGAACGACTGCGAGGTTCCGGGGGGAAGTGTTGCCTTCTCGAGGGACTGAGCTGGAAGCCCCAAAAACCCCGAAATACCAAAACCCTGCATGAAGAAACACTGACAGAACCCGAAGTAGCCTCCCCTACCCTAAACCCCTAAACCCCTAAACCCCTAAACCCCTAAACCCTAAACCCCTGAACCCTAAACCCCTAAACCCTAAACCCCTAAACCCTAAACCCCTAAACCCCTAAACCCCTAAACCCCTGAACCCTAAACCCCTAACCCCTAAACCCCTAAACCCTAAACCCCTAACCCCTAAGCCCCTAACCCCTAGGTAGCCCTAAACCCCTAAACCCCTAAACCCCTAAACCCCTAAACCCCTGAACCCTAAACCCCTAACCCCTAAACCCCTAAACCCTAAACCCCTAACCCCTAAGCCCCTAACCCCTAGGTAGCCCTAAACCCCTAAACCCCTAAACCCCTAAACCCCTAAACCCCTGAACCCTAAACCCCTAACCCCTAAACCCCTAAACCCCCCCTAAACCCCTAACCCCTACCCTAAACCCCTAAACCCCTAACCCCTAAGCCCAAAACCCCTAGGTAGCCCTAAACCCCTAAACCCCTAAACCCCTAAACCCCCTAAACCCCTAAACCCCTAACCCCCAAACCCCTAACCCTAAACCCCTAAACCCTAAACCCTAACCCCTAAACCCCTAAACCCTAAACCCTAAACCCCTAAACCCTAAAACCCCTAAACCCTAACCCCTAAACCCCTAACCCTAAACCCCCCCTAAACCCCCTAAACCCCCCTAAACCCTAACCCCTAAACCCCCCCTAAGCCCCTACCCCTAGCCCTAAACCCTAAACCCCTAAAACCCCTAAACCCCTAAACCCCTAAACCCCCAAACCCCTAAAACCCCTAAAAACCCCTAAACCCTAAAAACCCCTAAACCCTAAACTAAACCCCTAAACCCCCCTAACCCCTGAACCCCTAAACCCCCCCTAAACCCTAACCCCTAAACCCCTAAACCCCTAAACCCCTAAACCCCCAAACCCCCACACCCCTAAACCCCTAAACCCCTAAACCCCTAAACCCCTAAACCCCTAAACCCCCAAACCCCTAAACCCCTAAACCCCTAACCCCCAAACCCCCAAACCCCTAAACCCCTAAACCCCTGAACCGTCGACCTCGGCCCCCCAGAGCCAAAAAGCCGACGCAGCTCGACTTCTCCGGCTACAACGCCGTGGTGTCCTCCGCTCTGGCGGCGCCGAGCATCGGCGGCTGGGTTCTTCTTTTAAGTTACCATAATCTATTTAAGTTATCATAACGCTTTTAAGTTACCATAATGTATTTAAGTTATCATAATACGGAATTCTATTGTTTACTATAGATCCTTATTATGGTAACTTGAGCCTTAAGCCCTAATCCCTAAAAAGGAGCCCTTATAGATACCTTCAAGGAGCCCTTATAGATCCCATAAAAGAAGCCCTTATAGATCCCCTTAAACGAAGCCCTTATAGATACCTTCAAGGAGCCCCTGTAGATCCCCTGAAAGAAGCCCTTATAGATCCCTTTAAAAGGAGGCCTTCTAGATCCCGAATAGATAAATCCCTTGCCAAGAGCCCAGGGGGGTCTCCGAAGTGCTTGGCCACGGTGTCCAAGGCTCCGCTGCTCCGGTGGCTGGGGAAGGGTTGCTAGAAGGGCGGCGATGAAGCTTCTGGTAAAGGTCCCCTTGTAGAAAGGGCTCCTTTGAGGGTTCCTTTAAGGGATTCTTTCAGGGCTCCTCTGTGGCTTCCTTTAAAGGGGTTTAGGGGTTTTTTTGGTGCTTGAAGGGTTTAGGGTTTGGATTTTGGAGTCTTGTTACGGTCTTTTTGGTGTGTTGGGTTCAGCTTTGGGGCTTTTGGGTCAAGTTTGATGAGGCTCAGTTTGTCGGGTGTTCAGGAGTGATGGTGAGTCTGTGGCCAAGATTTGAGGTTTGGGAGCCCGATTTGGAGTGGGGGGCGGGCAGACAGCCGCTCAGCCCCAAACCCCGAAGGCCAAGTTCCAAAAACACACTGACCTAAGCCCTCCACTCATGGTTTAGGTTTAGAAGGTCCCGAATCCCAATTTCAATTCCCCACCAAACCCTAAACCCTAAACCCTAAACCTTAAACCCTAAACCTTAGACCCTAAACCCTAAACCCATCTCCACCTTCATGGAGGGCCACGCGGAGATTGGGGACCTCATGGAGTCCGAGCCAGGACGGAGCGTTCGTTGGTGTTTCGGGCTCGGCTCATGGGGGGCTGTACTGTAAGGTTTGCCGGGCTTCGGGTGTTGGTTTCTTTTTGGGATTTTTTTTGGGGTTTGGTTTAGAGCTCTGGGTTCAGGGCTTCGGGGCTTCGGGGGCTTGGGTTCGGGGTTTTGTGTTCAGACCTTGTGCCCTGAACCCACAAGACTTTGCTGGCCTCAGGGTTGTTACCAGTAGGGCATTGAGGCGTCAAGGTCTTTCTACAAAGCTGAGGAGCTACTATAGTTTGTTGCAGTTTGGTGTATATCAAAGTAAGTTGTAGTTTTCGGTATACCGTAGTATGTCGAAGATGGAGCTTAAATCGTCAGGGATCGGAAGTGGGCGCTTCGCCGAGCCCCATTGATGCCCTGATACCAAAACGGCATTATGACGAGCCTTCTAAGGCTTTTACTCAACGGATCAGGGGGCCCAGAATGGTATAATGCAGTAGAATACTATAGCAGGTTTACACGTTTAGGGCTTAGGGCTCCATAACAGTTTTTTACAAGTGTAGGGTTTAGGGTGCTCATCGCTTTCGCGAGAGGTGGTCTCGTGTGGTACACGCCTCGCCTCAAAGGACGAAGACTCCAAAGCTAAAAGCCAACAAAACTCAACTGTTAATAATTAGAGTAGGGTTGTGGGGCCTATTATACCATACTTATGATAAGGAACCCCCAAGATAGTATAGGTAACTATTATAAGGGTCCATGTAGAGCACACTGATCAGAATTACGGGTCTCTTGACCCGGCTCCTTTTTTCAACCCAGTTCGAGAGCCCCAGTACCAGGAGTAAAAGAGCCTTAAGCGCTAACCCACAAACCCTAAACCCGATGCCCCAAAACCCTAAACCCTAAAACCTTAAAACCCTAAACCCTAAACCCTAAACCCTAAACCCTAAACCCTAAACCCTAAACCCTAAACCCTAAACCCTAAACCCTAAACCCTAAACCCTAAACCCTAAAGCCTGAAACGCCGCAGGACGGCGGTCCTTAGAGCGGAAGTTCAACCTTTGCGGCGCTAATGCGTTGGACAACGTCGACAACAGGGCCGCCTGATCAGAAAAGTTTAGGGTTTAGGGTTTAGGGGTTTAGGGGTTTAGGGGTTTAGGGGTTTAGGGTTTAGGGTTTAGGGTTTAGGGTTTGGGGGTTGAAGGGTAGAAGGGTTTTAGGTACGGTTTGGTGGTCGGTTTGAGAGGCTTCGAGATCGAGAGTTCATGTTGAGAGTTTAGGTCTTATTGGCTGTAAACTCAACTTTTCAACTTTTGGGTTTTCTTATTTTGCAGGTGTTGATCTTGTGTTTTGCAACTCTGGGCACAGCTCAGAGAGTTGATCCCTCTTGAAACCTCGAATAATAGTAATAATAGTACTAATCGTCATAACAGCAACCATAGCAATCATAGTAATAATGGTAATAATAGTAATAATAGTCATAACAGCAACCATAGTAATAATAGTAATTCTAGTAATCATAGTGATCTTAGTCATAGTCGTAGTAGCAGTAAGAATAGTAACAAAAGGGAATTCTTGAAGAACCCCCAGGCCCAATGGGCTGGCACGGATGGCGTCGTGGCCATCATCCCGCAGTACAACAGCGAGACTGGGTGGAATACTAGTAATAATAGTAATAATAGTAATAATAGTAATAATTCTAATAGTAGTAATAGTAGCAATAGTAGTAATAGTAGTAATAGTAGTAATAGTAGTAATAGTAGTAATAGTAGTAATAGTAGTAATATTAGTAATAGTAGTAATAGTAGTTAGTAATAGTAGTAATAGTAGTAATAGTAGTAATAGTAGTCCCTTGACCAGAACCCAGGAGAAGTGCAACCACACCAGCTGCAACATGAGGACTCCGCAGACTTCCCCAGCAAAGGGCTCCGAAATCGGGCGTGTTTTTTTAAAAAGGGGGGTTTGAGGGGTGATAATGGGGTGGTCAGGTTTCGGTTCTTTGAGGGTTTGAGGGGTCTTAATGGGGTGTTTAGGGTTCGGTTCTTTTAGGGTTTGAGGGGTGTTAATGGGGTGTTGAGGGTTCTGAGTCATGGAGATTGCAGGTTCCGCTTTTTTTTTTTTGACAGTGTTTGAGGCTTTAGAGATCCTTGGAGGTCTTAGAACTTACCTTTGGTTAGTAGGGAATGGAAGAATGGTAGTAAGAGTAGTTATACTTGTACCCCATTCCTCCATTCCCTACTAACCAAAGGTAAGAGAAGTGTGTGTTGAAGACAGGCCACTGGCACCGAGAAGTAGGTGCGCATCACCGCTCAGTCCTGACATACTTGTAGTGCGCTATGTTTCCAAATCCTACTTTAGTCATCAAGGCCCCCTGAGGATCCCGTGAATGCCAACTCCAGTCGTTAACTCTCCTGTGAGTTTCTTCTGGATCCGGGATCCTCCCCAAGCCCGAAACCCGAAACCCTCTTGGCCTTATAGGATCCCTTATAGTAACCCTTATAGATCATAGACCCCTGTAAAGGAGCCCTAATAAGGGCCCGAAACCCAAAACCCTCCTGGCAGGCTCTTCTGTGGCAATCTCTCCGAGATGGCTGAGGCATCGCAAAGCACCAGTGCCCTCGATGCTATCGTGCTGATGAAGGAGCACCAGGACCTCGTCAGGGTTTAGGGTTTGGGGAGCACCAGGACCTGGTCCTGATGCTTGGGGTTTGGGTTTAGGGCACGAGGTTTGGGGATGAGGGCTAGATGCTTGGGGTTTCGTTTTGAGGGTTGAAGGCTCAGGGTTTGGCGTTTGGGGTGTCAGAATGTCGTGCTTGAGTGTTCAGCACTTCCCTAAAAGCTTTGGCATAGGGCGGTAGGATGGGGATGTCGACGTTGAGGGGTTGTTGATGCTTGGTGTGTTCATTATCGTGTCTTTCCCTGATGCTGACCAGGCAACCCTTGGTATTCGTCATGGTTTCGCACGCATGAAGGTTCTTGGTGCCTATCACTTGCTATCAGCCCGTCATCATTTGCACGGTGTACCGAGTCTGGTTTGGAATACTGTGTTCTCGAGTACTGCAGTATGCAGCATCGTCGGCATAGTAGCAGTGCTAGCAGTAGTCCTTACCAGTGCCAGAGTATACTGTACGGATGATGGATGGTTCTTGGTCCTCCTTCATTTGGAATACAAGTTTAACCCGGGCGGATTTAGCCGAGTGCTTTCATGAGCCTTTGAGCGAAGCTGCTTCAAATTCAGAGCTTCAGCGTGCCAGCCAGTGCCCTAATGTTGCTTCCCAAATTCGGGAATCGCGGTGGTTCTTTTACTGCTGTTGCCCCAGCTGATCCTACCCGTGACCATTGCCACAACGACTACGACCATGACCATGAACTCAGCCCTTATTGTGGGTACAACAGAGGCCTTCATGATTACCTATGATATTTTGGGGGTTCCGTAAATCAATGATAGTATAAAAGGCCCCCAAACCCTATTCTAATTATGAAGGTCCCTACAGTATATTGGATTTGCCCAGAGAGCCCAATACCCCTTAATTAAGGAATATGCCTTAAATTATAAGGGGACGCAGAATATGATATAAGCCATATTCCTTAATTAAGGGGCCCCTTGGGCTCTCTGGCTGGGATGCTGCAAGAGAGGACAAGGAGGACTCGCTCGGAAGCAGCACTCCTGCTCCATGCACGTCCGTGTCCTTCGAGAACCTGACGATCAAGGCAGCGCCGGTCACGATAGAGAGCACGAAGACCATTATAAGAAGAGAAGACCATCTTTTGCTACGGTACCCATGGCACATTAAGTATCTACCTAACTGGAATTAAGCCTGACATCGTCGATAGGGGGCGCAAGGATAATGATGATGATGGTGATGATGATGATGATACCTGGCGCTACCACGGGATATTTGGGAAGTCCAGTAGCCCAAGGTGCATCCCTGATTTCCCCAGGCACTGAACATCACCACGAAGGTGAACATCAGCGACAGCCGATCCGGGGATCAGTTTAGCAGACTCTGGTACTACCAGACCCTTTCGCATAGTTGGGTAGCATTTTACATGTTTCTGGGTACTTAAACCCAATAAGGCCCAACGAGGGATAGAAATTAGCATCTTTCATGCTATCCCAAGCATAAGCCAGGACCTGCACCGAGTTCGGCTGGTATCAGACCTGCACGAAGGGAAGCAACTGCCCCTGGACCCAGGGCTACAACACCGCCGAGTGGAATCTGAAGCCCTGCCAGCTTCTCTTCGGGATTTCGCCGGAACAGGTTCAGGAGAATATCCGGAAGACCAATGAGTTCTACCAGGGCATTCTGCACCTTGGCTTGGAGGTTGTGGGATTTCGGGCCCTCGAGCGAACATCCGAGAAAGCCCGGAGACTCGTGTGACATCGGGTTTGTCACGTTTTGTAGGTCTCCGAATGGGCTGGCCTGGCACAGCTTGGAGTTCGGGATTTCACGGGCTTGGTAGTCATCCAGACCCTTCTACAGTTCTGTCGAAACCAGCGAGAGAGAGAGAGAGAGAGAGAGAGAGAGATAGAGAGAGAAAGAGCGAGTCAGAGAGATAGAGACCCTAAACCCTTAGCCCGAATTCCGGAACTATGGAACCCCTTTCGGCCAGGGGCGGCCTCTTTGACTCTCTCATAGAGACCCTAAACCCTAGGCCTTAATTCTGGGACCATGGAGCCAGGAGTCCTCTTTTTGGAGCTTCTTGGAGGATCATGGGACTTAGGAAATGGTGTTATAAGTACCTTGTTTTGGGGTTAAAAGCAGATATAACTATAGTTACCTTACTTATACTACTTACTAAGTCCCATGGTCCTCTAAGTTCAGGTACCCCAACACCCCTTAATCAAGGAATATAGCTTAAATTACAACGGGATTCATATTATGATTCAAGCTATATTCCTTAATTGAGGGGTATTGGACTCTCTGGGTATACCCCTAAACCCCCCATACATGAAATATGGGCCATATGGGCCTTAATAATACCTACTGTATGCTCTTTTGGGGGCTCCTCATTATAAGCTCTCCGGGTTCAGGTACCCAAATCCAATGTACTATAGGGACTTTAATAACTAGAATGGGGTTTGGGGGCCTTTTCTCTTCCTGGAGCTTCAGGTACCCCAACACCACCCGCACCATCTTCCCCAACGGCGAAGTGGATCCCTGGCACTGGGAGTCGGTCCTGGAGCACCCGAAGCTTTGTCATCGTTGGGTAGCATTTCAGGTATTTCAATGGGGGTACTTGGGGTTTAGGGTTGTCACCGGTGGGCCGGTGGGTAGCATTTTAGTTTTTTTTTGATGGGGGCAACTTAGGGTTTAGTTATTTTTAAGGGGGTACTTAGGGTACTTAGGGTTTAGGGTTTGGGGTTAGATTTTTCATCCTAGGTGGGTAACATTTGTTTGATTACCTGGATTTCCTTATATAAGTCCTTACAAAGGTAGGTTTTTTGGGGTTGAGGTAAACCCTGAACCCCTGAACCCTACATAAACCCTAAACCCTACACCCTCAACCCTAAGCCCTAAACCCTAAATGAACTAGGAACCCGGAGATCGACACCATCTTCATCAAGGGGGCCTCGCATTGTGAGTGGATGCCACTGGGCTGGGGTGATTGCGGGGTTTGGCTACGGTTTAGTTTATATGGGTGGCTGTCAAAATCATGGTCCCTTCTTGGATCCTTATTATAGTCCGGCACTTAATATTTAGGGATCCCAAAAAGGGACCATCGTTTTGACAACCACCCAAAAAAAGGGGTTTAGGACTGAGAGCTTAAAGACTTTGAGGGATAAAGGTCTTCAGCTTAAGTGCCCGAAAACCTCAGACATGGTGTTCCATGTCCCAGGGTTTAGGGTTTAGGGTTTAGGGTTTAGGGTTTAGGGTCCTCTCTTAGTCACCAGGAGTGGTGTGCTATTACCGCGACGACGACCAACACCACCAGCACCACCAAGACCACCACCACCACCGCCACCGCTGCCACCACGCTACCACAAGGATTACTCTCTTTACTGCTACTCCTCCCGCCGCTAGTCCTCGCTCTCCTTGCTGTGTGCTATCGTTGTTGACGTGGCCGTCATACTTACACCCATGGGCCCAGGCATGCGGTGCGGCCCTCCATGAGCGAGCATCTTGCGCGAACAAGCGTAGCAGTAAGGTACTATAGAGGAGGGCTTATTCGAATTTCGGGTTAAAGATTCGATGCTTTTAGCTTTGGAGAGCCTCTTCTCGCCCAAGACTGCTCCTGCAACAGGGGAGTCACCGTGGATTCGTTGTCGGGTTGGAGGATCGAGGATGATCGAGGGGTCAAGAGCTGAGAACATTCTCTGTGAAGCTTGTGTGACTGGAGTTTTTCAGTAGAACCACCAAAGCAGAAGCAATGCGTGGAGCAGCTTCAGAGTGCATCGCATGGCATTCACATAAGCGAATTCGAGGCAGATGCCGCTGCCGCAGAATTCACATTCACAGGCAAAGCATGCTCGGGATTTCCAAGCATCTTGCCCTAGAGAATGCAAGCATTCTGAAGACTCTTCAGGAACCCTGGACCCAAAACCCGGAGCCATCTATTCTTCATCCTCAATGGCCCCAAGAGATCATGAACTTCCGTGCCTCAAGGCATTTGGTGGTGGCCAAGAAGGCACCGGGCTTCGGGAGAGCACTGGCCTCCCTGCGAGCCCAAGTGCAGAAGCAAAGACATCTACAAGCGACCATGAGATGTGTAAGCCCTGAACCCTACACCCTAAACCCTAAACCCTTGTCCCCTCAACAAATTTTGAGCAAAGTTGTTGGTTTCTTATCGTTTCTGGAGTGTTTGCCCCGCAATGAGGTCGAAGCCAGTTACGTACATCCCAAAAACACAAAGCTCAAATGAGTGAAGCGTTAAAACTCTGCATGCCCATGCCCTGAACCCCAAACCCGCCTAAACCCCAAACCCTTACCCGCCTAAACCCTATCCCGTCGCTGTCGGAAGATACCAGGCCATTCAGAACAAGATCGCCTACTGGCTCCGTCACCCGGAGACGCCCGCAACGGCCCCGTGGCCCTGAACCCCAAGCATCTTCAGGTTTAGGGCTTTGGGGGTTAGGGTTTAGGGTTTAGGGGTTTAGGGGTTTAGGGGTTTAGGGGCTATAGGGTTTAGGGTTTAGGGGTTTAGGGTTCAGGGTTGAGAGCTCAAACCCATCGTGGCGGCCCCATATTGATCATAAGAGGGTTCCTGTCAGCGTTCTACAAGGGACGCAGAATATGGGTTCTATAAGACAGGGGCACTATTGATTCGAACAGGGTTGTGGGGTATGCTGGTTGCTCGCTATGCTTTTATTTTATACCATAGTTGTAATGGGGATTAAAGGGGGACGCTGACTTTGATCTTTCTTGGGACACCCTGAAGTGGGATTAGGGGTTTGGGGTTCAGGGTGTTGGGTTTGCTGAGTTTGGAGTGCAAGGGTTTAGAGGAAGCGCAATCCTACGGCAAGGGCGCAAACTTGCACAGCATCCGGCAGCGCAAGTTCCTGGCCTCTGAAACGGATGTCGTGTCCCACCTGCAGCTCCCAGGGGAGCGCGACGAAGAGCTCTAGGACCAGGCTCTCTGGGCGGGCTATCATGATCTACGCTTGGGATCCTGAATCTGAAAGGATCCAAGAAAGAGGTAAGGGAAAGTGTTTAAAGGCAACCCTCTGTGAATGGGAGGGAGAAGGAGGGCACAGCAAAGTCTTTGACCCTCCCGTGCGCGCTCACACGCAGTGCGCAGGGGCAAAACGGCAGGTCGGTTATTGTCTTTCAACTCTGCATCGGTGCTTGCGAGGGCGACGACTCAAGAAGTGAAGCCACCTTTTGTGTTCGTGCCAGGCATGATTGAAAGCGTGTTCCGTCCCACAGTCACTGTGTCTATCCCGCCGCGCTGAGCCTCGAGCCATCGGGGACGGAGCTTTGCATCACGAGGGGATCCTGAGCCCTGAACCCTGAAGCTCCAAACCTTTAATGCCCTGAACCCCAACATCAACACCAGAGAAGTTACCCAACCCAGCAATATACCAAGCAACACGACCACAGCAACACACCCCCAACTCCTCCCGGGATGGCTGCCGTCGCCCCTTGCCCGGCGTCCGCGCGGCCTCCCCATGCGCCGACACCACACCATGGGTGCCGTCGCGGGGGGGGCGGGGGGGCCCTGAGGGGGAAGGGATTTCGGGATTTCCGGTTTCCATGTTTAGGTCTAGGGCAAAGGGCATACTGCAGGGGCCTATAGAACGACCAATACCATTTTGGGGGTTCCTTATTATCACTCTAGTATATTGGGCTCCAAAACCCTATTCTAATTATTCAGGCACCTTTTTTTGCAGCTTCGGGTTGAACCCCCGAAACCCTAAACCCCTAAACCCCTGAAACCTAAACCCCTAAAGCCCTGAAACCTTAAAGCCCTGAAGCCTTAAAACCCCCTTTGCGAGGAGCCTTCGTTGCACTTGGCCGCAGCTTGTCCTCGGAGCCGCCACTGGCGCAGCAGCGTCTGCCAGAAGGCGCTGCCAAGTCAGACCCTAAACTCTCCAAACCCTCAAACCCCTAAACCCCTAAACCCTAAACACTAAACACTAGGCCCTAAACCCCAAAACCCTAAACACTAAACCCTAAACCCTAAACACTAAACCCTAAACCCTGTAAACGCTAGACCCTAAACCCTGACCTGCCACGTTCCAGAAGGCTTCTGCCAGGGGTTCTCTAAGGCTTCGAAGCTTGCTTTGCGGATTGCAGGGGTTTTGGGACTTTTTAACTTGTTTGACTTAGAGGTTGTGGGATTGGTGTTTCGCGCGAATTTTCAGACTTTCGGATTTCGGCCTGTTTGGGCTTAGGGTTTCGGGTGGTTTAACAAAGCTGGATGTGTAAGCAAGCTTCTGGTGTAGGTTAGTCTTTGTGCAGTTTTCAGTAAGCTTTGAATGCCGCAGCAGAGTCTTGACGGTGGCTCAGAAGACGTCGGTGCGTATATACGACTTTGGGTGCAAGAACTTTAACTTTTTGCAGGGTTCAACTGAGAGGGCAATATCTCGTTTGCCATAATATCTTGTTCTTACATACTACTGTGTTATTGATCTTGCTGTATAGGGGTATGCTGTATGCTGTACTGTCAGTGCCATGCTGTTACTGTCCCAGACACCCGGGAGGATCTAGAAAGTAGATCCCCTAAATTGGGGCCCTATACTTCCTGGGGTACATTACAGGAACCCCCATTAAGGGATCTACTTTTTGGATCCTCTGGGGGGGGGTCTGGGGTTCCAACATGTAACTGTGAGCCCTCTTGGGACCAGTTTGTCAGGAGTATAGCACGGCACCTTTTATTTAGGGTACCCAGAAAGGGACCCTGGTTTATAGAACCACCCATTTGTGTTGGTGAGCGGAAATAGTTTCAATAGTCGTAGCAGCGACGAGAGTCAGCAGGAGTTGGTGTTGTTCATAGTTGTGCGGCGATTTCCAGCTACGAAAGTCTGTCGAGCGTTCTGGAGTCTCTGGTGTGCATTCAATGTCTTCTAGGGTTTCGGGGTTCTCGGCAGGTTCCGGGTTCACGGTTTAGGGCCTGGGTTCATTCTCTATCATTCCAAAACCCTGCACCACTTCGAGACATCAGCTTCAGGAAAGCAGGGCTTGATGTAAAGGAGCTTCCATTTTGCATGTAGACCGTGCTGGCAAAGCCGAAAACCACGTCTACAAAGTCTATCATTCCCTGCAGGAGCAGTATCTGTTCAACAGGGATGGTGGCTATGCTAGCTATTCTTGTTGCTTCTGCGACTATGACAGACGGCTGCACGTCTTTGTCTCACTTTCCTTGTCATTCTCCTCATGAAAGAGCCAGTTCTAATTCTTTAATGCCCCCATATTAAGCCGTTTCAGTAGCCCTTGTAGGAAACCAACCCCTTGGAGGAAGCCTTCATGATGTTTCCTTGCAGGCCTCTGGTGGCCACAGGTGCGCGGCGGAAAAAGCTGAAGGAACGTTGCTTGGACTGACTCAGAGGGTCTCAGTTGATCTTCGGGCTGCAGTTGAACTCGGCCAGTACAGGGGCCTTAGTAACTACCAATACATTTTTGAGGGGTTCCTTATTTTGGGTATAGTATAATGGGCCCCCAAAACCCTATTCTCATTATTAAGGCCCCCGGATCACCTGGCACCAGGGATGCTTACTTTGAGGCACTCTACTATTTGTCCTGCGGTGCGTTCATTACGTTCGGCTCGGTGTCACTGGTAGTCGATCTTGCATGCGCCGTGTTTTCTGTACTCTTGCCGTTCGGCTGTAGATTCCTGGATCAAACCCTAGACCCTAAACCCTAAACCGTGTTAAACTGGGCACAGACTCCTTGGTCTCCCAGACACCCAGGTGCCGTGAGAGGACTAGGCTTTCCTGAGTCTAGCGGGCCTTGACAATTAGACTTGGGTTTTGGGGTGTATTATACCATAAGTATGGCAAGCAACCACCCAAGTAGTACTGGTGGTTTGAGACAACTTAATGGTTTTGGTCCCAGCAAGAAAGCTGAAGTCTCACAGCCCACTAGCAAGTTTCGACGACCCGACGACCCAACGCACGTCCGCTAGGAAACCTTGTGCGAGCCTGACTTACACACTGCCCTTGCGCGGCTTGGGTTCCCAGGTTCGGTTTTTGGAGTGGGGCTAAGGGCTTCATTATGGCGTACTTGCAGGTTCATGGGTAGTTGTAAGTAGGATAACTACAGTTATAACCCGTATTAAGGGACTTACAACCCCAGGATTCGGGGCTTAGGATTTAGGGGCTTGGGTTTCGGGTATCTTGCGCAGTCCCAAGGTGAGGCCAAGGAGGCTTCGGGCGGCAGCAGCGGAGGAGGCAGGCAGGGTTTTGGAAGGGCTTCTGTAAATGATACCAGGAGAGTGTAACCCTAAACCCTAAGCCCCTAAACCCTACACCCTAAGCCCTAAACCCTAAACCCTATAGGATCCTAGACGGATACTGTGAATGTTTTGAAAGGCTCAGTTCTCAGTGCCCTGTAGGGATCCAACAAAGGTCACGATTAGGGTGGTCTCGTATGGGAATACGATAAGGGGTCATGGGGGTCTTATGGGGCAGGCTAGGGCAGAATTCGCTGACGGAGGCCCATGAAAGGAATGGGTCTTGCGGTTCAGGCTTATGAGTTATTGGAGTTCCTTGTAAAGGTGTTTCAGGGCTCTATAAGCGGTTTAGGGCTCCAGAGTTTATGCATTTTAGTAGTGTTGCTGGGGTTTTGCGGCTTCTGGGGTTTCAGGTTTTCAGCGTTTCAAGGTTTTTGTCCCTGCAAGGTGTTCCCAGTCGCTTGTGCCGAAGTTGTTTTCTTTGAGGAGGTGGGCGTCAGGTGGAGGGCCTAAGGCTGCACGAACAGCGTGGCAGGAAGGGGGGTCATTCGCTGTCTGGATTGGCCCATTGCATTTTGATGCAATAACCGCCCAATGAATGTGAACCAAACGATTCAGAAGAACAGTGCCAAACTAGCCCAAACCCCAAACCGTGGTTGTCAGTCCTTTCATATGGGTTATGACCATACTTATCCCTACATTAACCTTCAAGTAGGAGATCTTGGGCAGGGTCCGAAGCCCGAGGCGTCCAAATTGCTATGCAACCAGCCCAGCCCACTCAGTTTAGGATCGGGCTTAGGGTTTAGGGTTTAGGTTTTAGGGTTTAGGGTTGACACTTTGATGGCGGACAGAGAAAGACTTGAACTCCTGAACCCCATACGCTCAACCCCGACGTCTGAACTTGAGACTCTAACCCCACCGCCGTCGCGAGGTTCCGTGGATGGCGCTTTCCTGGGCGAGGAAGGCGGGTCGGTGTGGGATTGCTTTTGGAGTCAAGTGTTCAGGCCCGAATACTGGACAAAATGCAGACACATCCTCGAAGTTTCGGGCTTGGGGTTTGGGGTTTAGGGTTTTGAGGCACTTTTCCCTGCTGAGGCTCAGGCTGCTAAGAGGGTCGCTGCGGCTAAGAAGGCGTGTCGTGACGAAGACTTTGTGGCGGTGTAGGCAACCTTACTTGGAGGTTCATAGGTAGTTCTAAGTGGGGTTATAAGTCCCTTAATATGGGTTATAAAGTTATAACTGTAGTTACCCTACTTATAGCCCTTCTTCTAACTACCCATGAACCTCCAAGTAACCCTTGTCGGGTAATATGAATCCTACCATAACGCCTTTCTGACCTAGGGTATTCCGCTTTTGAGAACAGTGATGAATAGGGTTTCAGATCTTGGAATCTTGCATGGAGCAGCTTCGGAAGCAGAACCCTCCAGCCCCCTTGTCTAGAGAGGGCAGCCGCTATGAAGTGTCGTTTGGGAGAGCCCTGAGTCAGTCCATGCTTCCTCATCGTCGTTCCTCTCCAATCGGCTCATCATCAGTCCAGTTTATGGCTCAAGCCTGCGCTGTTTGAGACATTGCCTTGTTCTCCAGCGTTTGCCGCACACGGCCATGGGGTGCGGCGGCAGTTGTATCAAGCATGAACCGGCAAGTGTGGCTTCCTTCCACATGCAAGCGCCCAAGGTGGTCCCTATAGGAGTTCCGCTTCAGCCCGACCGCGATGACCACGATGCATACGTAAGGAAGCTGAATGTGTGCCTCAAGAAAGTACAGAGGCATCCAAATAGCTTCCTCAAGAAGGTCGAAGCTCGACGTGCCGAATGGTTCGACGCTTTCGATGCAATCGCGCCGAAGGAGCAGCCTCTACCTGAGCGGCCGAACCTAGGAGTTGGTGGAAGGACCAGGACCTTCTGACCCAGACCCCCTTTGGAGGATCCCAAAAGTACATCCCTTAATGGGGGTAGCCTATAAAGTATCCGTAGTGTAGGGCCCCAAATTAGGGGATGGGGGTCTGGGGAGACTGCAGGGTGGAGCCCCAAAGCAGCGGTGGTGAGATAGGGCTCTTTCGATTTTTGGTTTTTCGTGCGACGAAGTTGCTCCAGCTGATCTGGGTCTTCTTTTGTTGCCTACCGGCTTCGATTGAGCTTTTTAACTTTTTCCAAAATGCCAAGAGGCAGTACAGGAATTTGAACTGGTTGCCCGAAATCTGATTCGATTCGAGTCGCAAGCATCAGGTGCAGTGTTGTGGAAGTCCCCAGTCTTAGTCTTAGTCTTTCTGTTTGTCGTGATTCAATTTTCTAGCCGTAGCACAAAGTTCTCCATGATCATCGTCGTCATCATCATGAAGGTCATCATCATCAGCATCATCACCGCCGTCAGAAAGACCATTCTCGCGTTGCTCGTGCTGATCGTCATCATCGCCATCGTCGCTATGGAGATGATGATGATCATCATCATCTCCATAACCAGTGTTCTAACTACGTAGCCAGTAATCATCATCATAGTCCTGAGTCATCACGCGCCGCAGCAGTGGCAGCAAGGAGATGGAGGAGGAGGCAGGATGAGGAGAAGAAGAAGAAGTAGTAGTAGTAGTAGTAGTAGTAGTAGTAGTAGTAGTAGGGTTTAGGGTTTAGGGTTCAGGGTTCAGGGTTTAAGGTTTAGAAGGAGAAGTAGCAGCTGTTGTTGTCGTAGCATACGTCGTAGCAGCAGCAGTAGTCGTCGTAGTCGTCGCAGTACGAGTTGCAGTGGTTGTGGTTGTGGTGGTGGTGGTGGTAGTGGTGGTAGTGGTAGTTGTAGTGGTGGTTGTGGCGGTGGTGGTGGTGGTGGTGGTGGTGGTGGTGGTGGTGGTAGGTTAGTTGGTTAGTCAGTTATTTGGTTGGTTAATTAGCTAGCAAGTAATTTGCAGCTGCCATGTGTCCGCGATCGGTCAGGATCTCGATATGAATCGTTCCCGCGTTGCAGTTGGGCTTGGAGCCTGCGATACGACTCGAGTCAGGCGGCAACGAGCGAATGCACTAGAGCGAATTTGAGAGATGTAGGACTCCAGCCTCGACCGAGCACGTCGTGGCGAGCGTTTTCCACTAAGCCCTGCAGCATCGTGAAGCCAGTGATGATGCAGGTGATATGGAGTGTGCGATCCGGCGTCCGATGTTGACATGACTAAGCGCAAACCAACAGACCCTGGTTCCAATCAAAATGCTGTCTGTCCACGCCCAGAAAAAGAGGAGCATAGTGCAGAGTGCAGATCCTCGAGGAACGCACACGCAAGAGCCGCTGGATGGTAATGTCCATGCATCCTTGCTAGTGCAAGAAAAGATGTTTCACTGGGAGTTTTTGGGATTTGCAACGGGCTGCCAGAATCATCGTCTGCATCTTAAGCCCTCAGCCTTTCCAGCTAGTGTCCTGAGTTCATTAGGCGGTTGCCCATTTTTCAAAAAAGGCGTCCTTTCGTTGCAAACGTATTTGAGTTTCACGGCCTTTTCGAGGCCCAGGCTAAAGCCTTTAATTTCTTTTTTGTGCAGGGATACGTCTGCTTATGGCTCTTGGAAGCCGGGTTCTCCTTCCCTCTTGAACAGACCCTGAGCCCTGAAACCCGAGTTCGCTGAACCCTGCGCTGCAGCCGCCTAGGATAGGCATTTGTGTGACAGTGGCGCCAGTGACGCGACGTTTCGACACAGTCCCAGAGTGATGAGTCGTAGCGTAGACCAAAATCCCAGAAGTAATATGGGGGCCTTAATGATACTTTTGACGGGGTTTTGTGACCCATTGTGCTATGCTTCTAATCAACATACTCCAAAACTATTTTTAGTATTCATGTATGCCCTTAGAGTAGGCTCTAAGAGCCACAAGCCAAAAGGCTTCCCTTCTGTGAGTGTCACAGAGACTCCGGGAATGGACGGCGGATGAGCATGGATACTTGGAGGTTCATGGGCATTTGTAAGTGGGGTTATAAGTCCCTTAATATGGGTTATAACTATAGTTATCCTACTTATAACCCTACTTATAACTAACCATGAACCTCCAAGTATCATGGGCTTTGAAATTTCTCCCATTGTGCGGAGCCCATGGCTTCTGCCGCCATCGCCGAGGTGCAGGCGACCCTTCCCACGCTGCTCTTCATAGGGGTCTCATGGGTTCGATAATTTAGGGTTTAGGGTTTAGGGTTTAGGGTTTAGGGTTTAGGGTTTAGGGATGATGATAATGACGCTTTCGTAAAGGGCCTTACAAGAATCCTATGAGGTTCCTTTCCACAAGGGAGGTACCTCAAGACAAGTCTACATGGGGTCCTTATGGTCCTTATAAGGGTGTTATAATAGGGCCCCAAAGAAGCACATAAGCATAAATCAGGATAGGGATATCCCATATAAACGCCCTTATAATGAAGCCCAGTAGGGTAGGGATACTTCCCACAACATGCTTATGCTTATGTGCTTCTGGGGTCCTTTATATAAGGGTGTTATGGATTCCATAAGATGTTGTTGGAGGAGTTCTTGGGTGCCATAGGTTTCAGCAGGGGAGGGGTGGGACTAAATGGGTCGGTTGTCATCGAATGCAAAGCTTGGAGCTCCGAAACTCTCCGGGGAATTGATTCTTGGGTTTGTGGCTTTGCGGTTCAGTTAAGGCTTGAGGGTTTAAGGCTGTGTGGGTTTTCTGGGTTTACGGGTTTACATGGGGTTCGAGGGTTGAGAGTTTTAGCTTTTCGAATTTCATGGGTTTAAGGTCCAGGCAATGTCTTTTTAGTCTTTGGAAGAACCACAACCCGATTTCTACGAATTGTCGCCTCCAGCAGGAGAGAAGGTCCATAATATTCATTCAGCAGTAGTTAAGGCCACGGCAGATTTCCCCTGAGCTCCCCTGAGAGCAGCGCAGCAGAGGTCGCTGAAGCTCGGGCGATGATTTTGGAGACTCGAACTGACTTGGATGCCCAGCAGAAAAGGCGCTGGACTTGAGTGTTCAGTACGTAGTAGTATGATTCATGTCCCGGTGCCTTTTGTAGATACGGTAATGTAGAGTCAGTTCCATAGTAGCAAGACACCATCATGCTAATAAAAGTAAGAATAACAATAGAGATACTATGTGTGTATGTGTATATAGCAAAATATTATACAATATACTTCTCGCTCTCTCTTTCTTTCGTTCTTTCTGTCTTCTTATACAGATATATACACATACATAGGTGTGAATTTCAATGTGTATGTATATGTACACATACATATATATATGTGTGCATACACACACATACATCCTAAAGCCATGGTCTCCGTGCCTTAAAACGTTGGAAGCTCCAGGGCGTTGAGCTTCAGCCTTAGAGGGTTGAGTGTCGAGGCTTCAAGTCTTAAACATTTAAAATACGGGCCTTAGTAATTATTATATATATATATATATATATATATATATATATATCTTTTTTTTTTGGGGGGGGGGGTTCCTTAGTATAATTGTAATATTATGGGCCCCAAACCTTATTCTAATTGTTAAGGCCCCTATGTCTAACCGAAACTCCAGGACCCAATCGGCTCGGAAGCCCAAAGCTGCAGCAAACCCTGGCATTGCGATGGGAGCGTCGAAACCACAACGCTCGGTCATCGAATGCTGCAGAACCCCCTACTGGAGGTTCATGGGTAGTTACAAGTGGGGTTATAGGTCCCTACTGTGGGTTATAACTTATAACTGTAGTTGTCCTACTTATAACTCCACTTATAACTACCCATGAACCTCCAAGTAGCCCTGGAGTAAATCATGCGCATCATAATAAACTAAACCCTACGCCCGAACGCAAACCACATCACATACCCACACGGAACTAATCCCTATGCTAGAAGCCGAAAGACTAACCCCTGCTGGAGCCCTTGATCATCGTCGCCTGAAGGAGATGAGTGGGCTGAGCCAAGGCCAGCACCGGCAGTGTTTGTAGTAGTAGTCGTAGTAGTAGTAGTGGTAGTAGTAGTAGTAGTAGTAGCAGCAGCAGCAGTAGCAGCAGCGGCAGCGGCAGTGGCAGCGGCAGTACTAGCAGGAGGGGCAGGAGGAGGAGTAGTAGGAGTGGTGGCGGTAGCATACCCGTAACAGCAGCAGCAGTAGTGATAGCAGTAGCTGCGGCAACAGCAGCAGCAGCAGAGGAGAGGAGAGGATTGTAGAGAAGAGTTGTTGTAGTAGACAGCAGATAGTGGGTAGAACTTAGGTAGTAGGTAGTGGGTGGTAGGTAGGAGAACAGGTAGCATGCAGTAGAGCAGGCAGTAGGCAGTAGTTTGTAGTTTCTAGTTTCGTAGTTGGTAGTTAGTAGAGTCTTAGTAGAGTTCGTAGTCACCAGTTAGTAAGAAGTAGTCAGTATTTAGTAGTGAGTAGGGGGTGATTTGCAGTGAGCAGTTTGTAGCTAGTAGTTCGTGGCAAGAGCATCGCTGGTAAGTAGTAGTCAGAGCAGTAGCAGAAGCCTTCGCGGTGGCGCCAGGAGTAGAAGTAACAGGAGGAGGAGTAGGAGTATTATTAAGCAGTAAGCTGCAAGCAGTAGTAAGCAGCGAGCAGGAAGCAGTAAGTAGTAAGTAGTAAGTAGTAAGTAGGAGTCAGTACTTAGCTACTTGTAACTAGGAAGCAGTTGGAAGTGGGAAGTAGTAGATAGTAGGAAGTAGTAGTTACTTAGGAGCGCGTAGGAAGCAGCAAGCAGGAAGTAGGATGTAGTATGTGGCACGTATACTGGGCCCCAAGGCCTCTATGGGATTTTCCGAAAATAGGGAACGCTTATGTAGTACCCTAAATAGTAGGATACTTTTTTGTGCGGACCCCCAAATAAGGTATTCCCGTTTTTTCGGATACCCCCCAATAGTAAGTTGGGAGAGAATCCAAAGCCCCGCTTGTGCATTCCTCGGAGGTTCCAAGCCACGGAAGCCGAGATTTCCTTCGAGGACCCGGTTGCGGCACACCCAAGCTCCCACTTTTTGGACAGGATGATGATGATGATGTTTCTCTGTACTATTACATATATATATATATATATTCATAAGATTAGGTAGATAGATGGATAGATAGACAGATCGAGAGATAGATAGAGAGAGTCAAAAAGAGAATATAGACATAATGACGTTTTAATCATCCAAGGATATGTGGTTTGGGATGCAGTTTTTGAAGGCTTGGGGTCCTTTCGGTTGAGTTTGGGATTTAATTCCTGATGCTTGCTTGCATTGTGAGGGATGTTAATGTTGCATCGTGTTTGTGTCTCGTATAACAATCCTCATTGCGGTAACAGTCCTCAGTAATCAAATGATTGGGCTCTGATATGCCTAATATACGGGCCTTAGTAGCTAGAACAGGATTTTCGGGGTGTGTTTACTATAAAGTTCTTCGAGAACCACAAGGACAGGATCAATTTTTCAGGTTTCTATCTTGCACTAGTTCCACACAGCTTCTGTTGCGAGGCTACTGCAGGTGCCATGGGCCATACTTTTGCTTCATCGGCACAGGACCCGGTCCCTCTCGAACGGCCGGCGCTCTACGTCGTCTCTGTGTACCCTGGCTTCGACAGCTGACCTGTGAAGCCTCAAAGGTCTGGTGCGATCGTGTATCAAAGGGGAAAAGGAGGGACCCTTAATGGGGGACCCCTACCCTATGTGGGATCGGAACGTATGTTTGCTTCGAGCCTTCAAAAGAGCCGCTCACGAAACAAGCTTCCCTAGTTTGCCTCTGTTCAGACCGATCGGCAATCTCGGAGACATCACTCTTCGAGCCCTGCGTGTCCTACGGGAGGCTTGACGGCGCTGGCTTTCAGTTTCGGGGCAACAGAGGGGTGTACGGCATGCTTCGTGGTCTAACTGCTCTCCTTGTTCTCATGCATGGTACTAGAAATAATGATGGGTAGTTCTGCTTGCTCGATAGGCAGTTCCGGCACTTGTCTCCAGCTCCCAGGTTTGAAGCTCGAGCATTGCAATCTGCTAACGCCTGAAGCCCGCGTTTACGATCGCGGTCATCGCCCTCGTCGTCTCGGCTCATCCGTGCTCGTCACGTATTGTTGGTTGTGCCGGCACCACCGTTCTGATTGCGGCAGGAAGCAGCATTCTCATTTACTTACCTTTGGTTAGTAGGGAATGGAAGAATGGTAGTAGTAGTAGTAGTAGTAGTAGTAGTAGTAGTAGTAGTAGTAGTAGTAGTAGTAGTAGTAGTAGTTATAATTGTACCCCATTCCTCCATTCCCTACTAACCAAAGGTAAGTTTAAAGGCTGGCTGTGTTCAGTGACCAGCCCCTTGCACGTCGTCCATCCTCGCAAAGTGTCGCAAGCCCTAAACGACTCCCGAAGCGTTCGAAGTTTGGTCTTGCACGCCTCGAAGTACATTATGTATTGGGGTTCTTTTTTGGTCCCAAAGATAGCACGGCCCCCTTATAAACAGGGCCCCCTAAAACGCCTTAAATGTACCCTAATTTTTCGAAAACGACCCATATCTATGGTCACGCGCTCCGCAGCCCCCCCCCCCTCCCCCCCAAAGGTCAATGGTCCGGATACAGGGTGGGGCCCCCCCCTCCCCTGTGGTGTGGGGTGTGGGGTTCCTCTTCCCACTGTGGGGTGGTTGTGGGGTTTTGGGGTTTAGGGTTTAGCTTAAGCTTTTGAGTTTTGGGTTTACGGTTGCAAGGTATAAGGCTTCGAGTCGACAAGGGCTTAGGGAGGATTTGCGGTGTATGCTCTGCTTTAGGCTTAGAGCTTGCAGCTAGGTGGGGTTTAGGTTGGGTGTAGCGTTTTAAGTACAAGTTAAGCTTGCTCAAAACAGGGGCACGCTCTGCGTTTTAGGGTTTACGGCTGGCTTGCGAAGGGCTTGCGCGTGAGCCCTGGCCGCCAGCACCACCCCACCATCCAAAGGTAGCTCCAACGGCCCAACCCCTTTCCGCGCACGCCAGGACCCCCCCCCCCACCCTACCAGACCATACCATGGGGGGGGGGGGGGGGGCTGGGAACGCCAGACGCCTGACCATCTATACCCGGAGGTGTATTGCTGTCTGCATGGATCGGACCCTTGGTCGGCTTGCTATCCATCTTTCTGCGCCATCATCGGAGAGTCTGGGAGTCTCAGAAAATCAGCAACGCTTCGACCCCAGAGACTCCAATATCCCTTAATTAAGGAATGTTCCTTACATTATAGTAGGATCCCTAATATGATTTAAGGAATATTCCTTAATTAAGGGATATTGGAGTCTCAGAAAATCAGCAACGCTTCTATAAATTCTAGGATCTTCATGATGAGGGCTCCCATGGAGGATCCAATGGTCGCAGAGACTTCCATCTATGCAAAAACGTATATGCAGATAATCATGCGGGTTTTCGTACATAATCTATATATGTATATATAGATACTCATACATATGTATATATGGAGACATACATGTAGACGGTTCCCCCCGGCTCTCTCTGGCTCGCTCTTTTCTTCTCTGTTTATATATATATATATATGTATTTATTTACATTTTTTGTATACATAAATTTCGTTTTCATGCTCAGCTGATTTGTATTTTACATGTACAGCTGTATCTATATATGCATGCATGTATACATCTCTATATATATATATATATATAGATATCGTTTGGCTCGATGTCTTTATCGCTGAAAACTGCATACATGTGTCCTTTGGACTCATGGAATTGTCAGCGCACGCCGATGTCTGCTTCGATTCTGCCTGCGCAGGTTGATGCCATCTTCGCAGAGGATACAAGGCCGGGGTTCTCTGTGCTCTTTTGCCTCTTAATCTTTGCACTACTTTGACTTTGTCAGCATCGGTAAGACTGACACTGTTCTGATAACCCTACCGTTGCGCCGATACTTCCGGATCCATCTTTTGCATCATTTCCATGGCCATCACCATCTGCATCCCCCTGGTCGTCATGCCCTTCTGACATTTAGATCCTCATCATCATTTTCATGCTGGGCAGCAGTAGCATCGCTGATGCTGCCGCCTTGATCGCCACTGCTGCCCTCATCACCAGGTCCACCGTCATCGGTTTCATCTTCAACTTCATCTATGTCGTCATCAGTGTCGTGATCCGGAAAGTCATCATCGGCATCATCACCATCACCATAACCATCATTCTTGTTGTGACTTGCTGTGGCTGTCGCAGATGCTGAAGTCCTTCCGGTAATACAGGGGCCCAAATAATCATCAGTACATACCAATGCTATGTTGAGGGTTCCTTTGTACGAAGTAAAGTTTACGATATACAGCAAAAATCACTCTAGTTGTAAAGGCCCCTATGCTCCCTGTGCTAAACCCTATAATCCCTTACAGTAACCCAGAACCCTTCAAAGGAACTCTGTTCTAATCTTTTAGGCCTCTTCTTGCCTGCTGAAAGGACCACGGACACGTTGCTGCGCCGCCTGGGCATCGAAGGGAGGCTCGCAGTCAAAGTGTCAGATGTGTTTATATGCAAAATGCATGTATGTGCATGTGTGTATATGTATATGTATAGACTTTTGTGTGTATTCATTCAGTTTGTTAGTTGAATAGCTGTTAAGGCTGTCAGACATAGCAGAATCAGTAGAAGTAGAACAGAGCAACTTTCTGCTTGCTTTAGTGCAGTTGTAGGATCTTCATTTTTGTACGGGCCCTGAAGTAGGGTACCCAGAGAGCCCAATACTCCTCAAGTAAGGAGTATAGCTTAAATCATAATAAGAATCTCCTTGTGGTTTAAGGTATATTCCTGAATTAAGGGGTATTGGGCTCTCTGGGTACCCCTAGCCGCATGACCCTGCAGACCTGGTCCCTGTGAGGCGGCTGTTCCCTTGCCATGCTTTCAACGAGGAGATCTTTTTGTTTCGTTGCTTTGGGTTTAGGATTTAGGGTTTAGGGTTTAGGATTTAGTGTTTAGGGTTTAGGAGAGAGGAAATCGAGGAGGTAACGTGTAGCCCCCAGAGAGCCCAATACTCCTGAATTAAGGAATATAGCTTAAATCATGTTAAGAATCTCCTTATGGTTAATAAGGTAGATTCCTTAATTCTTTTTTTAAAGATAGAATCCCTAATTAGGGGGTATTGGGCCCTCTGGGCCGTTGTCTGGCCTCTGCGCACCAAGAAACACACGAGCACCAGTCACGGAGGTGCAGAAGTCGGAAGGGACCTCTGCGTTCGGGTTCACTTAGGGTTTAGTTTAGGGTTTAAGGTTTAGGGTTTAGTTTAGGGGTTAGGGGTTAGGGTTTAGTTTAGGGTTTAGGGTTCTTACCTTGGGTTAGAAGGGAATGGAAGAGTGGTAGCAATAGTAGTCATAATTGTGCCCCATTACTCCATTCCATACTAACCCAAGGTAAGCCGTCCTCTTTGTCAGTTTTCAGCCGCAGCACCCAACACGGGCTACCACAATCACTATACCCTGGGATGGAACCCCTGAGGTAGTGTTCCCGAAGCGCCAAGAGATGTTGTTTTGCGTTTTTCAAGTCCTCCGCCGTGATTTTGGTATGCCCTAAACCCCAAACCCTAAACGCCTAATCCCATAAACCCTAGACCCCAAATGCCTACGCCTAAACCCCTAAACCCCTAAAACCCCCTTTGAGGAGCGCGCCGGGCAAGAGATCATTCGGCGGTTGCGGGAAGAACAGCGCCTCGGTCTGCCGCATGTTTAGGGTTTGGGGTTTAGGGTTTAGGGTTTTAGGGTTTAGGGTTAAGGGGTTCAGGGTTTTACGGTTTAGGGTTCAGGGGTTTAGGGGTTTAGGGGTTTAGGGTTTAGGGGTTAGGGGTTTAGGGTTTGGGGTTTAGGGTTTAGGGTTTGGGGTTTAGGGTTTGGGGGTGTAGGGTTTAGGGGTTCAGGGGTTTGGGATTTCAAAAGTTTAGGGTCAAGGGGTTTGTGGTTTATGCTACGGTGTAACTTGTGGAGGCTACACTTACGATCCGATCAGTACTTTCTGTCGTTACTGTTGTTCCTGATATTTGTACTATCACCGGGTTGGATTGCGGTTCAGATGATCGGTATATATATATATATGTATATATTTGCGAGAACCGTAAATATTGCGACTAGCAGTGCACTAGCTCTACGGGTCACATAGTCGTCTTACCACCATCACCATCATCGTCATCACCATCATCATCACCATGACTAGTCTCCTGATTCTTAAAGTACGCATTGCTATTGCTGGTGTTGCTGGTATCATTATTGCTGACATCACGAAGTTGCGGTTGATGCGAGTGATGACGGTGGCTTTTGACGACAGTGGTGAAGACGACGGTGATGATGATGATGATGATGATGATGACGAGGACAGTGCTGTGTTGCAGCTTCGCATCCGTATACCGTTGCCAGCATGCTTTGAGGCTTCACAGTTCCCAGACATTTTCGATTTTTCGCACAGGACAATGAACATGTTTGCGAGTACTGTAGTTGCTCTTCTCACTACCACTATTCTGCCGTATTCTCGGAACATGTTCCTGCATTGCTAGACTGCTAGAGCTGTCTCAAACACGAGGAGGCATTGCATCAGCATGACTGTTGTGTCATCACTACTTGTTGATAGTCGTTTGTTTCATGCTCTTCTATTGGCACAAGTGACATCTACACCGTCTATACCGTCATGGTTACAGTCCTGCCGGTATATTCCTTAGGGCTTGTTGCTCTATATATGTCACTGTCGAGGTTGTATTAGTCGTTTCCTCGTAGCTGCAGTCATGCTACGATTTCTCTGTCGGGGCAGTCAACACCGCAAGATCCCCCGGGTCTTTTGGGTTAAATGTTGTGGCAAGGTCGATGATGTTAGCGGGCAGGGTTCCAAACTCACCAACCAAACTAGCCCTACAGACAAAACCGTGTATCACCCAGATCAGGTGGGTATGCCAGAACTCTGACATTTTGCGATAAACCCTAAACCCTAAACCCTAAACCCTTAACCCTTAACCCTAAACCCTAAACCCTTAACCCTAAACCCTAAACCCTAAACTCTAAACCGAGGTCATGTAAGATGTTGCGCATCAAACTCTTCAGCCCAACCCCTGTCAAGCACTTGTGATAATCATGTGGGAGTTTCCGAAAACAGGGGACCCTAACATCTCCTTTAAGGGATCTTTAAGGGTTCTATTAAGGGTTTAGGGTTTAGAGTTTCAAAAACAGGGGACCCTAACATCAAGGGCTCCTTTAAGGGATCTTTAAGGGTTCTATTAAGGGTTTAGGGTTTAGAGTTTCAAAAAACAGGGGACCCTAACATCAAGGGCTCCTTTAAGGGATCTTTAAGGGTTCTATTAAGGGTTTAGGGTTTCGAGTTTCCGAAAACAGGGGACCCTAAATAGTAGGATCCTTATTAAAAGGACCCCAAAAATAAGGCACCCCTAATTTTCGGAAATCCCCCATGGTAGTTGTCCCTTGACTCGAAGTTTTTCAGACCTGAAGCCCCGACCTTGGGGCAACCCCTCAGTCCCTAACCAAGTTGATCCTTAGTAAGCCTTAGTATAGTGAATCCTTAGTAAGCCTTAGTATAGTGAATCCTTAGTAAGCCGTAGTATAGTGAAGCCTGAAAAGGTACCCTAACTGTAAGAAGTCCCCGCGTTGCAGAAGGCTGCAAGAACTTGATAAAGCCCTTCGCACAAACTAGGCACAAACCTCTGGCACCTCAAGTGCCCCTCATTTCCAGACCCCATATCCCCGCATCTAACTTGAGGAATCCCAGAGAAGACCTTGAGCAAAGCAGCACGAAGACCCAAAGAACTGGTTAGGGCTCTCGCCCTGGTCTCCGATGCGGGGACGCCTTCGCTTGCGGACCTGGGGTGAATGTTCGGGCTTCGGGGTTGGAGTCCGTTGGAGTATGGGGGTTTGGGGGCCTGCATGGGTTCATACTATGACTGCTTGGATGTTTCAGGGGTCTATCGCGGTTTCGGGGGTTCCTTGTCATAGTTGGGTAACATTTCATATTTTTATGGATACTTAAACCCAAGAAGGGATAAACATGTACATGTGTAGTCCTATCCCAACAATGAACTAGGGTTGTAATTAAGAGTTTACGACGTTGTTATTTATGATTCGTTTACGGGTTTCTGCAGGCTCAGGCTTGAGGGCTTCTGGAGGGATTGGTAATCTTGGTTAACGTTTCTGGGAAGCCTGCTGTTTTGGGTTCTGGGGTTTATAGGGTTGAGCTATCCGGATTCCGCATTTTAGAATTTAGGTTTTTTGCAGTATGGGGGTTGGGGCTTGGGGAATGTACGGTTGGGTTCTCACCTCGAGGCGACTGCGGAACGAACCCTTGAGCCCAAACCTTAAACCCCAAAACCCTAAACTCCGTAAACTTAATCCCTAAACCCTAAACTTGAAACCCTAATCCCGAAACCTTGAGCCCTGAACCAACGAGGGCTCCCAATCTGAATCCACAGTCGAAGCGCCGTCTGCCGCAGGACCCCGGCTTCGCAGTTTTGCGAACTCTGCGCCGGGAGCTGGGCGACTCGGTGCCGACTTCAGTAGCAGCAGAGCGGGTTCAGGGTTTCAGGGCTTCAGGGTTTAGGGTTTAAGATTTAGGGTTTTATGGGTTTTGGGGTTTAGGGTTTAGGGTTTCAGGGGTTTAGGCTTTAGGGTTTAGCTGCCACCAGACAGGGTGATGATGAACATATTGATGGCGTCGCCGTCATCGACATAGAAACGGGTGTTCGGAGCCTCCCAGCTGCGGCCAGAATATGAGAGGTTTAAGGGACCTTGATCCGGGTCTAGAGCAATAGGATTCTTACCAAAATCTTGAAAACAAGGGCCAGGCCCCTACAACATAGTAGATCCCTTAGAGACCCCTTTAAGGAGCCCTATAGATCCCTTATAGACCCCGTTAAGGAACCCTTTACAGCCACCCAAGCTCCAGCTGGAACTCTAAGGCGACATCCCCGTGCACCCGGTGCCGGGCGCCAATGCCGCCGCATGTGCTCTGAGTGTCTCGGGACTACCTGCTAGCTGCTCCTCGGAGGCATTGCTGTTCTTAGGGGCTTAAATAATTACCAAGAATAGTAATCGGGCTCCTTGAAGGCTTCCGTAAAGAGGGGTCTATAAGGATTACTATAAAGGCTACTCTGGGGTTTAGTATAGGGGCTTAAATGGATTACCTATGCTATTTTGGGGGTTCCTTATTACAAATATAGTATGGTGGGCCCCCGGGTCCTATTCTAATTATTACGGCCGCTATATCAGGCTTACTATCACGGTATTAGTCGTACAACAAGGGTACTAGAGCGGTACTACAAAGGTACTGCAAAAGGGCAGTTGCTGTACGGGTAGTACACGGTCCCTAAACCCTAAACCCCTAAACCCTAAGCCCTAAACCCTAAACCCTGAACCCTGAACCCTAAACCCTAAACCCTAAACCCTAAACCCCTAAGCACCTTTTTTTTTTTAGGACGGAAACCCTGAGACCCCTGATCCCCAAACATTGAAACCCCGAAACCAGGATTCAGTGCTCCGCAGATCGGGTTCCTTTGCATTGGGTAGGTCATAGGAGGCCAAAAGGGGCTTTAGCCTATGGGGGTTTAGTAGGGATTAGGGTTCCCATAATAGGGTTCATATTAAGGAATCCCTACCCCAAGAATCTTAAACCCCCCTTTTGGCCTCCCATCAGTAGAAGTTACTTCGGCAGCTGGAAGCGTTTGAGGACTCGCAATGACTCTGTGTAAGAACTCCTTCGACTCAAGTTCATGTTAGTTCCCAGACCCTGAACCCACATAAAACCTAACATGCTCCCATGTAAGCCTTAAATCATTGAAACCCCTAAATGCCCCAAAAGCCTAGAAACCTTGTGGGATCCGCATAGAACCCATACAAGAAACCTTCAAGTCCATTTCAGGTTAAATCCCGTAGGGCCCACTCTACACTCAGAGAACTCATTAGGCCCTGAATCATTAAACTCCCTAATCCCTACCTTAACCCTGAAGAACCTACCTTTTTAAGGACGTATGTAAGGAAATCATAATAGGGAACCCTGAAAAGGTAGGTTCTTCAGGGTTAAGGTAAACACTGGAACCTGTCTCGGTGAGAAACCCTTAAAGTCGCCTGAAAACCAGGCTACCTCTTCGGTGGTTTCCTCCCGTCCAAACCGGCGGCCCGCAGGACGGCGCGGGTGGTTGTTTAGGGTTTAGGGTTCAGGGTTTAGGATGTTTGGTTTGGATGTTTAAGGCCGTTTAAGCATCCTAAACCCTACACCCCAGGGCCGGTCTCTTGGGAGATTCCTGCAAAGCTTCGGTCTTTTTTTTGGTTCAGGCCGACCTCGAGGCTCCAGAAAAACTACCTTTCCAGGTTCTTTTTCAAAATGGTTTATTCCTTACAACTCAAAAACCTAAACCCCAAAATGCATGTTACGTATAAAAAAGCGTAGTCTGTTTGGCCCTTCTATGGACCCCTCCTCTCCAGGCTTTGCAATGGAATTTTTCGAAGACTCGGTTTTTTCTTTATTCCGGGTCAGCATGTTTCCATGTTTTCAGCAGATGGAGACCGTGACAGAAGACAGCTGGACGTTCACAAAGAAATGCCGGGTTTTGGGGACAGCACATATGCACAAGCATTTTGGAGGGAGATCCCTACCATATTGGGCTTCTTTATAAGGGGGTTCATATGGGATATCCCTATCTTTTGGGGGGCCGTGGGGTTATGACCTGTGTTCGTACAGCTCACGCCGCTCTAGTGTGTCGAGATTGGGGAATATGCCGACCGGTCCACTCGCCTTCGGGACAAGAAGAAAGAGGCCTCAAAAGAATGGGGTTGTGGGGTTTAGGGATTAGGGTTTAGGGGTTTAGGGTTTAGGGTTTAGGGTTTAGGGGTTTAGGGGTTTAGGGGTTTAGGGTTTAGGGCATATTGTACAAATGCTACTCCCATACTGCCGATTCGCTGCGGCAGGAGCCAGCTGAAACAGCTCCTGCGCCAAGCAGGGTGCTCGGAGAGTGGTGTTTTTTCAAAGCACACAGGCTTGCTATCACCTCGTCTTGGTGATGATGAGCAGCATGGTGATGACGATGACCACGACGAGCACTCCTCCTCCTCCTCCTCCTCCTCCTCCTCATCCTCGGGCTCCTCCTCATCATCATCGTCGTCATATCAACATCGCCACTCTTACCAACATTCCGTTATCATCACCACGAGGAGGCAAGCGAGATCCTACTACGTATGGTTCTATGCTAAAGCGACCTTTAGAGAGAACAAAAGCTGGTCCAGACAAAACACATTCAACACACCAATGGCCTTAGCTCCTCATCGCCTCACCCTCTTTCGACCACTCGGCAGGCCACTGCCGGGGCTAAGCCCTAAAACCTCTGCCGGAGGCCAGCAGCGGTTTGTCCGCGACGCTGGCGGTTTTCGAAGTGCCTCATCGCATTGTGCCACCCGGCGGATGGCTTCTGCTGGAGCTTCGGAAATATGGGAGTTTCCGAAAATAGGGGACCCTAATACAGTACCCTAAGTAGTAGGATCCTTATTCTAAGGACCCCAAAATTCAGGTACCCCCTAATTTTCGGAAACTCCCATATTGCTTGAAATCTCCGGAACTCGAGCCAAGGCTGTTTCGGAGTCCTTTTCCGGAGGTGTGAGCTTTGGGGCGGAGAGTCTTGCCGCGCGAAGCCTACAGCCTAAAACGAAGCGTGCCCACTCCAGAGCCTGGAGCTTGGAACCCCCAAACCAAAATGAATCAAAATCGAAACCCTGAACCCAAAACCGCCAAAATCAGCTGAACTGCACCTCATCCCCGAATCTACTAGGATGTACTACAATACGTGTAATAGATGTACAGACGTAATGTAATCGCAATGTAAGATTCACACAATATGGATGCAGTATGGCTACATAAAACTATCATATACCCCCAAACTCTGTTTCAAGTGCCTAGGAGCACCATGGAAATGCTGGTTGAGCTGTTGGCCGAAGAGGGTGACCCATCTAGGCGGCGCAGGGGGGGAAGTGGGGAAGATGGGCTCTGATTTAGGGCTTCGGTTGTCTTAGGGTCCAGGGTTTAGGGTTTGTCTTTAGGGTTCAGGGTTCAGGTTTGTCAGGGGTTCAGGGTTCAGGGGGTCTTTAGGGTCCAGGGTTTAGGGTTTGTCAGGGGTTCAGGGTTCAGGGGGTCTTTAGGGTCCAGGGTTTAGGGTTTGTCAGGGGTTCAGGGTTCAGGGGGTCTTTAGGGTCCAGGGTTTAGGGTTTGTCAGGGGTTCAGGGTTCAGGGGGTCTTTAGGGTCCAGGGTTTAGGGTTTGTCAGGGGTATGGGGGTTTGAGTACTTGGTACTACTGTCACCCTGTCAAAGTATACCCGAGACCCTGCCAGTTCTCAGTGGTCAGGTCGCCATATTCTGGTTGAGGATTCGGGTTCAAAACGGTTTCAGCAGTGAGTTCACTATTTCAGTGGTTTTGATTGATCCTCAATCTGTATCTCTGAGTCTATTTATGCCTGAAGTTTACAGAGCTTGTTGTTTGGGGTTTAGGGTTGAGGGCATCGGACAGGATGGAGTTTCCCAGTGACTCCAATATCCCTTAAATAAGGAATATTCCTTAAATCATATTAGGGATCCTACTATAATTTAAGGAATATTCCTTAATTAAGGGATATTGGAGTCTCTGGGTTTGTGGGGTTGAATACGAACCAATCCTTGTCGCAAGAAGATGTGGATCTAGGTGCTCAGGTGTTGATTCTACAATTCTAAACCCCAAACCCCAAAGGCTGGAGGTTTTAGGGGGGAAGGCATGTAGGCTTAGATAAGGGGCTTTCTTTGTACTTCCGATAGTTGCAGAATGCTCTGGAAGCTTCGAAGCTTTGATGTTTCGAGTTCTTTCTTGCGCTCCTAGAGTGTCCGCGCTTTCTGTTTCGTCCTTTCATGTGCCTTTTGAAGATACTTGTGGTGAGTTTTTTGTTTTGCGACTACGGTTGATGATATAAATCCTGCATTACCCCATAATAAGGAATAGACCATAATTCCCATAGTCTAGGGTCCTTAAGGTGCTGCAGGATTCATATTATTAAGCCTAAACCCTGAAACCCTATAGATTCCTTAAATGGAACCCCGTAAAGGGTACCCTTATAGATCCCTTCGAAGGAACCCTAGGATTTCCATCATCAACCGTAGGGGGGCACTGCTGATGTCCGTGGTGATGGGCTCCAACGTCTGATATCCTCCTTCCGCAAGCCTTAGGGTTTTTCTTTGGGGTTTAGGGTTTGGGGGTTTAGGGTTATGATTTAAGGAATATTCCTGAATTAAGGGATATTGGAGTCTCTGGGTGCAGGCCTAGTAACCTAGTAGGGTTTGGTGCATGAATTCCCTCAGCATTGCAGCTCCAGCCTCGCAGGCATAACTCCTCCAAGCCTAAACCTTAGAAGCTGCCCCCACTCTGTAATAGTGACTATAAGGATTATATTAGGGCCCTACTATATTCCTATTAAACCACTATTACAGGGTGGGGGCAGCTTCTAACCTAAACCCCTAAAACCCCAGCCAGAAGACTTCCCCTGAGGCCCTTGACCATTGAACCCTTACAATAGCCCTTGTAGTACCTTATACACCCCTTAAAGGAGCCCTATGCTAATTAAACCCTTATAGTAGCCCTGATAGTAGCCCTTATAGACCCCTTTGTGGGAACCCTACTTTAACCCTAAACCCTAAACCTTAAGCCTCTCTCAGGGCCGTGGTGCTGGCACGGGAGCTGACGAAGCGGCACGAGACGCTGCTGTCAGGCCGATGATCTGCTCACCCTTCCCAAAACCTCAGACACAACCTTTTTGGGTTTAGGGTTGAGGGTATAGGGCTGAGGGTTGAGGGTATAGGGTTTAGGGATTGAGGGTATAGGGTGTACGGTTGAGGGTGTAGGGTTTAGGGTTTCGCGATCTGCTCACCTCTCCCCAAACCTAAAAAAGCTCAGAACCCTTGAATGTGAGTTTCCGAAAATGAGGGGTAGCATATTTTGGGGTCCTCTTAATACGGATCCTACTATTTAGGATACTTTGGTAGGATCCCCTATTGTCGGAAACTCCCCAAATCTGAAACCCTGAGCCTGAAGCCTTAAGCACTGGCCCTCTTAACCTGTGGGCCCGAACCCCCAAGCCCTGAACCACGAGCCCGAAACCTGAAACTCTGAATCCCAACTGCCAAGTGGGTGGTTGTCAAAATTATGGTCCCCTGTTGGGTACCCTAAATATTAGGTGCCGTATTTTGACAGGGACCCAAAACGGGACCATAATTTTGACAACCACCCAAGTCTTGAAGCATGAGGGTTCTTGCTCGCACTTGGTTGCTTTCGTGTAGTCGCGGTGGTGGCTGTGCTGGCGCTAATTGTCCATGGACTTGTTGAACTCAGAGAAAGGTAAGGCAGTGTACCCTAAATCCTAAACCCTAAACTCAAAGCCCTAAACCTTCAACCCTGTTAAAAAAAAAAAAACCTTCAACCCTAAACCCTCAACCCTAAACCCAAAACCCAAAACCCTAAACCCTAAACCCTAGTGTCACCGGCAAACAGCAGTTGTCACAGGCACCGCGGAGGAGGTGTTGGCAGAGGTGCGGGAGACCCCGGACAACCAGTTCCTTCGTTGATTTATGGGTGGTTGTCAAAATTAGGGCCCCTTTTTGGGCCCCTGTTATAGTACGGCACCTAATATTTAGGGCACCCAAAACGGGACCATAATTTTGACAACCACTCTTATGTTACCATAATCAAGAAACCAGATTACAGTAGAAGCCCAAGACTTGGAAACCCAATAGCCTCAATCCTTGAGAGTAATGTATAGGGGATTGCAGCACATTTGCCATAATCAAGAAACCATAATTAGTAGTTACTATAGATCCCTATTACTATGGTAGCTTACCCTAAACCCTAAACCCTATTATTATGGTCGCCTAAATTACGCTCCTTAACAAGAACGCAGCCTCTTCGTTTGCAAATGCGAAAGTTCGAAAGGCTGCTGTGGAGCCGTTTGGGGATGATGCAAGGGTAATCCAGGGGCCATCATAATTGGGTTCCTTTAAGGGCTCCTGTTAACGGGGTCTATCAGGATAACCATCAGGAGTATTATGGGGGCTTAGTATAGGGGCTTCAAATTTACCTATAGTATTTAGGGGGCTCCTTATTTTAAATATAGTGTAATGGGCCCCAAAACCCTACTCTAGTTGTTAAGGTGCCTTTATGAGGCTGTTCCGTTCACAATGTAATGTAGGGGCCTGAATAATGAGAATAGGGGTTTCGAGGTTCCTTAGCATAATTGTAATATATTATGTCCCCAAAACCCTAAACCCTAATCATTAAAGCCCCTTTCTTATAGAACCCTATCATAGATCCCTTATAAACTACAAGCCCCTTTGAATTAGACCCCTTTGAACGAACCCAATTACAACGTATTAAGGCCCTAGATTCCCAGAGAGCCCAATGCCCCTAAATTAAGGAATATACCTTAAACCATAAGAGATTATGATTTGGGCTGCCTTCCTTAACTTAATTAAGGAGTATTGGGCTCTCTGGGAGCCATCTCAGGCGAGGGGAGTTCGTCTTGCTCCTGGGCCCCGGGGCGGAAGAGACGCTGGAAGTCGAGTCGGCGGTTCCTGAAGCGAAGGAGGCGGGAAGCTGTGGAAGCATCGAAAGGCTTCATGAGCCAGACCTAAACCCTAAACCTTAAAGGCCCTAAAGCCTAAACTCTATCCGGATATATACTGCTTTTCAGCGCCGTGAGCCCAAGTGACCGCATCTCCTCTGCGACATACGAGGTGGTGCGGCTGCTGAGCACCGAGGTTCCCACCAGCCCCGACCTAAGAGCCAAAGGTCTTTAATAGAGGGGCCTTAATAATACAAATTACGAATGAAATACGGAGCCCCCAAAATAGTATTGGTAATTACTTAGGCCCCTATATCAGGGATCTCCGGCTCAGGGCATGGAGGGTTAAGAGAGTTCAGGGCTGGCGGTTGCACGAGCTTCTGAGGCCGTCACGGGCAGCCGCCCTACTGCGCACCGAGCGAAGAAGATAATGGATGATGACAACCTCCTAAACATCACCTTCGTCGTCATCTTCATGATCAGAATAGGGAGAAGCACATGGCTACAACAAACCTGCCAAGAACAAGAGCAATGAACGTGCAACTGCCACCACTGACGACGGTCCTGTGGCCGCAATGTTTTCCATCAGACTGGCAATCATGTCGTTGTAATGTTAATAGCAAGTCTATGTTGGACCACTAGTATGCCAAGCGCATGAGTGATGCCGTCCCCTGAATGCAAACACCACTTCTCCAGCAGCGAAATTGCTGCTTCAGGTGAAGTATACCTATGCATGCGAGGTTTCTTTCACTCAACGACCCCAGCTATTTTGAATCTCCTTCACTCTGCAAACTTAATTCTTTCTTCCTTCTGTCGATCATTAGACTGCTGTGGTCGTCACTATGGTCGGAAGCGGCCATGACATACACACACACACACATATATATATATATATATATATACATATATATACATATACACATGAATATCTATATCCATATATATATATATATATATACACACAAACATATGTACGTATTTACACATACACATGCATGTACATATATCTACACAAATACAAATATTGATGTAATCTTATGATTACGATCATTATTGATACTGGTAGCAATATTGTTTTTGAGATCAAGATTCATACTAGTATCAATATTCGTACTGATATTCATGTTGGTATCATTACAACATTAGTTTTAATATTGATACATTGATGTGTATATACATATGCATATGTATATAATATATGCGTATGTATGTATAGCTATGCATATGTGCATGTATGCATATACATTCAGTGTCGGAACAATGTCTGTTGCTAGCAATGACCGCAAGAAGAATGCTCGTGCGTGGACTAGGCAGGGCAATCGCGCTGGCCGCAAAGATCTGCGGAGTGCCAAAGAAGGCGTTCCAGCACTGTTCAGATTATGTAGGTTCAGGTTTTCGGAGTTCATGATTTATCCGTTTTCGGGTTTGAGGTTTCGACAGGGGGTTGTGGGGTCTTTGGATAAGGCAAGTGGGTTCCCAATGCTTCTTCTTGAGGGAGTGGGTCTAAGGGTGGATGACCTAGTAATCCTATTGCTCCCCAAAGAATACATTGCATCTCCTCCCCTTGGATCCACCCTGAAGGATCCTACTATCTTCAGCCTCATGCTGTCTGCAAGGAGCGACTAGTGACTAGCCCTGACCCTCTACAGCTCTAGGACCCTCAACCCAAAACCCTAAACCCTGAGGCCTAAACCTGCACCCCTAAACCTTAGAAGCTGCCCCCACCCTGTAATAGTGACTATAAGGAGTATAGTAGGGCCCTATTATATTCCCATTATACCACTATTACAGGGTGGGGACAGCTTCTAACCTAAACCCTTGAACCCTAAACCTGAGAGGCAAGGATCCCGAAAACCCCATCTCCGAAAACCAATGGCCCAGAGACCCCATAAGACTTAGGGGTACTTAGTGATAATTTTTAATTTTTGGTTATTATAATCCCTAAGAAACAGTTAACATTATTATTTTTGCTAGGGTTCTAAGTTCAGTATAGAAGACCTGAATTAAGGAACCTGCTTTGAGGTTCATGGGTAGCTATATGTGGGGTTGTAAGTCCTTTGGGAAATTTAGGCCTTCACGGGTTAGATGTCGGACAGCTATAGCTTTTTTACACGTATTGCAGGATTTATAACCCCACTTACAACCAGCATGCTTGGAAGTTTATGGGTAGTAGTATATGGGGTTTTAGGTCACTCGTGTGCGTCATAGCTATAGTTATCCTACTTATAAACCCACTTATAACTAGCCATGAACCTCAAAGTAGACCCTAAACCCTCTACTCTTATAGGAGCCTCCTTATGGGCTAGTGCTCATTCCTGAACTAAGGTTTTGGCATCCCCGGAAGACCCAAAACTCCAAACCCCTTGACCTACACCCTAAACCCTAAACCCCCCTGAAAGGCCTAGAAGCCCTAGTATACATCTCCTCTACATGGAGGTTCATGGTTAGTTGTAAGTAGGGTTATATGTAGGATAACTATAGTTATAACCCATATTAAGGAGCTTTTTAACCCACGTATAACCACCCATGAACCTCCAAGTATTCCCTCGACCCTACATGCCGAGCCTTCGGCGAGGCGTTGTTTGATGCGCTGCACCCGAAGCGTCCGGGGCTCTGCAGAGTCTAGGGCTTCGGGTGTCGGGTCAAGGTATTTTCTGTCGTCATCTGTCTGTAGTGTTGGTGGTGGTGCAGGTAGGGAGAGAAGGAGGACGAGAATCTCTGGTATAATTGGTAGCTTCTGCTGTAACAGCGATAGCAGTAGCAGCAGTGGTCGCAGGGGCGGGAAGGCTTCGTGAGTCCTTTTTTGTGGGGAGGGGGGGGGCTTCCGCACGGTCGCGAGAACGCCTTTGCTTGAGCCGTGTTTTTGGCTTTGGTGGGGCTCCCACAGTCTGTGTGTAGGTTCACCAAGTTGGGCAAAGCAAGGCATGGAATCGGTCTGAGACTGAAGGCATGTTGGAGATTTTGCTCAGGGAGCTTGGGATTGCGTTTCTTGTGGCATTGTAGCTGGCGCCCAACCGTGAACCCTAAACTCCAAGCCCCAAACCCTAAGGCCAAGCCAAAAAGCAAGCACCTGCCTTTCTGCCGCTCAGGTTGAGGCTTTGCGCTGCCAGCTGCGAGCTGCGAGCGTGGAGAAAGAACAAAATAGCGACGACCTCCCACCGTTGCGTACTGCTCTGACTACCGCTCCCTTATGACGAGGATCATGGCTTTTGTTGTTGCTTTTGTTGATGCTGCGACTGCTGCTTCAAGCGGCTCGCTGCAACTGCTGCTGTCATCCTTTTCGGTGGATCTTAAACCGCAAGCCACGAAACCAGAACCTTGAAGGCTAAAAACTTCCCTTCCCCGGCAAATCTCGTCATACAAACAGACACGCATAGAGAAAGAAGTTACGAACGAAGGAAAGAACTAAATAAAGAACTACATATATACTTATATATGCATATGTATCTAAATGTCTTTCTTTGTTTGTTGTCCTTCTCTTCTTTTCTCCCCATTCTTCTTTTTTGCTTCCGTAATCGATTCTGGTTCTAGGCCGAAGCGAGAGGAGTTGTGGGCAAGACAGGCCCCAGGTTTGCGTTTTTCAATCCTTTTGGTGGCTTGTGGGGCTCTGGAGGTGTTTATGGCTTTCGGATGGAGGGGTTCTTGGGCCTTTGGGGTTTCGGGGCTTGGGTTGGCGAGTTCAGTCTTCCGACTGGACCTAGTTTACTATCATGGTACACCAGGACCCCACTTCCGAAGACTGTTCCCTTACAATCAAAAACCTAGTTTACTATGATACCTCAGAACTACTTCCGATATCAGGCCTTCGGCTAGGAGCCGCCTGCGGCACAAAGCCCAACATGCATGCGACAACCCTGGACGCAGAACCTGAAACAAGGATTTCGCATTAGCGGGACCCGAAGCCCTGAGGGCTAAACCCAAAAAGCCCTGAATAGACCACTGTGTTGTTTCTGGTAGGGGCAACCCAAAACGAGCCCAATACCCCTGTGTGAAGCAGCATACTTTGACCAATCCGAGCCGTGATGCCTCTGGAGCTTTGCATGAAGCTGATGAACAGATGTTCGGCTCAGCCAGATGACCTATCAGCATGTCATCATGCTCAGTGACGACTGCCTTTAAGTCGGCTGCGTCCTGCGAAGGTTGCCAAGGTCGCACTGAAATCGGTGATACCGAAACGCGCACGCCATGAGCTTCTGCAGCAGATCATGCAAAGCAAGCTACCGCAGCTTTACCCCTAGCCCTAGGTGTCAATCACGCCGACAGCTCCCGTTAGAGGTCAAGTGCTCCTGTACATAGTCCAGACGATGATTGGGTTCGTTGCTGGCCAATTCCGGATCTCGAAGCCGGACACTGGCAAGAAACAACAGGCCTCGGATTGCAGAGCGTTTGACCGTTATTTCGATGTGCATTTGGCCGCCTTTGAGCTAGAAAACGGGCTTTGGGGAAGCCTCTTCTGTCAGTGTTAGTAAGCGTAGGGGGGGGAATACTCCCGCCCGGAACGGATTACACCTTGACACGCAGGATTCTAGGGGAGGTATTGTCTACTGAGGTGTTCAGGGGCAGGCTTGGCAGCTTTGATCTGTCTTGCTTGAAGCACGGGGTTCCGGTCCTTGTAATAAGGATCCTACCAATTATGTAGGGTATTATAAGAGGGTCCCCTGTTCTCTGAAACTCCCATGTATTCCTTTGCGCAGTGGCCCTAGCAAGTCATTCATCTCCCTGATTCTAAGCAGGAAAAGAGGGGGGCCCAGGCTACGAAGCCTGGGAAACGCTACTTGTACCCCCAAACCCGACCCTAAACCCTAAACCCTAAACCCCGACTCCCAGAAATCTGGGCTTCGAAGGTTAGCAGTGGAGGAGCTGACGTTGTCCTTGTGATGAGTCTTGAGGATTTGGAGTTGCGGGTCGGGCTTCGAAGTTTGGGGGGGAGCGAGGTGGGGCTAAGTGTTCCGAGAGTTGGGAGTTCAGGGTTGAGGGGTTTGTTTTAATTAAACCGTAAACTCCGAAACCCGTAAACCCCTCTAAGCCCCTAAACCCTAAAAGCCTGAACCGCTAAACCCTAAACCCTAAAAGCATGAACCCCTAAACCCTAAACCCCTAAACCATAAACCGTTCTCAAGGATACGGGGAGGAGCTGCTGAAGCTGCGCGGTTCCCTCAAAAGCCCTGTGATGCAGTGCCTACGTTCTTGGTCAATAGAATAGGGCTCAAGGGGATAGCATACTATAATTATGATACAATAAGGGAAACCATAATTATGATACAGTAAGGGAGTACTGGATACAGTACGGGAGTAATGGATACCAAATTTATAGATGCCATAAGGGAGGAGAAGGACAAGGTTGAACCCTAAACCCTAAACCCTAAACCCTAAACCCTACACCGTTAAGGACAAGGTTGAACCCAAGCCCGAACTTGCAGCCGAGGCCTCCACCGCATGACCCAAGCACAAAGTGGCACGTTTCCCAGACCCAGAGAGCCCAATACCCCTGAATTCAGGAATATAGCTTAAATCAGAATATGAATCCCCTTATAATTTACGCCATATCCCTTAATAAAGGGGTATCAGAATTCCCTAGACCCTAAACCTTATAGATCCCTTAAAAGATCCCTTTAAAGGAACCCTATCTCTCTGGGGAGTTACCGTTACCGCTCCTCCGGGGATCCCTCAAGAACAGTATACTTCACTCAAGGGGTACCACTGTACCTTGGAGACGTCCCTCAGAGTGACGACGTTCTTAAACCTTCAGCCCCTAACCCTGAACTCTACACCCTAAACTCTCAACCTTAACCCTAAATCCCTAAACTTAAAGACCCAAAACCCTGAAGCCCAAGTAAAGCGATGCTTGGAAGAGGCCGGGTCCTACCGAGACTACGGCACTGGGGAGCAGTTCCAGCTACTCGGTTTAGGGTTCAGGGTTGGGGGCTTGGGGTTTTGGGTTGAGGGTTTGGGGTTTTCGGTTGAGGGTTTGGGGTTTAGGGTTGAGGGTTTGGGGTTTAGGGTTACGTAAGGGTTTGGGTTTTTGGGTTGAGGGTTTGGGGTTTTCGGTTGAGGGTTTGGGGTTTAGGGTTGAGGGTTTGGGGTTTAGGGTTACGTAAGGGTTTGAGGTTTTGGGTTGAGGGTTTGGGGTTGAGGTAGGGTTTAGGGTTCGGGTTGAGGGTTTAGGGTTTAGGGCGGACCATGCAATACGAAATTTCATCTAGCTCGTCCCGAAACCCCAAGACCCCCCAGTCCTACGCGCAAAACACAGAAGCCGACACCCCAAAGCTTACAGCGCAAAAAGCTGGCCCCTCGAAATTTCAATCTCCTTGCAAGCCCTGCATCCTTCAGTCTGCAACTTGCCTCCCTTTGCTTGGTGCTCCTACTATAAGGCTTTAGGGTTTAGGGTTAGGGGGATCGGAATAACTAGTAGCAGTATCACCCCCAAGCCCTACTATAGGGACCTGCAGAACTACTAATCGTATCTTGGGGGTTCCTTGTTCCAAAAAAAAGGAGTCTACTGGGCCCCAAAACCCTATTCTGATTATTAAGGCCCCCGTACCCAGAGAGCCCAATACCCCTTAATTGAGGAATATACCTTAAATCATATTATGCGCCTTCTTATAATTTAAGGTGTATTCCTCAATTAAGGGGCCCCTTGGGCTCTCTGGGTAGATCATTCGAACTCTGAAAGCCGCCGACCCCCCGACCCCAAAAAAAAATTCAAAAGCCGAGGCCTTGAGGTCAGATCCCGTGATCCCACTTAGAGGTTTAGGGTTTAGGGTTTAGGGTTTAGGGTTTAGGGTTTAGGGTTTAGGGTTTAGGGTTTAGGGTTTCCACCCTGTTAATAGTGACTATATGGATTATAGTAGGGCCCGATTATATTCCTATTATACCACTATTACAGGGTGGGGGCAGCTTCTAAGATCCCACTGTGAGTTTTGATTTCCCTAACTTGTCGAAGCCTTAGTTTTTCCATCCCTTTATGTAATTCTTAAAAATTTTAGGACCCTAGTTGTACATCCCTTTATCTAATTCTAGAAAAAATTTTAGAACCCTAAATATACATCCCTTTATTTAATTCTTAAAATTGTAGAACCCTAAATATACATCCCTTATAGAATTCTTTAAGGAGCCCTATTCTAATGATTGAGGAACCTATATATTTTCTTCCAGCCTACCGGCCTACCTCGTGATGCGGGCCGAGCGGAGTTAGGGAAACGGAGTGAAGCCTAAAAAAAATTGTTCCCTTATTGTGTCACAGTGACCATTACTGCCCTATTGTATCATAACTCTACTGTACTATCCCCTTAAGTTTTATTCTATTGATCAATGCTCCTATGCTGTAGCATTTCCGAACCCTACCACGAATCCGTAAATCGAACACCCACCCTTCCCGAAGCCTTGAATCGTATTCCGTAAACCGATACCCCCAACCCACCTTTCTTGCCCAAACTTAAAACCCCAAAAGCAGATCTGCAAGCTTCACAGCCCAAACCCAAAGAGCCCCGCAACCACAAAGCACCATAAGCGCCCCTTGTCATCCCCCCAAATCTTCCAAAACAACTTGCCGAAGCTTCCCACCCTCAACCCTCAACCCTAAACCCTAAACCCTAAACCCTAAAACCTAAGGCGGAAAAAGGTGCTTAAAAAAAAACCCTAAACTGTAAGCCCTAAACCGGCAAAAGACCACCCCCGAAAAGATCTGAGGAAGAGCACTGGCCTAGCAAGAAAACGAACGACAGGCCCGATCTTGGGCGCAGGGGAAGACTTGAAGCTTAGGGTTCAAGGTTTGGGTTTGAGGAGGGTTTAGGGGTTTAGGACTTGGGATTATGGGTTTAGGGTTTAGGGTGAGGGGTTTAGGGTTTAGGGTTTGGGGGAACGGGTTACGGGTTCTTATCCGGAGGGCTTTCTGCGGGGTTTAGAGGCCTATCATAGGGTTTCAAAGGAGGGTTTCAAGGGTTTGCTGCCAAGGTTGAGGGCTTTTGCATTTAACGGGACATTATGACGTCATTGCTCGGAGTGGACACGATAGTGCGAATGTTGGGTTTACAGGCTTGTTCAACGGGTCTTGTAGGATGTTGGAAGCGGAGTTTTGAGATGTTAAGGCATCGCTGACAAAGGGTTCTACTACGGGGATGCTTGGACTGGGAATACCTACAACAGGGGTCTGAAGGATTTGAAATTGCAGCTCCTGAACCCTGCAGGCCATAGGCTCGGAGCCCAAACTCGACACTCTAAAGCGAAAGGATGCTCCCAGGCTTGAAAGCAAGCCGAGACGCCCACCAACTTATCCAAATCCCAAACCGTCAACCCTAATATAGAGGCCTGAACAATCAGCAACAGTCATAGACAATTTCGGCAAAATGTAGAAAACCCCAAGAGCTATTCTGATTATCATGGCCCTCAAAACAAGCCGCCCCGCCAAAACGGCAAACCCCCTGAAAAGGGTCAGCCCGCAGGGACAGCGCTTCCGAGGGAGAACTCCATCCACCGGGGCATCATCGTCTGTACAAAGGACCGGGGGCTCTGTGGTTGACAGGGCTGTTTTTCGAGGATTCAACGTGCGTCCTACAAGGGTCTTATAAACCCTAAACTCAAAACCCTAAACCTGTGGGGTATGTTAAAATGTTTTGGTGTTTTCTAGGGTTTAGGGGCTTGTCGTTTAGGGGTTTAGGGGGCCCATTATAGTACTCATACAGATCCCTCTCAAGCCACCCTACACTTGGAGGTTCATGGTTAGTTATAAGTAGGGTTATAAGTAGGATAACTATAGTTACAAGCCATATTGAAGGACTTAAAACCCCACTTATGAGTGCCCATGAACCGCCAAGTATATGGGTGGTTGTCAAAATTATGGTCCGTTTTTGGGTACCCGAAATATTAGGTACCGTACCGTATTATAATAATTAAGGACCCAAAAAGGGACCCTAATTTTAACAACCACCCATATACTCCCCTTTAAAGGAACCCCCCCATCTCCCCCGGCCTGGCAGTGGCAGCGATTAGGATTGGGTTTAGAGTTTCGGGTTTAGGGTTTTGCGGGTTTGGGGTTTAGGGGGTTTTGGGGGTTTGGGGTTTAGGGTTTAGGGGTTTAGGGGTTTAAGGGTTTAGGGGTTTAGGGTTTAGGTTTAGGGTTTTAGGCTTTGGGGGTTTAGGGTTTAGAGGTTCAGCGTTTTAGGGTAAAGGTTTAGGGCCCGGAGTAGGGTTTAGGAAAAAGGGTTTTGGGGGCAGGGTTGAGGGATGTATGTAGGAATGCGGGATTAGTGAGAGCTTCCGCACCCGCCAACGCAGAGACACAGGGAGAGAGACTATGCTAGAGGTGTCTGGGGCTGGGTGAGACGACGAGGCATGGACATTTCCATGAGGAGTGTGGGACAGAAATGGCCCTTCGGATGCGAAAATACTGAGGAACTCATCCACGTTAGAATCCTTTGTCATAGCTGGGTAACATTTTGCATTTTTATGCGTACTTAAATCCAACAAGGAATAGACATGTACATCTGTAGTACTACCTGGACCCTAAGGAACCTACCTTTTTAGGGTTCCCTAATATGATTTCTTTATATACGTCCTTAAAAAGGTAGGATACTTGGGGTTAAGGTATCCAACCATGAGCTAGAATTCCCAACGCGAACTCCTGAGCACCGAGCCCGAAAGCAGTGTAGAAATTGCGCCCCAATCCTTAGGCCCGAGGTCGAACCGTCTTGCGCTTTGTGTTGTTTTAGTGATGATCCGATACATATGAAGATATATATATATATATATATAATGTTTATATATTATTACTTGTCTCTCTTTAGTCATATCTAGGTCTGTATGAATCTCTGCCTGAAAGCTCAATCCCAAAACGCAAGAACCCTAAATCCTGAGCCCGCGCCCAACACCCACACCCTCACCCCAAACACCAAAGCTAAACGAGGAGTATGGAGCCTTCGTCCAGCTTGGCGACTTTCCTCACCCTGTTTTGTTTTTTTATTTGCCGGCCCTGAACCCGGAACCCTAAACCCCCAAAACCCCTAAACCCTAAACCGTTGTCAATCTCTGATTGGATGCCTTGAGGAGTTGGAGGGCTAAGAGCTTCATGCTTTAGGGCTTTGGGTTTTTGGGCGTCGGGTTTTGGGGCTTCGGGTTTTGGGGCTTCGGGTTTTAGGAATTTTAGGGTTCAGGATTGCAGGTTTCGGTTTTTTCGCCACGATACAATTCGGAGCATTCTTTGCCATTGCGTTATTCCCCCCGACAAGTTCTTAAGCCATTAAGCGCTAAACCCTAAATTTACTAAACCCTTTTCTGCGTACGTACCAGTCGTAGGGCCTAGGCCCAAGAGGCATGCCGGATTCTCGGAAGAAGCTGGAGGTGGGTCTCTGACACGCCTAGATCGGAATCGATGTAACCCAGTGCTTCCAAGCCCTGAGGCCATAAAATCTCAAAGCCCTGAATCCCAAATTCCACATCCATCGTCTTGCAAGCACCAGAAAATTCCCAAAGATCCGTAGACCAAAACGACTCACTGAGCCCTAGCCTCTGAAGCGCAGAGCTCCTGGAGGGCTCCGTAGCATTGTTGATGATTTACATCCTGCACCTTAAGGATCTTAAACTATGGGAATATTGGTATATTCCGTACCACGGGTAATGCAGGATTTAGACCATCAGCCGTATAGCCATAGAAAACTATACACCCAAAGCCCTCTCCTAGCAGTGAAAACCCCTGTCTCACCGACTTCTTCACCAGCCCTAAACCCTAAGCCCCCCCTAAGCCCCCCCTAAGCCCCCCCTAAGCCCTAAACTGTTAAATCCTACATCCTAAACCTCAAAAGCCCAAACCCTAAACCCGTTTTGGCGTGCAAGCCTCGATGAGGCGGAGCAGAGAAAAGGGCCGCTGCACCTTAAAAAAAAACCCAAGGCGAGAAGTACAAACGCTAAAACCCCAGATCCTAAGCCCCAAACCCCTAAACCCCTAGACGGTAAACCCCTAAAACCCCCAAAGAGCTCAGGCAAAGGCGAGAAGTACAAGGATGGCTTCCTCCACATCGGCTGCCTCCCTGCGCCGCCCGGGGTGGAGCGCCTCGAAGTAGCCCCTTGGCCAAAGAGCACATGCGCATTTTATAGGGATATCATTACCTTATTGGGCTTCATTATAAGGGGTTTCATAGGTGTTGCAATATGGGATATCCCCATCCTAATTTTTGCTTCTGGGCATTTTTGGGGCCTTATTGGTAGTAGGGGAGGACTGGGGTTGAGGGGTTTAGGGATTAGGGGTTCTAGGGTTTAACGGTTAGGGCCTTAGGGGGTTAGGGGTTAGGGCTTCTAGGGTTTAGCGGTTTAGGTTAGGGGTTGGGGGTTTTAGGGTTTAGGGGTTGGGGGGTTTAGGGGTTTAGGGGTTATGCGTTCAGGGGTTTAGGGGTTCAGGGGTTTAGGGGTTCAGGGGTTTAAGGGTTTGGGGCTTTAGAGGTTTAAGGGTTTGGGGGTTTAGGGCTTCAGGAGTTTAAGGGTCTAGGGGTTTAAGGGTTTAGGGTTTGGGGGTTTTGGGGTTTACGGGTTTAGGGATTCCACTATGGCCCAAGATCATAGGGCTTTCGATTGATAGGCTTTCTGATGGACTTAAGCCCTTGGGCCGTTGATCCGGGTTTCTGATCTACCCCCAGAGAGCCCAATACCCCTTAATTAAGGAATATAGCTGAAATCATATCATACGTCCCCTTTTAATTTATGGTATATTCCTTAGTTAAACTCCCCTTTGTCTCTGCGCCGGGGCTTTTCTTCGATGGAGTATATCAAAGGGGAATAGGAGGGACCCTTAATGGGGACCCCTACCCTAGAATGGGCGACATAATGGTATATAATAGCTATATTCAGGATATATATCTAGGGGTCCTTATTAGGGTCCCTCCTTTTACCCTTGGAGTATAGTATCCCTGCAAGGGCTCCTGATGCCAGGCAGGGCCGCTATTGTACCCAGAGACCCCAATAGCCTTTAATTACGGAACATACCTTAAATTGTAAGGGGATTCATATGGGTGGTTGCCGAAATTAGGGTCCCTTTTTGGGTCCTTACTAGAGTACGGCACCTATTATTTAGGGTACCCAAAAAGGGACCATAAATTTGACAACCACCCATCTTATGATGCTATATTCCTTAATTAAGGGGTATTAGGCTCTCTGGGTAGTCAGAAGATGCCTTCCTTGGAGTCACCGGCTTCATACTTGGAGGCTCATGGGGGGTTCCTTGAAGGGTTCCTTCAAAGGGATCTATAGGGATTCTATGAGGGTATAGAGTTTAGGACCCCATGGGTAGTTAGCGATTTAAAGGAGCTAGAAGTCCTTTGATACCTTTCGCGATAGTTACTCCGCTTATATCCTTCCTTATAGCCGACCATGAACCCCCAAGTCCTCTTGATAGACTGAGTAGCCCGGTACCGTTTGACTATGGAGTATACCGGCAACGCAACCATCCTGTTCTCATTGTTCTGATTTCCGGCATACCCCTTCGTTAGTCAGGGCCTGAAGTTATAGAGGTTCAGGGTCTGGGCCCAGAGCTCTGAACCCTTCAAAACCTCAAGCCGCCAACCCTGAAAAAGAAGAAACCCCCAAACCATGAACCCTAAACCCTAAACCCAGAATCCTAACCCCCTAAAACCCTAAACCCTAAACTTTCCTAGATGGTATCAAAGCCTCCTACTACTCTCACATCCCCAACACCCGCTTAGACGAAGTTGCTAACAAACCACGACTCCCTGCCGAAAGCCTCAGCCAACAGCAGCATAAGATGATGAAGGAGGTTTTCCAAGCCCCACGGTCTGAAACATGCCATTCAGTAATGTTGCGCTCTGCGTTCAAAGATAGGATCCTATCCCAAGGTCGGCGTCGGGGAATGCAGTTCCCCTACTGGCTGGAAGTGGTATGTAAACAGTACTACCTAACGGAATTCCAACAAACTGGCCACACCGCCCTAGGACCCCACTTTAAATACGTACCAGTACACAGAAAGCTGAGAGATCCTGCTGGGAAGACGCCAAAGCGCGCCGTGACTCGCGCGCATGGCTCTAACAAAAAACTTTCCTAGACCTTTCAAAATCCAAGGTCAACTCCGTCGTCCGGGAAGGGGACAAAGTCTGGGCAGCCCGGGCTCGAAAGATGTCAACCCCAGAGGTTTTAGGGTTTAGGGTTTTTCTTTGGGGTTTACGGGTTTAGGGTTTGGGGGTTTAGGGTTTTGGGTTTAGGGTTTGGTGTTTAGTGAGGTTCCCAGAGACTCCAATATCCCTTAATTAAGGAATATTCCTTAAATCATCTTCGGGATCCGCAAGAAGGCGTATTCCTTTCGCAGAGAGCCCAATACTCCGTTTTTGGAGGAATATAGCTTAAACTATAAAGGGATTCATATTATGGTTTAAGCCATATTCCTTAATTGAGGGGCCCCTTGGGCTCTCAGGGTAGTTCGTGTTGATGCATCTTCGGCTCTGTGGTTCGACTCTCGAGCTTGTTTCTTCTACCGGTAGCCTAGGAGATTCGGGACCTGGGTGCTTCAGAGTCTTCTGATTCGGTTTAGGGTTCGGGTCAGGGTTGGGATTTAATCTTCAGGCTTTAGGGTTTAGGGAGAAGGCACGAAGCCGGTAGCTTTGGATTTCTTCGGAGGTTTGTATTCTGCTAGAAGCCCGTAGGAAGTCTGATACATCCCCACTGCTACTTTGCCTTCGGGTCCCTGAATTGTCATCCCTGACGGCCTAAAGCCCTGACAAGAACCCGCAATCCTAGAACTCTAAAGCCCAATTCCCTGAAGCCTAAAGCCCTACGAAACACTAGCCCCTAAAGCCCTAAAAACCCTGAAGCCCTAAAACCCTGAAGCCCTGAACCCTAACCCACACTCAGGGTCAGCATAATTAGGCTGGCTACACATACTCTTGTCCATTAAGTATGGTCTGGTATTTATGGCTTCGGGTGTACTGTGCGTCGCTTCAGGGGCAGCTGCCCGGTTTAGGCTTTAGGGCTTAGGGTTTCGAATGTCGCATTTAGTGTTTAGGGCTTTGGGCTTTGGGATGCCATAAGTTCATCCGTATTGCCCCGAGGTATGTGGGTGTCAAAATTATGGTCCGGTTTTGAATATTTGGTGCCGAGTTATAATGAGGACCCAGAAAGGGACCCTAATATTGACAACCACCCATGTCTAGTCTAGGCAAGTTCGAAGAGGCATCTGTGAAACACCCTGAGGATCAAGAACGGAAACTGCTTGAAGCCTGAACCCTGAGCCAGAAGTGCCTAATGGAGGGGCCTAAACAATTACCAATACTATTTTGGGGTTCCTTATTTTAATTGTTCTATAATGGGCCCCAAAACCTTATTCTAAATATTAAGGCAGCTGTATTAAACTCGCCAGAAACCCCTTAAACCCTCAAAAGCCTTAACCTAAGCCCCAAACGCTCAAGGACAACCCCACAATTCGCACTTCAAGCCCATAATATAGGGGTCGGAGTAGAAAGTAGTAATATCTCTTATGGTCCTTCGATTAAGTATAGTCATTCTAGTATTACAGTATCCTCAACGCCGAGATCTCGCGAAGCACGTGGCCATAAGATTCCTAAGCCCTTTCGCCCTTCAACTTTTAGGTTTAGGGACTTGCCTAGTCATCTTGGGGGGGGGGGGGGGGGGGTTTAGGGTTTGGGTTTGGGGTTTAGGGTGCTGAACAACTAACCTGGGGGTCCAAATATTTACCAATACCATTTGGGGGGTTCCTTAGTATAATGGGCCCCAAAACCCTGTTCGAATTACTCAGGCCCCTATATTGGTCACCTTTATTCCTTAGGGCATTCTGCTTTGGGGATGATCTCCAGCCCCCCCCCCCCCCCCCCCGATATCCACGGACATGGCTCGCCTGCTCTCCTCCTTCGGAGTTCTTTAACCTACTTGGAGTTTCATGGGCACTTATAGGTGGGGTTATAAGTCCCTCAATATAGCTTATACCTATAGTTATCCAGTTATCCTACTTATAACCCTACTTATAACTAACCATGAACCTCCAAGTAGGGTCCATTTTGGGGTCCTAGCGTGCCGCCTGCCAAAGGGGGCTCCCAAGAAGAAGGGATCCAAGCTCGGAGAACTTATGCAGCGTCCCTTCGAAGGGGTCTATAAGGGTTACTCTAAGGGATCTATAAGGGTACTATGATAATCTAGGACCTGATTAAGAAATCCGGGGCCTGCAGCCCCCCAAAAGAGTAGGATTCATACAAAGAGCCCTTGTAAATGCCCAAGGTTTCTGAACCAGGTTCCTACATAATTTTAGTACCCTTGTAGATCCCTCTAATCTAAAGGAACCTCCCGAAAACATGGCCCAAGGTTTCTTAACCAGGTTCCTACATTACCCACTGCAGGTGAAGGTCCGCGATGTGGATGCCGCTCGGTGGTCGGATGGCGGGCTCATGGTATGCAGGGCTTGGAAGTCTGACTAAGCTCACATCAAAACCCCGGGTTTTGGGCCCTTAGCCTTAGCCCTAAACAACAAACCCCCCTGAACCCTAAACCCTAAACAATAAGCCCCTAAACCCTAAACCCCAAACCCTTAACCCCTAAAGCCCTAAACTCCTAAACCCTAAACAATAAGCCCCTAAACCCTAAACCCCAAACCCTTAACCCCTAAAGCCCTAAACTCCTAAACCCTAAACCCCTAAGCCCCTAAACCCTAAACCCCAAACCCTTAACCCCTAAAACCCTAAACTCCTAAACCCTAAACCCCTAAGCCCCTAAACCCTAAACCCCAAACCCTTAACCCCTAAAACCCTAAACTCCTAAACCCTAAACCCCTAAGCCCCTAAACCCTAAACCCCAAACCCTTAACCCCTAAAACCCTAAACTCCTAAACCCTAAACCCCTAAGCCCCTAAACCCTAAACCCCAAACCCTTAACCCCTAAAACCCTAAACTCCTAAACCCTAAACCCCTAAGCCCCTAAACCCTAAACCCCAAACCCTTAACCCCTAAAACCCTAAACTCCTAAACCCTAAACCCCTAAGCCCCTAAACCCTAAACCCCAAACCCTTAACCCCTAAAACCCTAAACTCCTAAACCCTAAACCCCTAAGCCCCTAAACCCTAAACCCCAAACCCTTAACCCCTAAAACCCTAAACTCCTAAACCCTAAACCCCTAAGCCCCTAAACCCTAAACCCCAAACCCTTAACCCCTAAAACCCTAAACTCCTAAACCCTAAACCCCTAAGCCCCTAAACCCTAAACCCCAAACCCTTAACCCGAACAGCCCCTGGACCCCCCCCCCCCCAAGCCCCAAACCCGTAACCCCCGAGTCGCCGGCTTTCGAGGTGTCGGGGATCCGAAATCAAAGGGGACAAGGAGCTTAATGGGGACCCCTACCCTATAATGGGCTATTTAATGGGTATACAATAGCTATATTAAGGATATATATACCTTAAACCCTAAACCCTAGGGGTCCTTATTAAGGGTATATTTCCTAGGGGTCCTTATTAAGCGTCCCTCCTTTTACCCTTGGACTAAAGTCTTCTCGAATCTTTCGGCCCGAAGTTTGCAGGGGGCGGAGGGCTTAGGGCTTGTGGGGCTTTTGGGGAGGGTTCAGGGTTTAGGGTTTTTGGTTTAGGACAAGTTTTTGGGGTGTAGGGTCGGGGTTTAGGGTGTTTGGCTTAGGGGAAGTTTTAGGGTGTCGGGTTCGGGGTTTAGGGTTTAGGGCTCTTTCTCCGGGACCACGGCTTGTCAGGTGAAGTTAGCGGCTCTTGCACCCGAGGCGCTGTTTCGAAAGGCGTCGCCAACAAGCATGACCCAGAGAGCCCAATACCACTTAATTAAGGAATATAGCTTAAATCATATTTTGCGCCCCCTTATAATTTAAGGTATATTCCTTAATTAAGGGGTATTGGGCTTTCTGGGGACTTGTCAAAGGTCTTGTCAGTCTGGCCTTGAGCACCCTGAGCCCTATACGCTTGCACCCTTATAGGGCCCTTTTGAAGGACCCCTTTAAAGGAGTCCTATTCTCGGTATTGAGGCCCCTACAGTATCCTACAAACCCAAAAGCACCCTGTAGCCAAAGCAGTAAGCCTGGAATTGTGTTAGCGTTGATCAACGAATCTCGGACTAAGCCCCGACGTCTGAACTAGAAGCCTAACTAAGTGCCAACATTATTTTCAAGGTTTCCTAGTATAATAATACTAACAAGGAGCCCAAAACCCTATTTTAATTATTAAGGCACCTTCTTTTAACCTTTTTGATAGAACCCTATTGTGGAACTCTTACCCCGTTAAAGGAGCCCTTTAACGGGAACCCTACTCTAATTATCAAGGCCCCTACATTGAACCTTGTAGCAGCCCTTATGGTAGCCCTTATAGACCCCTTTAAAGGAACACTATTCTAAATCCTAAACCCTAAACCGTAAAACCCCCAAGCCCTAAATCCTAAATCCTAAACCCTAGTCTAATTCTTAGTATAATATTACCAAAAAAGGAGCCCAGAACCCATTTCCCTAAAACCCCAAAATCCTAAACCCGAAGCCCAGTAAAGCTCGATGGCCTGGCTCAGGAGGAGAGCGGCAAGTACGCCTTGGACATGCGGCTTCCGAGCGAAAGTGATGTTTTTTTTTTGGAAAGGTTGGGGTTTGCGTTTTCGGGTTGAGGTTTGTGCTTTGGGGAACAACAGGGCTTCTCAAAGAGATGTTCGGTTCTGCACAGTCGGCTTGGTAGGAGTAAAGCCTAAGCGGGGCGGATTCGACCTTGCCGGCTCTGCCGAACATGCGCACAGGACATGGCATCGGAGCTCCGAGACTAAGACGAGTTTTCAGGCAAGGACTTACCTGTCTGCTGCCGCCGTTATGGCTTCTGCCGCTGCTTCTTAGACAGGTACGACCACTGCCACTCAGGGCGGCACTCAAGATAATGTCGGGCGGCCAGCACACGGAGCCACTGAACTTAACGGGAAGTGACCAGGGGAGCTGCAAACAGCGCCTTGCACACCTCCTTGAGCCTTGGGCACGGCAGGAACCTGATCACAGTCATACAACATAGAGGCCTTAATAATTACCTATACTATTTGGAGGGTTCCTTATTATGCTTATACTACAATAAAGCCCCAAGCATCAAGGGCCCTACAGTACCCTCCTTTTCGAGGAGTATGTCGCTCCCAAGGACAACTGGTGGTTCAACGTGTTCATTCTCTTCGTGGTGTTGGTGGATCTGACGGTCATCGCCCTGGATGTCACTTATCGAGCCCAGAAAATTCCTGCCGGGGAGTATCTGGTTCCTCAACGCATTGTGTGCCTGGTGGTCTACTCCTTGGAGCTCGGCGTGGTCTTCTTCGCAAGGGCGCACTGGCCGTGGGATTTGACGTGGTGGGTGGTCCTTTTGGCGACTGCCCTGCCGCTTTGTTGGGACTCAATGATTCTTATTGTCAATAAGATTACTAACAATAGTATTAATATAAGAGCAGAAATCTTATTGTTATGTTACAATATTTCTTATTGTTATGTTATAACACTATTAAAAATAGTATTAATATAAGTGCAGAATTCTTGTTGTTATTTTGAGTGGAGTTTGGATCACATACCCCGTCGATCTACTAGGCGCCTAAACCCCAAACCCGAGTCATTCATGGGCCATACTATAGGGGCTTAACTAATTGCCAATACTACTTTGGGGGCTCCTTATGATAGTTATAGTATAGTGTGCCCCAAAACCCCATTCTAGCTATTGGGCCCCTATACTAAACCACCATTGTACCTCTTCCAGTAGCCCTTATGGACCCCCTTCAAAAGGGAACCCCATTCTAGTTATCAAGGCCCCGATTTTACCCTTAGGTCGTGGCTTGACCCAGTGTGGCGTGAGCTTGATGCTCACCACTTCCTGTTGTGCATTAGCTTTCTCCGCATCACCAGGCTCTTCAAGGCAGGAGCGGGGGGTTAGGGTTCAAGGTTTGGGGGTTTAGGGTTTAGGGCTTTAGGGTGTAAGGCTTAGGGGGGTTGGGGTTTAGTGTTTGGGGGGCTTGGGTTTCAGGACTCAGGGTCCCCTAAAACCCCAAGACGAGCAGCCCAGACTCTCGGCACCACGCCCTAAACCCCCGAAACCGCCAAACTGCAAACCCTAAACCCTAAACCCCTAAACCCCTAAACCCTAAACCCCTAAACCCCTAAACCCTAAACCCCTAAACCCTAAACCCCTAAACCCTAAGCCCCAACACCCAGTAAGGCAACGGTTGCCTTGGCAGAGAAGACGCCCTTGCTGGGTGGCCTTCGCGCCATCTGCGCTGAGATGTCGTCATGTCTCGGGACCTGCAGGGTCCTAAACCCTAAAGGGAACTCCAGAAAGTTGGAATATGGATTACTGGTAGGATCCCCAATAATTTACCTTAAAGGGGTTACGATAATGATATTCCAACTTTCTGGCTTCTACTGTAAACCCTAAACCCTAAGATGAACCCTAAACCCTAAACCGTAAGACCTAAACCCCTAAGCCCTAAGCCCTAAGAACCTAAACCCTAAGACCTAAACCCTAAGCTGCCGGGTCCTGATGGCTTTCTAGAGTTTTTCTGGGGCCGGGGTTCTGGGCCTGCCGCGTGGGTTGCCAGACGGGGGTTTTGGGTTATATTACTTGGAGGTTCATGGGTAGTTACAAGTGGGGTTATAAGTCCCTTAATATGGGTGATAACTATAGTTATCCTACTTATAACCCTACTTAGAACTAAACATAAACCTCCAAGTATACTATAATCATAATGCGGAACAGTACTGGTAATTATTCCGGCTGATCGAATTTTGGGCTGGGCTGGGGCTTTGTTGGGGTTGTGGTGGGGCCGGGGCTCGGCGTTCACTGGCTGTTGCACCTTGAAAATGACGGTTCAGGGGATTCTTGGTGAACAAAGACAAACAAATTCGATCTATTCAACTTGAGGTTTTAGGGCGCAGGGTTTAGGGTCTTGGATTCAGGTTGTATGTTTTAAGGTTTAGGGTTTTGGGCTGAGGGTTAGGGTCCTGGAGTGCTAGAATTTTGATGGCTCAGGGTGTTTAGGGTTTTAGGTGTTTCGGAGTAGCTGTGCTAGGGCTTGTGGTTTCTGGAGTTGGGCTTCAAAACCCTTATTGAGTGTTGTAGGCATCAAACATACCTAACCATTGATATTGGAGGAGCTAAGGAGCCAGGGGTGATGATAATCCCTACTTAATAAGGAGCTAAAGAGCCAAGGGAACCCCAAAATCATTGGTCAGATACTCTGAAAGTTTGGCCAGCATCGAGACGCCTCATGCCTTCCTTTCTGTAGAGTGCATCCCATCGGAAGGATGTTTTTGACTTTTGAGGGTCAAAATACCTCCAATTTCACCCTAAAGCTTAAATTCCTGAATCCCTAAAGAAGTCAGCCGTGTATTCCCCAGGATCCTGTGCTTACCTGCAGGAACTCCGTTCTCACCAAACCCCGAACCCGAAGCTCCCAGGCCGGACCATAGCCCCAGGGCTCTAAAGTCTTCAACCCAAATCCCTAAAACATCCTACACCCTAAACCCTAAATCCCATCCTCAACCCTAAACCCGAAACCCTAAATCTACACCCTACTGCATGTCATCAGGATTTGGTTCTGGGCCTGGGTTGTCTTGTCTGTCGTGAACACCATGTTGGCTGTGGTGCTCGTTGAGCTGGAGCCTCGCTGCGTTCTTTCAGTGACTTCGGGTCGAGTTTGGGTTTAGGGCTCAGGGATTCGGGAATCGGGGTTCAGGTATGGGAGTTTCCGAACATAGGGACCCTAAAACAGAAAACCCTAAATCGTAGTATCTTTACCACAAGGACCCCAAAGTAAAGTGCCCCTAATTACTTCTGCAGTCCTTATTCAAGCCTCCACCTGGATAGAGCGCTGCCTTGCGAACGACGTGCTTCTTCATCAGCATGGGAGTTTCCGAACATGAGGGGTACCTTATGTTGGGGCCCTTATAGCAAGCATCCTACTATCTAGGGCACTATACTGGGGTCCCCTATTTTCGGAAAACCCCAAACATAGGAAGTCACTGACTATCAAGAGCTACAAGAAGGGGCCAACAGGTCTGGGAAACAGGAAGACGCGAAGAAACAGCTGGGACCTAGAGTATGCCATTATTCCCTTTGTTCAGGGTTCAGGTTCCCTTACAAGCCCCTTTAAACCAAAGAGGGCACCCTTTTTATTCCTTGGTTACTCTTGGGTCTAGACAGTGAAACCCTAGACCCTAAACCCTAAACCCTAATGTTTCTGTTCGGAAGGATCTTCAGCAGCCAAGGTTTACCCTGCCCTGGCAGACCGGGAATCCAGCTTCTGGGATTCTGGGTTCTTCTTAAGGGGGTTTGTTTAAATTGATCTATAAGGGCTCCTTTAAGGTATCTTTCAGGGCTCCTTCTTAGGTTTTCGGGGTTTGTTTAAGATTACCATAATAGGGATCTGCAGTAAATAATTTGGTTTCCGTATAGTAACTGAACTTAAATCCCTTAAAAAAGAACCCAGGATTGCCCTGGATGCTTACAGCACTTCTCTTCGGTCCTGGAAGCGAGCCTCTGGCTCTTTACAGCCGTTTTCTCCGGCGGCTGGGAGAAAGAAATCACCCTCATCATCCAGGCACGTATTATATAGGGGCCTTAATATTTTTTCGGGCTTCCTTTAAAGGGTTCCTTGAAGGGGTTTCTAAGGGATCTATAGTAGGGTTCTGTCACATAGGAGCTTATTTAATTACCTGACTATTTTGGGGGTTTCTGTTTATAGTTCTAGTATAACATCCTGCAAAACCCTAACCGAATGATTTAGGCCCCTATACTAACAGCATCTTTAGAGAGAGATCACATGCTCAGACTAAGTACAGCTGTCATAACCTCAGCCGGGGTAGCAATGCTCGTTCTGAGAAAAGATGATAGGGACCCAAAAAAGCACATAAGCATAAGCATTTTATGGGGATATCCCGACCTTATTGGGCTTCATTATAAGGGTGTTTATATGGGATATCCCTAACCGTATTTTTGCTTATGTGCTTGTTGGGGCCCAAGATGAGTTGCAGGCAACAGGCGGCTGGACATGGCCGATCTTTGGTGGCTCCTTCAGCATCCTGAGCTTTCTGGTGATCAAGGCGGTAGCGGAGATCTTTGCCCTCGTGCTTTCCAGGGGTGATCACCGGGCGCTTGCCAAGAGGGAAGTGCACGAAGCCCCTGCTGAGCCAGTCCAGACGGTGGAGTCGCACACTGGTACAGACCTCGACGCAGATACGAAGCTCCTGCAATTGCTCCTCGCCCGCTTCCAGCAGGACGACCAGGGGAGGGCGAGGTTGGACGGGCTCTTGAAGCAGTTCTGCCAAGCTGGCGCGGGAGTGGCTGAACATCCCCGGCAGGTCGTTGCCAAGGAGGATGCCCTTGAAACCACCATAGGCAAAAGCGCAGAAGGTGAACGCGTGCAGGTGCTGTAAGTACCAGATTTTGCGCTGCAAAATGCAACAGCAACTAGAATGCATGATTTTCCTCTTCTACTCGCTTTTGGGCGTTCCCGACAAGTCGGGTGCTTCCCAGCTCAGCAACAGGTCCCAAGTTTCATGGGGTGCCTGAATAATCCAGTACGTAGTGCTGCTCTGTTGTAGTCGCACAAAATGTAGTCTACATGGGCTTCGAAACCCTGAACCGTAAACCCTGGCCCCAAGCCCCACACCCTGAACCCTAAACCCCAACCTCTGAGCCCTATTTTCCGGCTTGTGATTATTCAGGCTCTTACACTGACAAGCCAATTGGGTGGCGGTAAACCCCCAAAAGGGGCCATCACTTTGACAACCACCCAATTGGGTTTATCATCCCGACTCTTGGACCGCCTGGCATTTGAAAGAAGCGTTGAAGCCCTGTGCAGTGTGCAGGCTTGGATGACTGCAGGTTTACAGTAAACCCCATAAAGTTGGAAGCCGGATTAAGGCCAAATAGTGCTGGGATTCCCTATACTTTGCTCTGAAGGACTTAGGCTATTGGGTTTCCAACTTTTGGGCATCCACTGTAGGTTGAGTTTAACGAGGGTATGGTGTATGATAGAAAATTATGGTATCAGTTTCTGGCAAACAACGCCCAGTGGCAGTCATGGGTAGTTTTCACGCGGGGTGATCAGTCCAAGGGTGAAATCTGAGCATGGCTCATGTGGCTTTGAAGAGGGCTTAAGGGGGCACCTCAGGGGCTTCAGGATTCAGGCTAAACCCTAGAATCCTAAAAGTGAGGATTTTAGGGTTTAGCTGTTGTAGGGTTTTCCCAAACCCTAAACCTTAAACCCTGAACCCTAAACCCTAAACCCTGAGCCCTAAAGGTGAGGACCTCAACAGCTGCAGCGCTCCCGATGCCCTTTTTCACGCTGAGCAAGTTGCGGTGATTGTGACGGCCTTCTGTGTTCTTGAGCTCCCGTGCTCCCCCAAGCCCCGTAACAAAATGGCACTCCTGTCTCTTGAGCCCCCCCCCCCCCCCAACAAAATTCAACTTATGAGCCCCAAGTCCCCTTAAGAAAATCATTCGTGTCTGGGTGTGCCGTGAGTAGGCGTCATATGTCCTCCTCCGATTGCAAGGTTCGTCCACCAGGAGGAGCCGGGATCGTCTGAAGCTGCGTTTGAGAAGAACTCCGGGGAAGCTCGGAAGCTGGTAGCATAATTTGGGAGTTTCCGAAAATTAGGGGTACATTATTTTGGAGTTCTTATAATAAAGATCCTATCATTTAGGGTACCATATTAGGGTCCCCTATTTTCGGAAACTCCCATAGAGGGGCCGTAATTATTGGAACAGGGTTTCGGGGTATGTTATACTATCACTGTAATGAGGAACCCCTCAAACCCTATTCTAATGATTAACCTACCTATATTACGTGCTCCCGAGCATCGCTGGGGACATGAATCATAGCCTGGAGCGGGAAGGGCCAGCATGGTAAGCGAGACTCACTCTTCTAAATTTGCGCACAGGACCTCCGAGTGCTGACCGTTCTGAACGCCAAACCCTGAACCCTAAATCCTAAACTCTAGACCCTAAGCCCTAAACGCCAAACTCTAAACCCTAAACCCTAAACTCTAGACTTGGAGCCGGGGTCCGAACCTCGAGCCCCAAAAGCGGGAGGATGGCAGAGATCTGGATCCCTTTAACGGCCGGGGCCGCGTTCCGGCGGACGTTGGTTGGGCCAGATGGGCTGCAAAGGGTGTCGGGTTTAGGGTTGTGGGGTTTAAGGGTTTAGGGTTTTAGCTCAAATTGAGGCGAGATGTTCCTCCAAAACTTTAGACCCTAAGGCCCTAAGGGCATTTGACTCCCAAACCCTTTTGGACCCTGGACTCCTGTGAATCTGGAGAGTAGGACCCGTTTCCGCGTTCCATGCGCATCTGTTGTCACGGCTTGATCTAGAAGCCTCACGAAGTGCTATTCACTGCAATTCATTAGACACGGTATAGTTTCTTTAGAGATCCACGGTATAATTTCTTGGGGTATCGGGCTCTCTGGGAAAAGCTGGGATCTGCCGCGTCTGAGGTCTTTCCCAAACAGCAGTTGAAGCACATCCAGGCTGCGTTCCTTCTGCCGCTCCTAGACACGGTCCATGCCAATCAGCATAGTAAGGTTGCCAAGCGCTTCATGACTAAGTGCACACATCCCTCACGTTAGGCTTGAACTGCAATTAACTGAATCCCGCACCCTGACCCCTAACCTTACCTTTGGTTAGTTGGGAATGGAAGAATGGTAGTTTAGTAGCAGTTATAATTGTACCCCATTCCTCCATTCCCTACTAGCCAAAGGTAAGCAACCCGGTCTAGACCCCGCCTGGCAGGCTGCGTCTGCTGTTATCTCTGCACAAAACACTGGCTTCGGTTCTGACTTTGCCTGGAAAGATGCGGAGGAGGCGACGGCGGGTCTAAGACTTTGAGGGCTTGAGAGCAACAGAACTAGAGGGTTTTGGGCGGTCCCTGTTTGAAGATTGGAGGGCTTAGGGGGCTCGGGTTTGCAGATGTTTAGGGCTTGAGCCGTTTTCGTGCAATAGGCTCGCCCGCGGCCCTTCACTGAATGTAGCATCTGAGTATGTACCAAAGGCACTAAAATTTTGACAGCACTGTACTAGCGGCATTCCTCAGAGACGTGGCAAGCATTGTGATACACAGAGAAGACATGAGACCCTAAACCCTAAACCCGAAACCCTAGGCAAGGGGTGCCTTGGGTGTCACATGAGGGGTTTCGGAAAATCCGGAACCCTCACATCGTACCCTAAGTAGTCGGATCCTGAATTCTAAGGACCCCCCCTCCCAAAGAAGGCACCCCTTATTTTCGGAAACTCCCACGTAAACCCTAAACCCTTAAACCCTCAACCATTAAACCCTCAACCCTTAAACCCTCAACCCTAAACCCTAACAACCCTAAACCCTAAGAGCCCTAAACCCTTAAACCCTAAACCCTTAAACCCTAAACCCTAAGAACCCTCAACCCTAAACCCTTAAACCTTAAACCCCAAAAACCTAAAAACCCTAAAAACTTAAACCCTTAAACCCTAAACCCTAAGAGCCCTAAACCCTTAAACCCTAAACCCTTAAACCCTAAACCCTAAGAACCCTTAACCTTAAGCCCTAAACCCCAAAGCCCAAACCCTAAACCCTAAACCCTAAACCCTAAACCCTAAGAGCCCTAAACCCTAAAAACCCTAAAACCCCTAAAAACCCTAAAACCCCTAAGAACCCTAAACCCTAAAAACCCTAAAACCCCTAAAAACCCTAAACACACTAAAAACCCTAAAAACCCTAAAAACCCTAAAAACCCTAAACACCCTAAACACCCTAAAAACCCTAAAATCCCTAAAAACCCTAAACACCCTAAACACCCTAAAAACCCTAAAATCCCTAAAAACCCTAAAACAGCCTTGTGAGGAGAGGGAGGAGGCGCTCAAAAGGATGCAGGTGGAATCCTCGGACGAGAGCTCCTTGGAGATGGTTAGTTATCAGGGTTCCTTTAAGGGTCCCTTTAAAGGGATCTATAGGGCTTCTTATAAGGGTATAGGGTTTAGGGTTTAGGGCTTAGGGTTTAGGGAAAATGGGTCCCTTTTGAGGGATCTATAGGGCTTCTCTAAGGGCATAGGGTTTAGGGCCTACTTGGAGGTTCATGGTTAGTTATCAGGGTTCCAAGGGTCCCGTTTAAAGGGATCTATAGGCTATCTATAGGGCTTCTATAAGGGTTTAGGGTTTAGGGTTCTACTTTGAGGTTCATGGCTAGTTATAAGGGTTCCTTTAAGGGTCCCTTTTAAGGAATCTATAGGGCTTCTTATAAGGGTATAGGGTTTAGGGTTTAGGGCTTAGGGTTAAGGGTTCCTTTAGTTAAAGGGTCCCTTTTAAGGGATCTATAGGGCTTCTTATACGGGTATAGGGTTTAGGGTTCTACTTGGAGGTTCATGGCTGGCTATAAGGGTTCCTTTAGTTAAAGGGTCCCTTTTAAGGGATCTATAGGGCTTCTTATACGGGTATAGGGTTTAGGGTTCTACTTGGAGGTTCATGGCTGGCTATAAGGGTTCCTTTAGTTAAAGGGTCCCTTTTAAGGGATCTATAGGGCTTCTTATACGGGTTTAGGGTTTAGGGTTCTACTTGGAGGTTCATGGTTTGTTACAAGTAGGGGTTATAAGTAGGAAACCTATAGTTAAAACCCATATCAAGGGACTCATAACCCCACTTATAACTACCCATGACCCCCTTCAAGCACCAAATTCCCAATCTTGCCCTCAACACGAACCGATGTAGGCTTGAGGGTTTGGTAGAGAGGCCTTATAATAGCTACCTCGACTCTTGTGGAGTTTCCTTCTTGTAGTTATGGTATAACATACCGCAAGCCCTAGTCGAATATTAGGGTTTGGGGGTTTATTAGGGTTTGTCAGTTCAACAAAGAAGACCGAAATACCCTGCGTTTCAACCCGTGTTCTTGAACCACGAGCCGAACACACAGGCGTAGAGCAAACACCAGATGGTTGGCTAAGCAACTCTCAGTCCCAAGCTCTGAACCCCAAGGTTTGAAGTAGTCACTTCCCTTCTCCCCGAAATGAATGGAATTTGCCGCCCCCTGAAAACCCCAAAGGCGTCGATGTAGCCTCTTAGGCGGTTCGGCCGAGATGACGAAGAAGGCAAAGAAGGTGAAGAAGAAGCTCGAGAAGCAGAAGCGCCTGGGCACGGCAGCTAGGGGTTCGAGAAGAAATCAGGGTTTATGGTTTAATGTTTGGGCTACGGGTTTAGGGTTTAGGATTACCAATACGATTTTGGGGGTTCCTTATTACAAGTCTAGATTAAGAATTCTATTTATCAAGGCCCGTATGGTGGGTTTTCAGGGTTTAGTTAGCGTTTGTAGATGTTCAGGGTTGGAGGCTCGGGGTCTGGATGCTTAGTGCCTCGGCAGGGTTTCCACGGTTTAGGGTTTAGGGTGTAGGGTTTAGGGTGTAGGGTGTAGG